TGAATTTTTATTTTAAGGAACAATATGTTTAATAAAATGTGTGTTTTTATAAATTAAGAAAATGTTGGGGTCACGCATGCCTATGTTTAACTTTGTGAGTTGTTTTATCACGCTCTGACGATGATAATTTTTTGGTCTTTGTGACATTTAAAAGAAAAAATCAGTAAAATAAATTGAAATCAAAATGAACTGAATACTATCTTTTAAACCTATGTATGATTTTTCTCTTCTCAATATTAAACGGAGCATCCACTCCAGATTGATGAAAAACAAAAAGGAAAACTACACCACTGTGGTTATCTTATCTGTGGACCAAATTAAGCAAACCTGACGCCAAGTTCATGTACCAGGCAGGCCATTTGATAGCCCACAGGTTTTTGAGTCGTGGATGAAGGTCTAATACTATAATGTAGCTAAGGTTTAATAAGAAATTCGAAAGGCATTGTGTGTGCAGAACATAAGATATATAGCATAAACAAACCAATCTACTATCATGTCATGTCCATCTAGCTTAATTTATGCTTTTTGTTTTTTAAATTCTCCCTTTTTCTTCTTCCCAAAAACAGAAAGACAAAAGAAAACAAATAGATAGATAGAATCACTGAGGAAAAAAACACTAGATAAAGGTATAAAGTGCATAATAAAAAATTGCACATGCAAAAAGAATGGAGCATGTCCCCTTAAACAATGATTGCCTCCAAACAGAACGAGAAAATAAAGAGGTAGTGGAGGAGTGAATGGATTGGGAGGAAAGCAACGCAGAAAAAGATGAACCCAATTTGGAAACCATTGTTTAACAAGAGAAGGAGAGGCTGCCAGATAATGCTTTTTTCTTTCTTTTTCTTGCAGAGATTGAAGAGGAAGATGAAGAAGTTGTTATGCATGTTATTATTATTTCTTCTTTTTATTTTTCTGTTCAGTTCTCAATCACTTTTGTAAAGGCAGTTTTCTTTACTATTTATTTTTTGGGCTTGTTTTTCTCACTGGGGCGGTCACAGAATCATAGGCCGGTTGCTCATGGACTGTACTGGAATCATTGCTGTCTGAGATGAGTGGATTTTGGGTCCCTCTGACTTGCTCTCAAGCTTTATTTAGTCTTCATTAATCTGATGAATCAAAATGAATCAATGCTCCAATGAGTGCATATTCAATAGAAATACTACTTTTTCAAACTTATTATAGTATGTTCTCAAGTCACCAATAATCCATGCCAAATTTGAATTCTTATCAGCCCATGCTCAAGTGACCAGAATTTCGCAATGCTTCTGTCATCATATACAGTGAAAAAGGTCTAAAGGACTATATTTATGTTACTCCTACTTTTGCACTAATTAGCATGATTTTACCAACCCACCACTAAGAAATTTGAGATGATGCGATGCCTACGCATGTTGAGTTAGCATGTTTATTTTTAACATTGGCGGAACTACGCATATATTCATACATTCCCTTTTTACTGAGGGATTTCTTAAATAATTTTATTTAATGGACACCTTTTAAGGTCTCCTACGAATTTTTTTTCAATGATCCAAACCATCTATTTTTTTAAGTCTACATTCATAAATCATCTTGCAAAAAATTAGATAAATTGGAAACCGTTTCAATATCCAATTGTATTTTACAAAATCAACGAACACGGTGCTATAAGAAAGTACTAAAATTTCAATAATTCAATTGAGTGGTCAAATGATATCGGATTCAAGTGATTTTTATAAAGATGATCTTTAAATGAGTTTCTACAAAATAGACTGTTTGGATTAGTGAAATACAATACGGAGTGAGCTCTACAAAAGTGTCCATCAAGTAAGCTAATTTGAGATATCCCTCTATAGAAGTTATTCACACACACACACACACACACACACACACACACACACATTATTAGACTGTAAATCTAAATTACTTATTAATTCATGCAAACTTAACTTAATTAATAATCGAGATTCACACCCCGACGACATAACACCTTAAGTTGCTAAAAATCGTAACATTTTGTATTAATTTCATTCAAGCACTTTGGATGGAAATTTTGGATACATTACCTAGACACATCACTTTCCTGTTTGTTGGAAATAAAAATGATGACATTTCTGGCTTTCTACACCACCTTATGGATAAAGCCTAGTCTTTCGTTGTTAAGGTCCACATTGCTTAGCTAGTACATGTACATGCCTGTCTATATACCCTCTACACGGTTTTATGGTGATGTGGAGTGTGAATTTGTTATTGGGTCCAAAAAAAGTGGAATGATAACTGGACTACATTTGATGATGAGAAAGTATTTGTATTAAGCTCTGCTTGCTTGCCAGATGCCACCACATCACAAAATGAGAGGAGACAACATTACAAAGCATTCTGAAATCGCACAAAAAAATTATTTTTTCTCCAACTTTCTTTTATATTTACCACTTTCTCTCATAATGATGATAGACATTGATATATCCGAAGGTTTTTTTTTAAAAAATTTTTAAACAAAAATTTTTTTTTTGAATTTGATTCTCTTGATGCTAATGCCCCATCCAATATCATGAAAACCTTATCTTGTTCAACCACACTAAAATATATATGCTTCTACATTGTTCTGGACTTGTGCTAAAGTGTGACATTTTGAGGCCTTGGATTATTAGAAAAATGTGTGCAAATAAAAGTGGAAAAAGATGATTAGAATATGAAAGAAGGGGAGACAAAATGTTTTGGAGGGTACCCATGTATGATGTATCATTTGCTTCCATATGTAGAGTTGGATCAGTAACATTGAGACACACAATCCCTCCACATTTGATCTGGATTTCCATAGTCTTGGAGATTATCAATTAGATTTGTCGGTGCTCAACCTCTATCAAGTATTTGTTAAACACATCAGCTTTGATGTGTTTTCTTTTGATTTGATGGGATATAAAGCTAAGTAGGTTATGTTGGTTTGTAGTTGTTCAGCACTTTTCTCTGCTTTTTTTCCAATCTCTCCACTCCAAATTCCGAAAACAGAAATAAAACATGGCTTGGTGGGTGGTGATGCTCATCTTGCTTATCCTTGGAAAGTCTAATTAAAATTTGCTTACTTTAAATAAATATTTATGTATCGAAGTAAATTATGTACTTCTTTTGCTGCTTGTGAAATTGAGAATATTCATTTGTGATTTTTTATTCAGCTAATTTTATATGTAATAAGTCAAGGATATGCCTCTCTTTTTTTGGGTCACATGGTGGCAAAAGGCTAAAACAAATACCATTCTAATCTGGGCCGAGACCTTCCGGCCTTATCATTCTAATCAAGGATATGCCTTAGTTTTGAGAAAAGTATAACATTATTAGGGTCTAATTGACATATTGTCTCACGATCCAAGTAGTCTATTTTGTTAGTACACGATTTGAGTGTGCTTCCTTCCTCTCATGTAAGAATAGAAAGAAAAAAGAACCCGTTGTACTAGTATTATAAAAGGTCTAGCCCAGGAGAAGGGTTGACTTGCATATTAGTGATCTCAGGTTCGAACTCCCATGACACATTGACTATGTATGTGAGAAAACCTCCCTCCCTCAATATCGCTTGTGCAAAAAAAAGTATTATAACTATTTTTGTCATGGATTTATCCAAGAAATGAGACTGAAAAATCATCGAAGAAATTGAATCTTACAAGGAGAGAATACCATTGAATGATCAAATAAGCTAGGAGAAGATGAAATTGAGCCAAAGCCCATATCCTCAATGCATAAAAGACCAGGCCATACGAGAAAGAAGATATAGAGATAAAGAGCCCATAACAGTGACAACAAACAATGGTAGGCACAACAACAATTACAAGAAAAAACAACACAAGGTGTGACTAGGTGGGTCTGGACCAGCACAAGTCAGAAAGCCCATAACGCCAACTAGCGACAGGCACAGAGGAAACAAAACATCAAAACAGAACAAACGAACATCAAATAGTGAACAGAAAATCACAAGAACGCCAGAATCTGTCTTGAAATTCTGCCAAAATATACTCAATTTCTTGCAACAAATGCCTTCCAAATTTTCCTATAAAATCCTATTTCCTCAGCGACCTAGTAAAAGTATGGCCTCGAATAATAATGGTGAAACTTCATCCACCATGTCACAGATCACAAATATTTTGTTCAATACAATTCTGTCCTCCTACATCACTAAAACATCTAACCAGGCAAAAACTAAAATACCCCCCTCTTTACATAATTAGAAAATATATAACACAACAAACGCCGTTACGCCGCACCGTTCAACTCTGGTCAAGAAGTCAATACAAGACAAGATATATGTTAAAGCATTTAAATACGATGCACCTATATCTTTTTCATCTAGTTGGCTCCAACTTGATAGTGCAATTGAGCTCAGTACCCCTTCATCATGTACTATCAGAATGGGCAGCAGTCAGAATAATTATTCCAGAGCCCAAAAGAACTGCCCCTGCTCATTCAAGAGCAAAACTTCTGGGTAAGTTAAATCATGAACAACTTTAACTTGCTTTTCATTTTGCAGCAGTAATTTGATAGTTTGAAAGACAAATGCAAGCTGTTCCTGCAAATGATGACAGGGACGACTAAGTAAACTTAAATGGTATTGTGTTTCAAGCTCAACATCAAATATGATAGGTGCCTTGTATGAATATTGAACATAAAAAATAAAGAAAAGAGTATTTAAGAAAGAAAAAAAAACACCTGTTTGAGTTTCTCCACAGCATGATCAGCGCCTCAACAAACAATCTTCGGTCTATACTTCCTCAATCCTGTAGAAATCAAACTTTTTTCTTTCTTTTCTGTTATCATACAATGACTATAGCCGGGATATTCATCCTATCAAAATCTACCTCATGCAGCAACGTACATTCCTCTTACGCTAATTAGGCAAAAGTTATGATGATACTGGCAGTAGGAATTTACATCAATTACTAAACTCATGAAAGCCATATTCCAGCAACTTGACGTGGATAGTCCCATATCCTCAGAACCAATTAATTTGAAAGGCCTAAATTGTGGTTAAAGATGCATCAGTTTATCAGTTTGCCATTGATTTCACGCATCAATAACTTGGAGCTGTCAACAACGCGTTTGCTTTCATAAACTATATAACTACACATTTCATGCCTGGGTGCTGGTTTGAGCGATCTTAATTCAAGGAGGGGATCCGTAATCTGAGACTTACTGCAGATCTCCCTTGCTGGCTGGACATGGTTCCACCAAAAATCTGAGAGAACCATTTTCAAAACATCCCAGTATTCTGCATCTCGGTATACCCTGAATAGGCTGCTCCCTTTAGGAGTCCAAACATAGAAATCCATCCAATCCCTGTCAAGTATTTCCATTAAACCCTGAGCCTGTGGAACACAGTATAGAGGAATTCGTGACCAAGGGGTAGCCTTTTTCATATTTCCATCGAAAAAAGGGCACTTAATCTCCAGCACTCCTCGTGAAGGCAATCCGTATACCAGTCTATCAACCACCCCATCTGGTGAAGCTCCTAGCCAATCATCTCCGGCATTTCTATTACCATAGACTTGAAATTCAGGAAACAAGACAGAATTTCCTGTTATTAGTTTGTATCTTTCAAGTGCTTCCTCTTCTTTGATATTGCTCCAACAGGTAGCCAGGTTACCTGAAAATGGCTCAATTGCTCCAATCTTCTCTAACCAAAGCTGGAGTCTTCGGCGATGAAAAAAACCAACGGCCGCAGCAAAAGTGCTAGCTGTCAGTTTATGTTTTCTGAGTCCTTGCCAATTTTTGAACCAGTGCTGAAGACCACTTGAGTGAAGAACAGAATAACCTCCAGATGAAGCAAATCTCATAGAGCAATGAGAATGGTTGAGAACTTTTCTGTGGTTAACAAGCATACTAGGATCCAGTACTGAATAGAATTGGTTGTCCTAGTTTCTCCGTCTAGTTGCATCTGTAACAAGAAAATCATTTTTTTTAAATCCCAAGAATACCTACAATACTTCCAATTCTGGCACTTGTGGTATCACAGTTGAACATTAAGGACAAACAAGAAGCAATTTTCACTGCCTAGGAAAATAAATGCAAGTAAGACCAAAGACATACCAATTGCTATACAATGGAGGATATGTCTGTGTAAGAAAGAAGATAAAGCAATATTTATGCATACAAATAGGAAAAAATTCAAACAACTTATGTTCAGGACATAGGATGCATGAGCATATGGTTATGTAACGCCCCATTTCAGAAATGCCTTCCATGCATATTGCAATATTGCTGTAATATTTCAATTGCGTATCATAATTAATCCACCAGTGTAAAATCATAACTAATTCAATGCCCACATCCAAAATCACAGCATCCTTCAAGTCAGCAACTAATGCTCTAAATCTTAACTAAAATTCTTCAACCAGTGACTGAATTCTCTTTTTGTTCCAGTACAACAGCCCAGTTTATTGTGAGACCCAACAAGTGACACACAGTTTTAACATGAGTTGAATAGTAGAAATATTAGAAACACAATAGGAACTGTAAGAGCACAAAAGATCAAAATGAAGTTTATACGTGAGTTGAGTAGAATGATCTATAATTTTGAACATGCCTAAATATTAAATACCAAATCATTAGATGCCTAAACATATAATGAATAAACCCGGACATCATAACTGAATCTGATACATGGAAATAACAATATTATATGACATAAATGCCCCCAATTCATCTAAGAGGCAGTTCATCAAACACTACACTGTCAATAACAATCTGAATCTGCAAAAAAACAAAATAAAAAGTGCACATACAACCCATCAACATTCAAAGTTACAGAAGAAACACGAAACAATAAACCCACAAACCGCCATTTAGAAGGCTAACACAGACCAAAAATCTCGAGAAAAAAAAATCATAAAAATCAGTAGCCATTCTATCACCACATTCAACTATTTTCAACACTCCCAAACTCCTAAACTTAATGCTCTCCTATGAAAAACAATGCATTGGTTTATGCAATACAAGATGCACTAATTTATGCAAAACCAGGAAACAGGTTCTAATTCTGAACATCAAATCCAAAGTAAGAGGAAATATAGAAAAAGGAACTCACCACAGCGTTTCAGTTTCTAAACAACATCCATATTTTCTTCGGTTGGAAACCAGACATGCAACCAAACGAATGCAAAAGACTGTAAGGAAAAAGGAGATAAAACTGAAACCCAAAGAAAATTAATAGGGTTTATCAGAACCCCAGGAAAAGTAATAGGGTTTATCAGACCAAAAGACAAAAACGGGAGAAGCCTTTCATTTATTCCACTTAGTTTACATCCCTTTTTCGTTTTTTTTTCGCTAACAGGGGGGCTAAAAGCCCAACACAAACAAACAAACCAGGAGGCAATACGACGCCGTCTGGAGAGACCCATACACTGTTGCACCAATACGCGGGATTTTGGGGTTATGCACATATCGGATACGGCCCCAATACGTCTCCGATATGCCATGTGGCCTATCGTAGACTTTTATGGAATGTTGACTTTAAGATACGGCTCCAATACTTCATCAATACGGTCATGATACGATCACGATACATTCGCGATACAGTCACGATACATCAAGGGGTAAAAGAGAAAATATTTTAAAATTTTGGGGATGATTTTAAAGGTTATTGAATATTTGGGTTAAAATGTAAACTTAAAACTTAGAATTTCAAAGACCCTATGTCGAGAGGCTAGGTCTTTTGGGTGAATCAGACAGCAATCAAAAAAGAAGAAGAAGGTAGAAGGAAGAGAACTAACCAGCAATCGCCGTCGCACCCATCTCAGATTCTTTTAATAACTTTTGTTAATTAGATAATACGTATATGGGTTTCTTTAATAAGTTGTTGTGTGGTTAATTTGTGAAGTTGGAGTGTTGTTAATTAGATAATATGGATATATTACTTAAAATATTTTGGAAATAGCTGCCTGGTGGCTAGTAGCCTTGTTTTGTGTATGTATACAATTATTAATTGTTTTTTTTAATTATCAAACTTCATTTGATTCACAGGAAATGAATAGTGTGGGTAATAATTCTAATGATATTTTTTTTTGGGTCAATATGAAGTTCAATAACAAAACTGGAGAGGACCAGAACCACATACACCTGGGGATGAACATCCACCAGGAAGCACAAGGAAACAAAACAACCTAAAATAAAACAATCACAAGATCTTCAATAGGATGGTTGTCCGGCAGGGGTGACAACAGAGCCCCAGACAAAAAAGATTAGTGATGAGCAAAGCACCGTGTCTTATAAGGGGGCCAGGGAGGCCATCCATCGTAAGAATTCCGACCAGAGAGGGAAGGGGTTGTGTAACCCAACAAAGCATTTTCACCCTCGAATTGGCTAATTTTCTGGTGATGGGAAATGAATAATGTATACAAATTTTCTATTTATATTATATTTTAAATATATATTATTTTAATCGCCGTATCGGTGCCGTATTCGTATATCATTTTTTTGGAAATTTGTGACATATTATATCGTATCACAATACTCGTATTCGTATTGGTGCAACATAAGAGGACCCATAGCATCAGCTTTCAGAATCTCCAATAGAAAATCAAACATTGTACTATAAAGATGAAGCCCAAGGTCAGAATCAAGGCTTCTAGCAGAGAAGGCATCAGCAGCAAAATTCTGCTCACGGTATGTATGATTCACAGTATAATTCCAATCCTTCTTTTTCTTGACATGTATTAACTTCCACTAACAATCAAAGGGCAATACCATCATTTTCATCTTTAAAAAACTTAATTAAAAAAATCTAAATACCCAAACATCCCCTCAGCCTCAGACAAATTCAAAGAAAGAGCAAATAACAGTGATTGAAATGCGAGGAGTAGTTGCAGAAATAGCTAATGGAGACCAAGAAAACGACTAATGAAAGAGAAACGGGAAGAACTTAAAATGAAAATTGATAAGCAATTTCTTAAACCCTTAGATATAAATATTAAAATTACCTGGGAGAAGAAGAACTAACCAAATTTTAGTTTGAAGAAAGTTGAGTCAAGAATCTTAATTCCTATTTCTTTAGGTGGCCGAATCTTTATTCTCGAATGAGAGTTGAAATAAGAGAATGTGAGGAGACTTTAGAGTTTCCCCTGAGTAGTGGGCCTAGGTTCATTTGAAGAGAGACAAGGAGGGGAGGGGGAGACAGTGAGGAGAGGGTGGAGTAGGGATGGGGTGGTGGTGGGTGGCGGTGAGGAGAATATGGGGCGCCGGAGTTTGGGGAAGCATGTGGGTGGCTGGAGATGTTTTTTTATATTTTATTTAAATATATTTAGTTTATAAATTATAATATAAAGTTTTATTTATTTATTTCATATGTAGTCGAACATGTATTTATATGTTGAAATATATACAAGTTTTTACATAATGTAGGTATGTTTACATATTGAGTTTGTTAAAATTGTTTGCACCGTATCTAACCCCTCCACTCACATCATGACTTGTGGAAAGAGTATGAAGTTAGGAAACACTGCGGCCCATTGATGGATCAATTAGGTATGGATCGGCTTCCACGACCGATTCATAACTCGGTAAAGCTGTTGGCCCCTTCCGATCGGCAAGCGCTCCCAGAAGCTCCTTAGACATACCATCAGTGCGCCATGCTGATTATGCGGGACAAACTCGAAAACCCCCCACTTTGATATTTTGCCGAGACTCGTGTCGACCTCAGAAGGCACTCCCATGAGTCCCACATCGAAACTAAGTACTAAGGGCATACCAAACACTCTCTATAGATAAGGTCTCTCGCCCTAGACACAGAGTAAGACTTTCAGCTTGATTCTCATGCTTTAGCATGTGTCAATAGCAAAGCTCTTTCTCAACTTACTTTGGCATCGAAGGGTCTTCAGCTGGTACCACACCAGTACTCTTGACCCTATGCGTTGTTTCTCTCATTAGCCCAGGTCTAGCATCGCATCCCAAGGAAGAACGTGCTATCACCAAGGACTCAATCGGTTCTTAGACTGTCCACGTCACCTGTAAGTTGTTTCTATTTCTATCATTTAGTTTTAGAACGAACAGATTGACGCCGTCTGTGGGAATCGACTATCAAATCGACCCATATCTCTCTCTCGAGCCAGAGATGAATCCACTTTCATCCCTCGTGACTGATAGTCCCATCATCGGCCTTACCAGCGGAGCAAGCCCCGCTCACCCGCCAAGCACACCCTGGACGGAAACGCCCGTTCAGCAAAACACTATAGAGGCTAGACTAGAAACCCTGCAACACGAAATGGCAAAAATGCAGGAGCATAACAATATTCTTTCCTCCAAACTCGATGACACTCAGAGGCCGATTTATGATCAGTAATCACACTCGGCCCAACTGCAGGATGGTCTGGAGTAAACCATATAGCTTCGGCGGGAGCAAAGGGAAAAAGCCGGCTACGGGCAGACCATCCACCTCCCAAAGACTGTTCGTGCCCTCTCCAGAGGAACACCACCAAGAATACCAAGTTTACTCCGACTGTCGGGATAGACTCAATGATCGGCGTAAGGAACACTAATCATCCTCAATCCCGATCCAAACAAAATTTGACGATCGGCACCTGGACGTACTAGGACCAAAATCTCCCTTTCGCCAAAAGACGATGTGATCGGCCTGGAAGAAATAGATGAATCAGACTATATTCCGATTTCACCGGGAACCACAATCTCCTATCGATCGGCAGGACCGGGACCTTTCAAAAAAGAGCACCCCAGTTATCGATCAACTAAAAAGGATGACTGGCAGAATGGGGGCCTTGGCAGAACCTCTAGTCGAACGTTAGGTCGCGAAATGCAAGGTCACAATGTTGGCCAACCGATCAGCCCCAAAATGGCGGAACCCTTCTGCGACGACCTCCCCCTGCCGATCCCACCATCCTTCTCCTTCTCCAGAAAGTCAATCGGATTGAGGAAGAACATAACCAATCTCGGACACCAACTTAGGGAAAAGTCCAACCAGAACCATTCACCAGTCGAATCCGAATTTTCAGACACAAAAAAGAAGTCCAAGCACTCTGAATATCGTTCTACACAGGGGTAGAAGATCCTGTAACCCACATCCATACTTACCAATCAGCATTGAGTTGCAAAGGGCTCACCGATGAAGACCAGTGCTTACTATTTCCCTCCAACTTAGCTGAAGCCGCCCTGAATTGGTTCTACCGATTGGAGCCAGTATGGTAGATTCTTTCGATTAGTTAAAACAAACTTTCCTCAAACATTTTATGATACAGACCGATCATCTTTATTCTGCCGATGACTTTTATACCATCTGACAATGAGACGATGAGCCCTTAAGGGAATATGGGGCCAGGTTCAGCCACAAGTACTCTCCATGCCCCAAAACCAACGACCGGGCAACCTTCGACGCTTTCAAAAGCGGTAACTGGATGACCTACGACGAACTGATGAAGTAGGCAGCCATCCATGCCAAAGCGGAGCATTTTAATTCCAAAAGAGCACCTTCAGCATCCCCCTACCCAACGATGCCCATGGATCAAGCCTCGGCGCCAGCCTATGACCATTTCCCGCCTCACCGAACAACAAACCAAGCCTCTTACCGAACGGCACCCACTGCGTCCGCTCCTTACGCAATAGGAGGCAAGCAAAGGGACAGTTTTTAGGGTCGACAGGATGGAAACAAACGTAACAAGGATTCCGAAGGTCGAAATAATTTCAGAAGTCCAAAAAAGGCATGACTAAAGGAAGCCTTTACCGTGCTTAACTCGACTTACGAGTACGTTCTCATGGGCGAGAATCAGATGATTCCAAAGCCGAACAACTGAAAACTCCCTCGCTAGAACGACAAGGACACCGTAGTGTTCTGCCAATACTACCAATACCATGGTCACTCCACTACCATCATGAAGCGTGGAAAGAGTATGAAGATGCGTGGAAAGAGTATAAAGCTAGGGAACACTGCCGCCCATTGATGGATCAGTTAAGTATGGATAAGCGTTCGCGACCGATTCATCACCCGACAGAGCTGTTGGCCCCCTCTGATCGACAAGCACTCCGGGAAGCTCCTCGGACATACGATCGGTGCGCTGTATCGATTATGCGGGACAAACTCGAAACACCCCCTCCCCACTTTGATATTTTGCGGAGACTCGTGTCGACATCAGAAGGCACTTTTACGAGTCCCACATCGAAACTAAGTACTAAGAGCATACCAGACACTTTCTATAAATAGGGTCTCTCGCCCTAGACACAGAGTAAGACTTTCAGCTTGATTCTCATGCTCTAGCATTTGTCAGTAGCAAAGCTTTTTCTCAACTTATTTTGGCATCGGAGGGTCTTCGGCTGGTACCACACCGGTACTCTTGACCTCATCCGTTGTTTCTCTCCTTAGCCCAGGTCTAGCGTCGCATCCCAAGGAAGAATGTGCTCGCACCAAGGGCTCGATCGGTCCTTAGAACGTCAACGTCACCTGTAAGTTGCTTTTATTTCTATTTGTTTAGTTTTAGAGCGAACAAAAATGTTCCAAGTTATGTCTAGGTTTTTTCAACCAACAAAAAAAAAGTTATGTCGAGGTTCATTATTTTGTGTCCAAACATATAGGTATGTTATATTTTTTGTGTCTGTTTTAATAAGATTTTTATTCTTTTTCTCAATATTGCTTAGTTGTGAATGCATCAATAATTGTTCAAATCTAATTCATAATTCTCCAATGGGGTCTAATCCAATGAAAAATTATATTGACTTGCAAATTAATTATCTCATGTTCGAATCCTAGGAGTTAGGACTGGGTTCAGTTCGATTACATTAACTTGCAAACTAATTGTCTCATATTCGAATCCTCGGAGTTAGACTAGGTTTGATTTGGTAATCGAACTGATGAGATAAAATTGAGCGCCGACCGAAGGTGATCGGTATTTGTAAAATTGGAACTGTCGCCAACATGTTGGAGGGCGGTTATTAACCAATTTGGTGTTAGTCGGTAGTTCGGTTTTGAAAACATAGAAGATGAGAGAGAGATTCCCAAGAAAAGAGAAGAGAGGGAGAAAAGATTCCAGGTGTCGTCATGTTCAACCAATTTAGAGTTGGGGTTTATATCTTCTTTCTTTATTTGTTTTTCAAATTTTGTTCGAGTATATACATTAAATATATTAGTTATACAATGTTTATCCAATAAGGCATGTGGTGCAGTAGTAAAAAGGCTAAATATGTTGGTTGGAGGTAAGTGGTTTGAAACCTCATGACTCCAACTTTTCACATATTTAGTCTTTTTTGCTATGTCGGTTCGGTTTGGGTTATTGTTAGTTCTTTAGGTATTCAAAATCAATTTGACAATCAATGGAGTTGGATCGGTCCAAAAAATCTCCTCGAAACTGACCAAGATCGAGACAGGTGGTTTTTCGGGCCAAGAAATTGAGTTGGATCAGTCCGTTCGTCGAATGAAAATTCTAGCCTTATTCATAGCACTTTCATAGCTTGTGAGATCTAATTCATAATTCAAATTTTGAATTAGTAATTAAAGATGCATTAAATTGTGAGTTTTTTTCAAAATTGCTATATCTATTTTAAAAGGCAAAATGAGTAATAAAATAGGAAAATTTTGAAATAAATCTCAATGAACCCATACATTTACGGATCGATTCGAACTAATTCAGCATTGGATGGACTGAATGAACAATGAATGAGTTGAACGAAAATGATCAATGAATTGAATGAAAAGTAGAAAGGACGGAAAATATGACCGTTGGGACCAGACCAGCTAACTGGGTGGGTCATATATTTCGGTGTTCCCGCTGCCGCTGATGGGTGTCCTTTGTTTGTATTGCATGCAGATACAAAAAGCCAACAGAAAGAGACAAATATCAGTACAGTTCTACAGTAAAATAATACAAAATTTACAAGACAATTGCAACAAAAACAACGTCGTCTCCAGTGACTGCACAAAAGCAAAAGCAATCAGCTTATTTCTATTTGATCTCACAACGGTACCCAACAGCAACAGAAGAAAGAAAGATTCATTTAATTTCCAAAAAGAAAAAAAACAAGAAGATGACTTCCAGGTCCTTGGGCTCCTCCTCATTAACTTGGACTACCAACGCCTCCTGCTTGCTTTTACTGTCAACTTTGCTCATCATCATGACTGCTATCAGATGATTCCTTGACCGTTCGATTTGCTTGTATTATTGCCACTTGATTTGTGGGCCCCCCTCATGATCCGTCAGAGTTCCCGAATTATATCATATATTCCCCTGCAACTTTAATCCATTCTTTGCTTCACTTTACTTCTTCACTTGGGTTTCTTTTGTTTCCATTCTAAATACTCATCTCTCTCTCTCTCTCTTCATTGTTGGGTTTGGGTTTGGGTTTGCCTCAGATTCTTGAATGGGTTTTCTGGGTAGTAAAGCTACGGCTGGGCAGCTTCTGCTTCTACTTATAGTAGTTTCAGCTGCTACAGCTGATGAAGGTTGGATCTTTATTTGCTATTTTACTTTGCCGTGGTGTCTTTGAATGTGTTTGAGTTTTATTTGAAGGATTGGCCTCCACATTTCTCAGCATTGTTGGTTTTTTTATGTGACAATTTACTTGTTTGATGTTAATATTTAGAGTTCATGAATCTATGATGCTGATGTTTATCAAATTTATCTTCATATGTTCTGCCGGAGCCATTCTTTCACTTCCTCCCTCAAAACCCACATGAGTTTCTGTTCTTACAGGGGAAATTTAGTGATGTTCCAGAGGCAAAAAGAAGAACACAGTAATTTTAAAATCTCCCTCTTACAGGAAGAGAATCTGAGAGAGGAAAGTTAGGGTGTGAAGTGTCCTGTTGCATTTTGTTTTGTGTATGAGTTTGCTCTGCTTCACTTTGGCAGTGACAATGCTCTGATACTGTAGATAATCTTCCAACAACAGTCCTTGCACTATTTAATATGCCTAAATGTACTGAAATTGCATTTTCACCATCTCATATTTGCAGTTGTTTTCAAATAAAAATCAAAGGCACATATGAGATTGTGCACATGAAGCTGAAGTTGTGCCATCTTCAGATACAGTAGTGTATTATAATAATAATATAACATATCCATTGTCTTCCAGCTCATGGGGTAGTTTTTGTTACCCTTTTTACCTTGGGTTTAGCGCATATGGTCAAAGTTTACAGAATTTGGGCACTTCTGCTTAGAACTTTGTGGATTATGGAGACATACCCTGCTGTATTCAATTACTCCATATTATATAGCATATGTCCATAAGTATTGCTTCCTAAGTCTAGTGCCTGCTTGGATTAGTTAAGTGACACCTTGGAACAATGGTCTACCTAGTTTTTCTCAATAAAGCTAACCAAAATGCACCCAGTCAATTTGCTTCATTTTCTTTTGTTCCTCACAAGGCTCCCATTTTATTGCAGAACACTTTATGTCTCTTAAGACACAGGGAAAACATTTGAAACATGCCACAGGAATATTTGTAGGGACTGAGTGGAATGAACAAACGGTGTTAAATTGTTACTTCACTTTGAGTTTATAAGGGACTCAAAGGGTTAAATTGTGCCTTAACATTGTATACTCTAAAGTGAATCAGTAATTCAAATTTATTTTTCTTTGTGTATTCTTAATGTACCAGTACTTTTTCTTTTCCATATATAGTAAGAACGGGTAATTTATGAATTTTCACCCTGTTTCAAAATTTTGTATTACTAAGAGAAACAAAAGATAAAACTAGATGCATGACATAGTCATGTTTTGATTTTTATAAAGTGAACAGATGACGTTGTTATTGTTTATCGTGTGGACACCATTTAACAGATTTTTAGTCTCCAATCACCATGATCAGATTATCATTTGGCGGTTTAATTAGAAATGCTAGATTCATGTCATGTAAATCTTTGTCTTGGTGAGCTTTGAAGAGTAGATGTCAAGTTACGGTCTCCTATTTGATTCATTCTAGTAGTGCACTCCATGATCATAATAAAGGCTTGAGAATCTTGATTTTTTTTTCTTTTGGCATTATGATGTTTTATTTGATTCATTCCAGTCGTGCACTCCATGATCATATAAAGGTTTGATAATCTTAAATTTTTTTGGCATTATATCAACCTAAATGGGATGTTTACTTTCTTTATTGTACAATTTGTTCAGTGACTTATGCTACTTAATCACCTCAATTAGGTCCACTACTACTTTGGGTGATCATGATGTTCACTACTACAGTTTTAATATGTGAGGGCAGGAAATTGGCAGGTTCTAGTGGATTTTATATTATCCAATCTTAGTCACAAAAAAAAAAAATGCATATACTTGATAAAACAAATTTCTATATAGTCATTCAGTTAAAACAGTCTTGAGTTCTTATACAGATGTGACTTGTACTGGCATATACTTGGTCAATGGCTGTGTCATTTTGACATTTGGTTGTCTAGTTCTTGAAGATAATCTTTACAAACCAACCCAAACTTTCACCAAAGAATCTCTTCTCCTTCTCTATTAGGCTTAGGCCTATTTTCGAAACTTTTGGAAATTGTGAGTATTTGGTTCTCAAGAGTACTAAAGCTTTCAATAGTGTCTAGGTTAAAATTTAACTAAGATTTGAAAAGAAGTTGAAGTTGAAGTTGTTCTGCTAGATGCTGCTTTCATTTCCTTCCATGTGTGTGTTATTACTTGAAACTTGAACTTGGATTTATGTTTTAGATTTATAACAAATCAATTACCGTGACTTCATTTTTGCAGATGTATTTATTGGCGTGAACATTGGAACAGATCTGTCAGACATGCCACACTCAACACAAGTAGTAGCCCTACTAAAAGCTCAGCAAATTCGACATGTCCGGTTATATGATGCTGACCGTGCCATGCTAGTTGCACTTGCAAATACTGGCATTCAAGTTATGATTTCTGTTCCTAATGAACAAATCCTTGGAATTGGTCAATCTAATTCCACTGCAGCCAATTGGGTATCTCAGAATGTGGTAGCACATTACCCAGCCACAAACATCACAGCCATAGCTGTTGGGTCAGACGTTCTTACCACCCTCCCAAATGCTGCAAAAATTCTTGTCAATGCTCTCAAGTACATTCAATCAGCCCTTGTGGCATCCAATCTTGACCGCCAAATCAAAGTTTCAACTCCTCTTTCTTCCTCCATTATCCTTGATTCCTTCCCACCTTCCCAAGCCTTCTTTAACCGTTCATTGAATCCAGTTTTGGTCCCCATGCTTACTTTCTTGCAGTCCACAGGATCGTTTCTCATGCTCAATATATACCCATACTACGATTACATGCAATCAAATGGTGTCATTCCATTAGATTATTCACTCTTCAAGTCCCTCCCTCCAAACAAAGAAGCTGTTGATTCCAATACGCTTCTTCATTACACTAATGTTTTTGATGCTGTGGTTGATGCAGCATATTATGCCATGGCTTTTCTTAACTTCACTAACGTTCCAATAATAGTGACAGAATCAGGCTGGCCTTCCAAAGGTGATTCTAATGAGCCAGATGCAACATTAGAAAATGCCAACACATACAACAGCAATTTAATAAGGCATGTCCTGAACAAAACTGGAACTCCCAAACATCCTGGACTTGCTGTTAGTACTTTCATTTATGAACTCTATAACGAGGATATGAAACCTGGACCAATCTCAGAGAAGAACTGGGGATTGTTTGATGCAAATGGGACACCTATCTACATTTTGCGTTTGACAGGATCAGGAGCAGTATTATCAAATGATACTACAAACCAAACTTTCTGTATTACAAAGGATGGTGCTGATCCAAAGATGCTTCAGGCTGCACTAGATTGGGCTTGTGGACCTGGCAAGGTGGATTGCTCAGCTTTATTGCAGGGAGAACCATGCTACGAACCTGATAATGTGATTGCACATGCAACATATGCGTTTGATACTTACTATCATAAGATGGGGAAGACTCCGGCAGCTTGCGACTTCAATGGAGTGGCTGCAATTACCACAACAGATCCAAGTAAGACTTCAACTGTACAGCATGCAACATTCTCCGAGTTGTAGGTTCTATTTCAATTTATTAAAAACTATTATCAGTTATGCATCAATGTTAACAATTCTGTTCTAATTATGCAGGCCATGGATCCTGCATATTTCCTGGAAGGTAAAATTCTGCTTATTTACTACACTTAGCTAGATGAGCAATTAACTTTGTTTCTTGGTGGTACAAAACAATTATGGCACCATTTGAATCTTGATTATTATTATTTTGTGCTCGCAGTCTCGGCAAGAATGGCACCTTGGTAAATATCACAGCTCCATCATTGAATTCCACAAGTGTAGATTCTTCCGCCTACAACCTTCACAGCAATGCTTTTACTAGCATTGTACTGATAATTGAAATTTTCATCAGCGTTGCAGTTTTCTTGTAGGCAGGTTGGTATGTATATGTGGGTCTGGGAAGCTTTCAGAAATTTTGAGATAGATGGTGCTCAGAGGGTGTGTTTCCCTTCACTAGGAGAAAAAGGGTCTACTTAGCAGGTAGTTTTAGGGATTTGGTTGACTCAATTTTGTAAAAAACAAAGCCGAATGGCCTGAGCTTCAACTATTAATTCATATTCTTTTAATTTGAAAGTTCTTTTGAAGTTCTACATTGTACATTCCTCAGCTGGATTAGATGTTTGACCCAAATTGCTCCTTGCTGCAAGAATTGGTTTTCCACTAGAATCTTGTATTATAAACTCCACTAAAGCATGATCTTTGTAGGTCATTGGCGCTTCAAATGTCCGCAGTAAAGATTTTTCATTGTTCGACTAAGTGGTTAGAGAATGCCGGAGGAAGCAGCAGGTAGGCCATTCTAGGCTTCATGTAAACATCCCACATTTTTTTTTTTGGGTGCTTGGAGGCCATGACAAGTAGGTTTTGGATGTTTTGGAGCAAGTTGGTAATATAAGGGGTATTTGGAAGCAGTAATCTGGATAGATTTGGGATGAATATGAAGTCAAATTAATATCTATAGCCGGCTTGTTTCACTCACGTTTTCTAATTAGCTGATGAAGATAACATGAAATTTTTAGGAACAAGAAGCAATGCCTTGGGTTGGGGAACTTTACAATAACGAACAAACTACTCTGAATACAATATCACTAATATTCACGAGGAACAAAGGTTTTTATTTATTTAAGCTTGACCAACTCAAGATAAAGTATCTTCTATGACCCCTTGTTATAATTGACACAAATAAAACACATTTTGATTAAAATTACAAAGGTGCATAGTCGGGAATGTGAATTTGTTTGGTTTTGTGGCTACACTTATAATGAATTCCTTGTTCGGTACATGTCGTTTGAATGAATCAAGACTATTTATAGCTCATTGAAATTTATTTGGTATTTTTTTTTAATGGTGGAGATTTGGATGCAAAAGTTGTGGTGTTGGGGGCTGCGGTATTAGTAAAAGACAGAGCTTTATTTTGTTACCTCTTTAAAGTACTAATTTTATCGAAAGTTCAGATTGATTCATTTGCAAGTTTGCGAATTGAAAAGAGAACTTCTGGTTACATGGCCTTCTGGTTGTTGGATTGGGGATTTAGTTATTGTTTGAGTTGTGCGTGATTCTCTCTAGATCAATTCAATATATGGTTGTGTTTGATAACTAGAAAAGATTTACCCATATTTGACACATAATTACTTTATACTTTTGTTATAATAGTATATATCGCTTATTTTCCAAAAAAGAAAAGAAAGAAAAGAAAAGAGAACTTCTAAGAGCATATCCAACCGATATGTCAAAAGTGCCACATAGACATTTAAAAGTTAGAAATAACATCTCACATCACTCTAACCGAATTGTCAAAGCTGATGTGGAATGAAGGCCAGAAGTTCAGCTGTTATTTTGACATCCCAAAAGTAAGATGTCAAATGAATATTTTATTATTTTTTTAAAGACAGCTGGTTGTAACTTTCATTTATTATTTTCCTATTTTATTTTTTTCTTCTTTATCTTAAATGATTTGACTGTTACAATAATTATTTATTTGACATATTGGGTGGAGTAAAAAACTGTGTAAATGTCAAATTGCCACATCAGCCATCAAATTTAAATTTGATGTTGGTATTGACATCTCCCTTGGAGATGCTCTAACAAATTCACGGAGCATTCATGATATATAAGTTATAAAGTGAATTTTTATTGGGTAATTTATCACTTGTATTAAAAAAAGAATTTTGTTTAATGTTGAAAATTAGATGTTTATTCTAACCCCAAAAAATATATGTTTTCGACCATGACACTCCAAAAAAATTTCAGTTGATCGCAGCCGTTCAGTTGTACAAAGAGACCTCCCAGTCGTCCTTTCCATCCATCCGAACCATTTTTATTCTAATCGCTAGGGTTTCTCTTCTCTGCCGAAACCAAACTAGGGTTTACAGCCTCTCTGAGCAAATCTCTCTCGGACTCTTGATTCCCCTTGAGGTAAATCCAGTAACCAATCCGTTTTTATTTTATCACCTTCAAATTATTTCTCTGTTTCCAGAGAAAGTGCAGGAATTTTTTTATTTTATTTCTTGCTCTGCACCGAAAGAAATACTGAAGTTTGAATTCTTTAGCAATCGTACGGGATGATATATTGTTAGAAACCATGATTGGAAAATGTATGTTGGTTGGTTTTTGTGAAATTTAATTTAGAATAAATTTTACGTTGGGGCTTTTGGCGTTGTTTCTGTAAATTGTGTTGATTGCTTTGTTTTCTTTCCGGGAAAATGTGATAAACCAACTGGCGTCGTCTTTGTTTATGATTGAGATTTTGAAGGAGCAAAGCCCTTTGCTTTTGCTTATACTGATACTGAAACAATAAGCTAACCAGGGCTCATATTTTGTTATTCAGCTGACTTTGGAATTGATTTTAAAATTGACTCAGTTGGGTATGGGTTTTGAAAATGATTATACTGTTTACTCAAGAGTAGTTAACCTACATTGTATCTCGACCTTTTCATGTCTTCAAAATAGTTGTAATTATGTTTCATTCCTATTGTTTAGTCAGATTTGTCAAGATGTATACGTCAAGGAAGAAGATTCACAAGGACAAGAACGCTGAACCCACTGAATTTGAAGAGTCAGTTGGACAGGTAAGATAAGCAGCTTTTTATTGAGCTTTCTATTGATGAAATTGTTGCTATGATGTTTAGATATAATCATGAGTTGTTTGTTGTCTGTGCAGGCAATCTTTGATTTGGAAACAAACTCGGACCTGAAAAGTGAACTGAAGGATCTATATATAAATTCGGCTGTGTATGAACTGTTTACTGAATGACTATTTATTGTAAACTGTTGCCATTGTATGATTAATATTCCTCCTTTATCCAGTCAAGTTGATGTGGCTGGGAACCGGAAGGCTGTTGTTATCCACATACCATATAGACTTAGGAAGGCTTATCGCAAGATCCATGTTCGGCTTGTGCGGGAGCTAGAGAAGAAATTCAGTGGAAAGGTGATTATTTAAGTTCTTTGGTTCTCTGCCATTTATGAAATCTAGATTTAACCCAGACTAGGTTTTCTTTGTGATGTTTTTCTGTACTTGTTTCTAGGCACTACATTTAGTGCCTTACAATCAAGGATATTTTATTTTTATGTTTTAGTTCCTAGTTCTGATCTTCCTAGCTGACTTTTCTTACAGTCAACCCATTTTATTTTTTCTTCTCTTACTTCATTTTTGCTATAATTAAAGTGAGTAGATCTCTGATTCAGACATGTATTTCTTTGCAAATAGTGGTTTTCTTTGGTGGTGTTTATTTTTGTTTGTCATGTGGTAGGATGTAGTTCTGATCGCCACACGGAGGATAGTGAGGCCTCCAAAGAAAGGGTCTGCTGTCCAACGGCCCCACACTCGTACTCTAACTGCTGTGCATGAGGCAATGTTGGAGGATGTTGTTTTGCCTGCTGAGATTGTTGGTAAACGAACTAGATATCGACTTGATGGGTCCAAGATAATGAAGGTAAGCTGTCGAAGGAAAACAATATTGTTTGATATATAGACACACACACACAAACACTTGGAAATGGAAAAAAAAGGGGTTGATTAATGCTTGAAAGATGAAGGCTAAGAACCTTATACCAAAGAGAAGATTTTGTTACGAAGATGTCCAAAACTGCCAATGGAATAGATGAATTGAGAACGTAGTACATTTAGGTGGGATGGATATTATAATGGATTTATTATTAAAGTACATACATAGGTTGTCAAGGGTAGGATTTTGTTTGTTAAGTACCATAATTATCTATCTTCAATGCTGGGCAGGTTTTCTTGGATCCCAAGGAACGAAACAACACGGAGTACAAGCTGGAGAGCTTTTCTGCAGTTTACAGGAAGCTTTCAGGAAAAGATGTTGTGTTTGAGTACCCAATAACTGATGCATAGAAACAGTGTGCGATGGCGCCTTCCAAATAGGTTCCCGTCCCTTTTCTTTATATTTTCTATGAACTTATGCTCATCAGGCAATCAATTCAAAATTTTGATGTTGAGGGCGCGGTGCGGTGTGCCTTTGGAAGGATTTTGGTCTCTTCAATATTAGCACATTTAAGTTAGGTGATATCGGTTAATGTAGCATTTTTTGTTTTCTCTTAGACTTGCTCTTTTCATTATGCATGGTCATTGACAAGTTTGCTTTTAGTCTGGTGATTTTGTTTTGTTTATTTAAGTCTATTGACCTATTTTTCTCAATGAATATGCACTGGAAACTAAAGAAGTTTCTATGAACTAGTTATGATTCTTTGTAATACAACCTCTGTATTTGATGCAGCATGTTATGCCATTGCTTTTCTTAACTTCACTAACAAGCAAAAGTTTTGGTTACAATATCTCAAGAAAATATCACAGAGATAGACTTCATCAGTTTGAGGGATCAACAAAAGAGACATGTAAAAGGGCAGAGTACTGAAAGAAATACCAGGATTTATGAATTTGATTACAATTTATTGATTCGCACAAGTCACAGAGTAAGCATTTCCCAAACACTTGGTGCACGTACCAAATGCAACTGAACTCAGCAGGAAAAAAAATATTAACAAAAGAGTTCACAGATGAAGCCTCCATTTGCAACCAGCACAACAGCAGAGCTAAGAGATATGAACCAATCCCTAAAGCCAAAAGTAGGGACTTGAGGTTCCAAAACCAACAGAGCTCCGATATAAATCACACTTGTATCACAAAGCAGTTATAGACATGGCAACACAAGCATAACACAACAGGAATTGGAATGCCTGAATGCCAACACAAATCACACAACCATTTCCAAATTCTTCGGCCTGTGCCTTGAGGTGGCCGCTTGCAAGCTTGTATTAAACAATTAACATTGATCAGATCGGCAATGGCGGCAAGGGCGGGAACAGCTGGGTGAGGGTGGAACAGAGAGAATTGTCAGAACAAGTAAAAATGTATTTATCGAATGGTATCCACTACATACTGAATGAATGGTACCAGTATATACTTACAGTGAAACTAATTAGGAATTGATGTGGTGGAAACTATGGAATATGGAGTCTTGCAGCATTAATTTGTATGGGCAATCAGCTGCGTCATTCCTCCCTGGAAATATATTGTTGAGCATTACAACGAAACATACGACCATACAGTTTATTAATATGAATGAAAACTTATACCGTTTCATTGCCATCATCTTCTTCTTCTTCTTTTTCTTCCACTTCCTCTATTATTTGTTGTCTTTCTGGTCTTGAACCACTTTGACTCAGTGACCCATCAGGGGAAATCTCCAACTCAATCAGGCATTCCTTGACAATTAAAGAGTTTAAGGATGGGACTCTAACAGTGCAATTTCCTGATGAGCAACAGCCTCGCAGACTTGGTAGATAATAAAGTTTCAAATGTTGCAAGCAGCTGAAAGCAATCTCATAATAATTTCTTGAATCTTCTTCATCTTCGTTGCTTGCCACTATCTCTATCATGCTTTCACAATTCTCAACTTCCAAGCTCTTGAGTTTGTGTAAACATTTAGCCACCGAATAAGTTGTTAAGTATTTTAGTCCCTCACAATTTGCTACGTGTAAAGTGGTTAGATTCCGAAATGATATTATGGATGAAGTTAGATTCTTTAATCTGCCACAATTGTTCACATTTAGAATTTCCAAGTTTGGAAAAACTGATTCAGAGTTGTCATTCCCAATCCCTAGATGCATCAGCTCCTTCATTTGGTTGAGATACAAAATCTTTATGTGCGGGAGGGTCCTCCCAACTGCATCTATTTCCCTGCTACTAGTTCCTTCATACACAAATATTTCTTTCCAAGGACCATTATAAACAACGAGCTTTTCAAGATTATGTAATTTCTCAAGGAAATGAAATGACTGGGGGTGTGCACAAGAAAATGCAAACTCTTTTAGATTGATAAACAACTTTGCTGGGAGTGGACTATGTGCTTCATACCAAATCTCTGCGTTCTTGTCCAAGCCCAATACTTCCAAGTTGGGGAATGGATTACCCTGAAATAATATCAACATTTGGATGTCATTGTCAACCCATTTGGCCAGTTGCATAACTAAATACTATATTCAGTGGCATTCACCTAGTCACCAAGGACCAAGGAACATTATGGTCACTTGCCGTTTGATCTCATCCAAGGGCAAATAATGAATCAAGTATTAATTATATTAAAAAAAATTAATTATTAAAAAAAAACTCAAATATGCTACCAACTTCAATTATAATTTATACCGAAGTGAAATTATGCCTCACCCTTGCTCATCGGCTTTCACTCTCTAATCTAAGAAGAACTTGGCCTCTGTTCTACCTCAGTCTCTTGTCAATTTCCAATTTTGGTTTTTGTGCTTTTCTTTGGGTTTTTTCGTTTCTTGGCTAAATTCAGTACTTATTCAGTTTTTCTTTATACAATCTTATTCGGTGATTTCATGTACTCTATTGGGGAATCCTACACAGAAAAGAAATGAGGCATTTCTGGAGAGTGAAAGGAAAACGTGAGACAGTGAGAGGAGTAAGTGGGTTTAAGCATTAGTTGTTTTTTTGTTGTTGCTGTAATTGAAATTTTGGGAAGTGTTTTTTAAATTATTTAAGGCTTGAATCATTATTTATCATTGGATGAGATCTAACGGTAGGTGACCAAGGTATTCCTGAATCCTTGGTGACACTATCTTCATCTAATGTCATCGATTGAATTATTTTAAATTTTCGAGTCTTTATTTTGTTGTATACATGTCTTTACTATATATATGTTAGTAAATAACTACTCCCTAACCTCGACTATTGTTTTATTCGACGGATGTGCTTTGAATTTTTTGACAAGGTGGAGGCCAAAAAATTATTTTAATAAAAGAAAATCTGCAATACTTAATGATAATAAAAATTGCAAAGAAAATAAGTGAAGAGGAATTTCGCTACAGGAGCAAGAGAATTTTGTACCTTGTCAACTAACAAAAAAGGTTGTTTGATTGGTGTACCCGAATCAAGTCTTTCTTGGAATCTTGAATATTCGGAAGCAAGAATCTCCACTTTACCACATTCACAGACTATCAATGATTTGAGTAATGGCCACTTGGAAACATGTAGCCCCGAATAGAAACTCCTCAGCTGGGGTAGAAGTTGCAATTGCACAAGTGTTACTTTAGAGAACACAAATGTTACTTTAGAGAACACAAACTCAGGTGTCATTTCTAGTCCGTCCTTGGCAACAATTTCTTCCAATATTCCACAATTCACCACGTACAGCTCGCTTAGCTGCTGAAGACCTTTAGCCACTGAGACTGGAAAGATATTTTTCAGACTCTCACACGAATTTATTTCTACATAATCCAGATTTGGGCACCCAAAAGTTTTCAACTGAGTGGTTGATGATGTGCCGTATGCTTCTTTAACGCCAAGTACTACTCCCATGTCAAAAACTACTTGTAGTGATTTGCATTGCTTTATCACTAATGTGCCTAGAGCATTCAATCTTCCCATCATACTTGGCATAAAGATATTTATTAGACCCTGGCATCTCAAAACTACCACTTCTTTGAGCTTTCGAAAAGAGTCTGGAGCAAGTTGGCAGTGCCATACAGTCCTCAACTTAGGTAGGTCATAGATGATCAACCTCTCCAAGCTAGGAAATCCTACCTGTATGTATATTCATCTCATAAACTAGTCAGAACACTTTTTTTCACTAATGAGGTACACATTAATTGGAAATAAATGCATAAAGAAAGGGAAAGAAATTTATAATTCACCTTTTCATCAAAAAGAAAGCGTGGTATAACAGTCTCAAGATTCTCCTTGGAGTTCATATCGTCATTTTCTTTGCCTATTGAAGTAATTTCACTCTTTCTATCAAAGATGAATGTCCCCAGTCTAGGACAATCCTCAATATGCAATGTCTCCAATAATGAAAATTCAATATAACTTCCGGAGTAGAATCTAGTGAGGCTTGGAAGATGTTGCAGATTTAGAGATTTTAGATTGCAAAACATGTTATCTCTATGTTCTTGATTGTATCCACTTGTTGATACTATTTCTTCCATCATTTGGCATGTGGATATCTCAAGATGTTTGAGTTGCTCAAGACGTCTAGCCATGGAACATGAAAACAAGAATCTTAAACCATCACATTGATGCAAGATCAAGCGTGTTAAGTTGGGTATCAGAACCTGGGTATAGTACACAATTCATGTTTAATTAGGGAAATGACAATTTACATGCTCATCAGTTGTATAAATTCCAAAATGAGTTGACAAAAAGTAAAGGTCTAATATGTCCTTGTGGAGTAAAAATGTATCTGAAAAAGAAAAAGTGGCCTCAAAGTTTATTAGTCTATTAATTTAAAATATAACACATTTTTGTTGAATCACTGAATATTGTACACTAATAAATACACTTTCGAGAATGGATCATGCTTTCGTCATAATATGAATCATTGAATATTGTACACTAATTAAAAGCTAATACCTTTTCTTTCTCGATCAAAAACTAATAAATTAATATACCGTTTAAATGAATTGTAACTTGGATATAATTTCAATCCTAGTACTACATAATCCGTGCATAAAGAATATGCATTATTTAAATGGATTATTTTCTACCTGCAGAAAGAATGACCCAAATGAAATATATACAAAAGCAACTAATTTGTTAAGAAATAAATATAGAACAAATCCGAATGATATGTAGAAAGGCTGGGCATATGAAACCGCAAAACGTACCTCTCCATCCATGAAAAGTTTCGAGGGTCCACCAATTTCATTCTCCAAAATGATTTCTTCGGCCTCTGTACTTACAACTGACGTGCTGCCTTTGGAGGAGAAACCAATAAGCTTTGGCAGATTCCGCAAAGTCAAAGATCGTAACTTTTGAAAAGGCTGAGCTATGAGTTGGCCACAACATACAGTTTCCAAATTAACAAGGTTGTAAAGAGATAGTGACTCCAAGTTGGGGAAGGCATGACTCGAGTTAATGACAGCTGTAACAGCATCGTTGTTTTGGACATGGAGATTCTTCAGTTGTTTACCACTTGCTAATATATGGGAAATAATATTTGCAGCCTCCATCCCATCCAATTCCAAATCTTCACATCTCTTTAGCAGCAATTTTATACCTTGGTCGAATTGACTGACCGTAATGAGCTTGAGTTTTAACATGTTAGAGGACGTTTCGTCAATTCCAGGATATTGCCAACAATCACCAATAAGTATGGTGTATCTTTCTAACTTCGTATCCGAGAACATGTTTGCTGGAAGAAGCTTAGCATCTGGAATATGTATATGTAATGCAGTTAGTTGACGCAATTGTTTCAGCTCTGACACGCTCGCATTACTTCTTCCATCATTTAAACCTCCTTTCCATTCCTTAAAGCTTCCCATTCTCAAGTCTTCTAGACTTGTCAAGCTTGATATAACCCCAGCCGGGATCACTACAAGTTCAGAGCAACAAGTCAAATCCAACAATTGTAGACGAGTCAATTGCCCTATTTCTTTGGGCAACTCTTTCACCTGGGACTGTATAAGGCTAAGAATTTTCAAGTTTGTTAGCTGTCCAACTAGAGCTATGTCCCCCAACACGCAACCATCTAAACACAAAGTTTGAAGATTTGTTAGGGATTGAAGAGATGGAGGCAGTGATCGGAAATGAAGCCCTGTTAAATCTAACACTCTGAGTTCCTTCATCTCTTCAAAAAAGTTGCTAGGGATTTCAAGCGAGTTGTCACTACTCCCCAAATAAAAAAATTCCAGTTCAGGGCATTCCCAAGGTACATCGGGAAGCTTGGGGATAGTACAGTATCGGAGAGAGATTTGAGAGCAGTCTTTACTTGGACTTCCATCCAACTCTGTATAAGCTCTTGATAGGACATGTCGATCTCTAGATGCAATTTGGACAGCAACATCTCGTACAACATCATGCATTCTAACCCTTCCATCGTCATAACCATCAAGCAACAGGCAAGAATTTTTAAGTTTTTTAACCAACGAATGCAATGCATTCCGTGCCTCTTCCACCGTGCGAACATTTTCAACCAGACCCAAACCTATAGAATATTTCAACAAGTCAGAGAGAAAAGAAGCATAGTTACTTTCAGCCATTATTCCACAGAGCAAGAACAACCGCTTAAGCTCCTCGCTATCCAATTGATTGTAACTCCACTCTATTATCAAGAATGCTATTTCTGCCAATCCTTTTTTCTCGAAACTTTTGAAGCGCCTCAAGGTATCTTTCCATTCCTCTAAAGAACTCTCTCTTAAACCGCTTGCAACTGCAACAACTAAAATAGGCAAACCTCCGCATTTTTTTGCCAATTCGTTTGCTACTCCCTCTATACGGTCATCTTTAATAACAGCACCTGCCTTCTTCTCAAACAAACTCAGACTTTCTTGTTCGCATAAAAGGTCAAGGGGAAAATTTTTTTGCGTACCCATCTCAGAAAATAAAACTTTCTTATCTCTAGATGTCAACAATAAATTACAAGTCCGGACATGGACAAGTCCCACAGCCTCCAAATCAATTCTTCTCGAAACATCATCTAAATTACAAGAGTCTTCTTGTCTTTTATCCTGCGCCATAAAAAGTTTGCCCTTACTGCCGTACTTTGAGGTTCCTCCACTTCCATACGTAACTTTTCAGCAATTTCTTTTTGAATTTCCATGTCATTTTTTTCTTTTACATTAAGTATTATAACCACATCATCAAATAACTTTTCTTTATTAGCTTCTCTGAATACTTCTTTGGCGAGTGTTGTCTTTCCAACACCCCCCAATCCGTACACCCCAATCCTGTTGGTATCAGGATTTTTCAGTTCCTCCATGATTTCCTTCAGCATTGAAGTCCTTGATTCAAAGGCCATGTATTCTTGAGAGGGTATGGCACATATATCTTCTACTGGAGCTTCGTAAGAAACACTGCGAAACTCTGTTTTTGCATGTAGTTCAATCTTTTTGCCAATTTTGCTGATTTCCTGCTAAACTGATGATACGAAACCAGATTAGGACATACTCCACGGAAACACTTTGTATTTGCTCGGCCTTCTTTTTCAACAATTGCATTTGCCTCTTCAATCATCTCATCTGCTTCTTGTCTCCAGTTCTGGACATCAGTTTCTACTCCTTTACCATTTCTTTCAACTTCATCAACCCTATGCTTCATCCGGTCTTTGGCAGCATCTAAGTTCTTCAATTGACTCCTCAGACTTTCTAGGTTGCTTTTGTAGTTAATTAGATAACCCACTTGTCGCCCAATTGGTTTAACCGTGTACTCGATTATTGTAGGAATAATGGCGGTGAGGATCTCCATGCTTCTTATTTTTGCCTTTGGAATTTAAAAACTGTTGAATTACAGAAGAAAAAAGTAATTAGAAAAGAAATATAGCTACCCATAAAATAAAGGCTTAAATGTTAAAATGGTCCTTGTGTTTTAGTCAATTGGCAAATTTAGTCCTTGTGTTTTTAATTTGACCAATTTAGTCCCTGTGTTTTACTCCGTTAGCCAATGTTGTCCATTTTGTTAAATTGTTGTTAAAAAATTCATTTAAAATTTTAAAAATTATTAAGTTCTATTCACAAAGCAAACAAATATGAATTAAAATAACAAAATGTTAAAAAAACAATCTGGAAACCCGACAGCCTCTATGTTTACATGCCACCACAACCACCATGAGGAGTCCCAGCCACCACCCTATTCTCTCTCTCTCTCTCTCTCTGTTTTTCAATTGTCGAATCCCAACATGGCAACCAAGTGCTTCAGTTTCTTTTCACTGATTCTTTTGCTCTGCTCCACATTCATTGCAGTAAAGTGCCTTACCTTTCAATATCATGAGTACAACAATTGGAGGTTTCCTTGATGGGTTATCTCTTGGAGCCATCAAAGAATCGGGCCCTAGCCCAGATGAGGGGCACAAATTTACGAACCAACAAACCCTTGGAGGGATAAAGAAACCTAGCCCGAGCCCTCCCTTCCCTCCCCACAACTCCTCCATCTCTCTTTCTCTCTTCCTTTTTCCATCCCACCCACCCACCCCCACAAAATATGAGTGAAATAAAGATTCAACATCAGTATTGGCAGGCAACTGATGGTTGCGGTGTTGGGTTGGGTGGCGGCAGCAGCATGAGAGAAGGACACAGTCTGTTGGTTTTCCAGAATTTCTTTTTTATTTTTTATTTTGTTATTTGTATTAATATTATAAACTGAACTTAACAAATTTTTTATATTAATTTTTAAATTTTAATGAATTTTTTTAAAGGTAATTTAACATAATGGACAACATTGGCTAACGATATAAAACACGGGGACTAAATTGACCAAATTGAAAATACAAGGATTAAATTTGCCAAATGTGTAAAACACATGGACCATTTTAACATTTAAGCCTAAAATAAAATAAGAAAAAATATACAGCTACACTTTTTTTTCGTTTTTTCATTAAGCTTCTTCTGGAAACAACTGTAAAGTGAAAGTGTAATGAAGATAAGTGAAACAAAATGCATGACTCTCAAATCTCGAAACAAAAAGAATAGTAGGGCTACAATTTTCCTTTAATTTTTTGTTTTAGTAGTGTTTTAATTTTTGTAACTTTTTTAAATCTCATTAATCGAAGGGGCAAATTTCTAGAGGAAAAAAATTAGTTGGATTTAATTCTGAAATATTTATTAATTATGTTCAAATAAAGCTACCCATAACAAAAATAAGAACATAAAATAGCAGAGCAAATATATGGAAATAAAAAAAACAAATAAGGAAATAAAAAGACGCACCTTATACCTTTCTCTCTTTTGGTTACGAATGAGGGGTCAGTTTCCTTCAAATATGCTTACTGAACGCGGGAGCACAATTGGTCTGGTAAATGAGACAAAGCTGAACTACCACAATGTCGACACAATGAAATCAAGGGACAAAGGAAAACTAGGAAATCTGAAGGCGGTACTCTTTTTTTTTGGTTTTTTGATTGGATTTTTAATTTGGAAGTAAAGCAAAATAAATCTAAGCAGAAGCTGGTTGCTGCAATGAAGAAACCGAAGGCGCGCAGGTGACTCTTAATCAGAAAAAGCAGGCTGCTGCAATGAAGAAACTGAAAATGCACAGGAGACACTTAATCAGTGAAGGGTGGCAATCATGAACACAAAGAAACAAAGCATCCAACTGTCTTTCAGTATCATTGTTTTTCAATTAAACCCAAAACTGTGTTATAATTAAATGTAATTGCACTTCAATCTTGTTTGCTTCAGCTAACAAGAGTGGTAATTTATGATTAAATTTGGTAATGTCAAGCTGGCAACATGACATAAATTGGATGATGTCATATGTGTCGTCATCCATAAAAGAAGGCATGATGTCATGGTCACGTGAAGAAGAATAAAGAGAGCTATGTGGAACCAATAATTCAATTCTTATTAAGTTGCTATATGGAATCCAATGAAAATTTTCAACTTATACAAAATAATTTTAATTGCATTAAATGTATAAATAAAATAGTATTATTTAATGAGCACTGCCATTTGAAATAACTTTATCTGACTACATTTAGCTAAATGTGGCATAAATTCTTATTTAATCATCATCACATCGGAATTACAGGTTGGTAGTTCCTTTTTTCCTTCTCTGATAGCTATGAGATGTCAACTACCACCTATTATTTGATTTCAACCATTATCACATGGGAATTTCATTCTGACCCATGGCAACCTTCATTTGTTTTGGCCCCATGGCAACCTTCATTTGTTTTTGTGTTATGGTTCATGCGAACTGATCGACATGGTAATATAACTACTGTAACGTGGGCCCAAAGCTGCTCTATGAATTGCGAAGAAGATTACAAGTAAATTCTTAGAGCATGACCTCTTTGGGGTACGTATAAGAGGGTGTACATCACATTTACACCCTTTTTGGACGGAAACAAATGCAGTGGGTGTGTGTATATGAGTGTAAAAATAGAGGAATCGGCCTATATGCCAAAAGTATTGAACTTTACATCTTTTTTTCACATCTATGAAATGGGCCATGCATTAAGTACAGTAGGAGAGATGAGAGAGAAACACTGCAAATTTTCCAAATTTACACGTTAGTGACGCCCAAGTACATCCTTACTCGAGTGTTATCAATAAACTCTTGTTATATAACACGTTTATCTGTTTATTAATATTTTGTAGTAGGATTATGAAATATGAACTTGTAGCCCACCTATATTATAATATATGAAATCGTAATAACCATATGTGTCTGTGACACAACTTAAGCCCAATTCCATGCTCTCTAAAGAATTTTAATTGTGCAAAAGGTTATAAACGTTTGTGAAAATCATTCACACCAGAGCTAATAAGATTATCCTAAAGCACTTGATCATAAGAATTTGTGAAAATCTCATTTTTATTTGGAGATAATGTATTGCTTGTTAGCGAGATTTTAGCTTAATTAGGAGATTTAAGCTACACATAACAAAAATAAGAACATGAAATAGCAAAGGACAAATAAGGGAATAAAAAGACGAAAATTAATACCTTTCTCTCCTTTGGTTACGAATGATATCACTTCCCTTCAAATGCTTATAAAACACTGCAGCACAATCGGCCTAATGATGAGACAAAGCTGAACTGCTACTACTTTTTTTTTCTTTTTACTTTTTTCTTTTTTCTTTTTTCCTTTGAAAATAAAAGCAAATCAAAGGTGATAATAACAGAACGAAATCAAGGGTGTCAAACGAAAACCAGAAATTCTACTTTTTTATTTATATATATATATATATAAATATATAATGAATAAGGTTCTTTTGGGAACAATGGCAAAGGAAAAGCGAAACAAATTGGAAAAAAAATGACACAATGAAATCAAGGGACAAACAAAAACGAGGAAATCTGAAGGGGAATTTTTTTTTTTTTTTTTTTTTTTTTTTTTTGATTGGATTTTTAATTTGGAATTAAAGCAAAACAAATCTAAGCAGAAGCTGGTTGCTGCAAATGAAGAAACTGAGGGTGCGCTGGAGTCTCTTAATCAGAAAAAGCAGTTGCTGCAATGAAGAAACGAAAGTGCACAGGAGACACTTAATCAGTGAGGGGTGGCAATCATTGAAGACAAAGAAACAAAGTGTCCAACTGTCTTTCAGAATTATTGTTGTTTGGCAAGATGGCGTAAATTGAATAATGTCCTATGTGTAATCATACATAAAAGAAGGCATGATGTCAACTACCACCTATTATTTAATTTCAACCATCATCACATGGGAATTTCATTCTCACCCGATGTCGAGCTGGGTCTTCTAGTCTCGAAGTTTTGTTTTCCTTTTAATTTTGGTCATGGAATATTGTTAGATTTTCAATATCCGTCAAAATCATGTTGTACGTAAATGTCACGTTGTGTTTGGTCACTTTCTGATGGCAACTTTGTCATTGTATAAATGAAACATTAATGAATTGATTAAAAGAAACTAGAAAAATAAGAAATGTCAAAAAAGCAAAAGAAAAATATCCCTATAGCTCTTTCTAATTTACCAAGTGGGCTAAAAGAAGTAGTTAGTGTCATATTAATTTAGCTTATTCTTAAAAAATTTGCGAAGACAAGACAACCCTCTAATTTGAAATCCCGACTCTGCCAATACATATGGCAGGTGAATGTTAAGCCTGGTGAATTAAGTCTCACAATTAATACGAACTTGCACTCCAAATTATTCTCATCTGCCTTCCAAACGTTTGCTTTGGAGGAGTGGAGTTCAGATTCCATTATTACTTGCACAGTTTTATTTCTTTTTTCCAAAGAAAGGGAGATAAATTTAACTCTAGTTTAATAACTATGATTTTTTTAAGGGTAACTTTAACTAACATTATATGAGCTGTTGTTTTACATCAGTATAGACCAAGACTTGGATATGTGGAATTGGAAAGTCATACTAAACAAAAATATTATCTAGAAAGCTTCCACCAATTGAGACTCGTGAATCAACCACCTATTATCTAATTCTAAGCATTGTCCCATACGTTACGTATTTAATAACTGACAGCTGATGCTGATAATTATGTGTCCCTATTAATTTTCGATGTAATACAGTGAGCTAGAAAAGTGTAAAGGCTTGCTGCTACTTAGCTGTATAGTGAGCAAATAAAAGTTACCAACAGAATAAGGTTGAGTCTTTGGTGAAAAACCTAGTGGCAGAGGAAACTTGTAGGCTTTGTTTGGTATGCATGACTATCATAGGCCATGGATTATATTTAGGGATTGTCATGAATTCGCTTGGGTTGGTCTAAGCTAGATAAAATTTATCTTGTGTTTGGTGTATTCACTTGGCTTGATCTAAGCTTATTATATCACATTGTGTTATCAATCAACTCATGTTATATTACGTGTATCTGTTTATTAATATTTAGTTATAGGTTTATGAAATATTAACTTGCAGGGCTCTCCTATGGGGCCATTGACACATGGTTTCTTCTGTGTTCTTTTGATTGGCTTTTATAATTTGAGAAGTAAATGAAGAAAGTGAAAGTGCAAAGGAGAATTTTGATCAAAGAGGGTGAATGGCAATAATAATCTTATAGCAGGTAGTTTTAGCGAATAGTCCCTAAAAATTCTTATTGAACTTTTACTGATCAAAACATCCCATAGTTTCCAAAACAACTCAAAATAAAGAATTGTTTTTGGGGTGCTTCGGTGGCTATGACAATAAATTTTTGGATAGTTTGAAACAACTACCATAATATGCAAAACTTTTGGTTAGAGTATCCACAATTATGCTCTTTATTTTTTAATTAAATTTTAGTTTAAAATATATAAAAGTTATTTTAGGAGCTCTCTATAAAATTTAAACTCCAATCATGCTCTCTAGTTTAGGGAGTAATAAATGCTATAACTATTTTTTAATTGGTCCATCTCTATTAAAAAATATTATAAAAAATAGTTAGTATTAATTAAAGGTTTGAAATACTCATTAAATAAAACAGCATTAAATCTGAAATAATTAGGTTCAAATAAAGCTACCCATAACAAAACAAATAAGGGAATAAAAGATGCAACTTATACCTTTCTCTCTTTTGGTTACGAATGAGCTCAGATCCCTTCAAATATGCTTACAGAACGCGGGAGCACAATTGGTCTGGTAAATGAGACAAAGCTGAACTGCTACTACTTTTTTTTTCTTTTTTCCTTTGAAAGTAAAAGCAAAACAGAGGTGATAAAAACAGAACGAAATCAAGGGCGTGAAACGAAAACCAGAAATTCTGCTTCTTCTTCTTTAAAAGTATAAAGGCTTGCTGCGGCTTAGCTATGTAGTGAGCAAAAAAAAGTCAACAAGAAGATAAGGTTGAGTCTTCGGTGAAAAAACTAGTGGCGGAGGAAACTTATAGGCTTTGTTTGGTATGCATGAATATTATAGGTCATGGATTATATTTAGGGATTGTTATGAATTCGCTTGACTTGGTCTAACCTAGATAAAATTTGTCTTGTGTTTGGTGTGTTCACTTGGCTTGGTCTAAGCTTATTATATCACGTTGTGTTATCAATCAACTCATGTTATATTACATGTATTTGTTTATTAATATTTTATTATAAGTTTATGAAATATCAACTTGTAGTTCACTTATATTATAACATATGAATTCGTAACACATATATGTGACTCTGACACAACTTAAAAGCCAATTTTGTGTCCTTTAAAAAATTTTAATTGTGCAAAAGGTTATTTTTTGAAAATTTAATGTTTAAAATTAGCACTAATATTTAATTTATTTGTAAGATGTAACAGATTCACACCCGAGCTAATAAGATTATCCTAAAGCACTTTATCATAAGAATTTGTTAAAATCTCATTTTTATTTGGAGATAATGTATTGCTATTGGATGGTTTATCTTTAGCATCTTTGTTTCGATGGTCCATTCTGTTTGGCATACATATAGTCAGTCAATGGTCCATACCACCAGATGGAAAGTCGCGTGTTGATTGGTCAGTCAATTGAACGGTTGCAATATTATTTATACTTTATGAAAATACAGAAATCCTATATGGAAATTTAAAAAACGTCACAAAGTTGAGTCTTTAACGTAAGATAAATTATAAAATAATACGATAGTATCACGTTGTGTTAAATTATAAAATAATACAGTAGTACCACTTATCATGAGTTCACTTTGTGCTGTCAACTTGATCAAATTACTGGCAAAAATTGAAGCTGGGTTGGAGGTTTCTCTATTAATTAAATTGGGTATGTGATCAAGTAATTGAAGCTATTCTCTTAAGTATAGCTAGCTTGGAAGAAGATGGCTGAGTCTTGAGACCACTTGTGGCGTCAACTTGATCAAATTACACATATGTTGATGTGAAGTAAGAAATGAGAACCACATATCTTTCTTTCTTTAGAGCCTTATCAATAACTGTCGTTTGAATGATGACTTACAAAATGAATGTTTTTTTTTTCTTTCCTTGTTCTAAAAATAAACGGTTTTGTTTATGTGATGACTTACAAAATGAAATATGCCCAAGTGAGTTGTTATTGCAGTATTAATTTACTAAGCGTCCTCATGCTTCTTATTAAATGGTCAATTTGATTGATTTGATTTTTTTTTTTTCAAGGTATTTTGATTGATTGAGTTGAATGCACAGTCAATTTGTTTTAGTCTCGAAGTTTTGTTTTCCTTTTAATTTGGGTCATGGAATATTTGTAAAATCAATTAGGTACTTATTGTTAGATTTTTCAATATCCATCCAAATCGTTGTACGCAAGTGTCACGTTGTGTTTAGTCACTTTCTGATGGCAACTTTGTCATTGTATAAATGAAACATAAATTAATTGGTTAAATGAAACTAGAAAATAAGAAATGTCAAAAAAAACAAAAGAAAAATACCCCTACTCCCCTCTCTCTGTAGTTTAGACCATTACTTCTACTACAAAAACATTATAATAGGGGATGGTGAAAATTTCTCCCTCTTTTACTCGAGTGTTATCAATAAACTCTTGTTATATAACACGTTTATATGTTTATTCATAATTTGTAGTATGATTATGAAATATGAACTTGAACCCCACTTATATTATATTACATGAACTTGTAACACCTATGTGTTTGTGACACAACTTAAGACCCAATCTCTAAAGACTTTTAATTGTGCAAAAGGTTATTGTTAGAAAATGAAACGTTTAATATTAATACTAATATTTATATATTTTTTCAATTTAAATGGAATTCGGATGCGAATCTGGTTGAAAATGAGACCCAAATTTCAAAACTCTTCAACTTTTAGTATTATCATGTCGAACAATGTTTGCTTGGAGCATTAGTTTTGAGTATGTTTAAGTTGTAACACATTCACACCCCGAGCTAAAAAATCTTGCTCATATGGGAATTTGTAAAATCTCCATTTTTATTTGGAGATAATGTATTGCTACTGGCGAATTTGCTCTTTACCGTCAACATAATAAGATGATCATCAGCCAATTGCTATAAAAGATGAGTAGACTTCGACTTAGACACAACCTAGTTATATTCAAGAACCGAATCTTCGTTCCGACGGTCCATTTTGTTTGTCCTACATATGGTCAGTGTCAATGGTCCATACCACGAGATGGAAAGTCGCGTGTTGATTGGTTTGGAATTGAAAGGTTGCAATATTATTCATACTTTCTGAAAATATAGAAATGCTATATGGAAATTTGAAATGCGTCACAAAATTGGGTCTTCAACGTGAAATGCGTTACGAAATTCGGTCTTTAATGTGGGATAAATTATAGAATGATACGGTAGTACCATGTTGTGTGTATCTTGGACCTCACCAATCCCAATAAATTTCTAATTTGATTATTTTGTTAACAATTTTATTCACAAAAGTCTGTGATCCAAAAACCAAACCATTAGCTCAAAATAAACTGAATAAAATACAAACAAGTTAAATTAGAGTAGATGTAACAAATGTGGCATATAGGTCACAGAACATACAGGGTGTGAGTAGTAGAAAAAGGGTGGCCGAATGAAAAAGCTGCGCACCAAACTGGCAAAAATTGAAGCTGGGTTGGAGGTTTCTCTGCTAATTAGGTATTTGATCAAGTAATTGAAGCTGTTCACTGAGTATAGCTTGGAAGGAGATGGCTGAGTCAACTCGATCAAATTACTATCTGCTGATGTGAAGTGAGAAATAAGAACCACATCTTCTTTAGAGCCTCATCAATAACTGTCGTTTGTTAGTGCTACACTAGCACTCGTATGGGGCCATTGACACATTGTTTCTTCTGCTTTTTCTTTTTCGCATTAGCTGAACTGTTATACTTACACCATCTCCAAAAGATGCTAAACCTAAATTTGTCCTCCATAAGTACAGCTTTTCTATTCAGGAGGTCCACAGCAATACTTTATGTCATCTTAATTTATAACATAGTAATCAGGAATGAGTAAACATTGGATATGACTTACAAAGTGAATGGTTTTTTTCTTTTTCTGTTCTAAAAATAAACGGTTTTGTTCATGAGATGACATGATGAAATATGCCCAAGTGAGTAGTTATTGCCGTGCCGTATTAATTTACTAACCGATTAGCTCTTGAGCGTCATCATGCTTCTCATTAAATGGTCAATTCGATTCATTTGATTTTTTTTTCGAGGTACTTTGATTGATTGAATTGAATGCACAGTCAATTTGTTTTAGTCCCGAAGTTTTGTTTTCCTTTTAATTTTGGTCATGGAATATTTGCAAAATCAATTAGGTACTTATTGTTAGATTTTTCAATGTCCATCTAAATCGTTGTACGCAAGTGTCACGTTGTGTTTGGTCACTTTCTGATGGCAACTTTGTCATTGTATAAATGAAACATAATTAATTGATTAAAAGAAACTAGAAAATAAGAAAATGTCAAAAAAGCAAAAGAAAAATATCCCTAGCCTAGCCTAGCCCCTTCCGTCCTCTCTGTTACTTTGTTTGGGGTGTCCTTCGTGATTTGGATGTCCTTGATTATAAGGCTTTCTGGTTCATCCAATCGCACTTAACCACTAATTAAACTCTCATTACGTTGCTATCTGAACCAACTTATCTGACCACGTGAGGGAGGAGGAGATATGAACAGATTTAATGGGTTATGGTAAAGATAGAATATTAGACTCATTAACTGATGTTGTATAAATAAATCGAAATTTAAGGTTACTGATACTGAAACGATAAGCTAACCAGGGCTCATATTTTGTTATTCTGTTTACAAGGATGCTGAACTTGAAGAGTCAGTTGGACAGTTTTTTATTGCGCTTTCTATTGATGAAATTGTTGCTATGATGTTTAGATATAATCATGAGTTGTTTGTTGTCTGTGCAGGCAATCTTTGATTTGGAAACAAACTCGGACCTGAAAAGTGAACTGAAGGATCTATATACAAATTCAGCTGTGTAAGAACTGTCTACTGAATGACTTTTTATTGTAACTGTTGTCGATTGTACGATTAATATTCCTCCTTTATCCAGTCAAGTTGATGTGGCTGGGAACCGGAAGGCGGTTGTTATCCACATACCATATAGACTTAGGAAGGCTTATCGCAAGATCCATGTTCGGATTGTGAGGGAGCTAGAGAAGAAATTCAGTGGAAAGGTGATTATTTAAGTTCTTTGGTTCTCTGCCATTTATGAAATCTAGATTTAACCCAGACTAGGTTTTTTTCGTGATGTTTTTTCTGTTTTTGTTTTTTTTTTTTTTTTTTTTTTTTTTTTATTTTTGATGTTTTATTTTTTAGTTCTAGACTTTTCTTACAGTCAACCCATTTTATTTTTTCTTCTCTTACTTCATTTTTGCTATAATTAAAGTGAGTAGATCTCTGATTCAGACATGTATTTATTTGCAAATAGTGGTTTTCTTTGGTGGTGTTTATTTTTGTTTGTCATGTGGTAGGATGTAGTTCTGATCGCCACACGGAGGATAGTGAGGCCTCCAAAGAAAGGGTCTGCTGTCCAACGGCCCCACACTAGTACTCTTAACTGCTGTGCATGAGGCAATGTTAGAGGATGTTGTTTTGCCTGCTGAGATTGTTGGAGAGCTTTTCTGCAGTTTACAGGAAGCTTTCAGGAAAAGATGTTGTGTTTGAGTACCCAATAACTGATGCATAGAAACAGTGTGCGATGGCGCCTTCCAAATAGGTTCCCGTCCCTTTTCTTTATATTTTCTATGAACTTATGCTCATCGGGCAATCAATTCAAAATTTTGATGTTGAGGGCGCGGTGCGGTGTGCCTTTGGAAGGATTTTGGTCTCTTCAATATTAGCACATTTAAGTTAGGTGATATCGGTTAATGTAGCATTTTTTGTTTTCTCTTAGACTTGCTCTTTTCATTATGCATGGTCATTGACAAGTTTGCTTTTAGTCTGGTGATTTTGTTTTGTTTATTTAAGTCCACTGACCTATTTTTCTCAATGAATATGCACTGGAAACTAAAGAAGTTTCTATGAACTAGTTATGATTCTTTGTAATACAACCTCTGTATTTGATGCAGCATGTTATGCCATTGTTTTTCTTAACTTCACTAACAAGCAAAAGTTTTGGTTACAATATCTCAAGAAAATATCACAGAGATAGACTTCATCAGTTTGAGGGATCAACAAAAGAGACATGTAAAAGGGCAGAGTACTGAAAGAAATACCAGGATTTATGAATTTGATTACAATTTATTGATTCGCACAAGTCACAGAGTAAGCATTTCCCAAACACTTGGTGCACGTACCAAATGCAACTGAACTCAGCAGGAAAAAAAAATTAACAAAAGAGTTCACAGATGAAGCCTCCATTTGCAACCAGCACAACAGCAGAGCTAAGAGATATGAACCAATCCCTAAAGCCAAAAGTAGGGACTTGAGGTTCCAAAACCAACAGAGCTCCGATATAAATCACACTTGTATCACAAAGCAGTTATAGACATGGCAACACAAGCATAACACAACAGGAATTGGAATGCCTGAATGCCAACACAAATCACACAACCATTTCCAAATTCTTCGGCCTGTGCCTTGAGGTGGCCGCTTGCAAGCTTGTATTAAACAATTAACATTGATCAGATCGGCAATGGCGGCAAGGGCGGGAACAGCTGGGTGAGGGTGGAACAGAGAGAATTGTCAGAACAAGTGAAAATGTATTTATCGAATGGTATCCACTACATATTGAATGAATGGTACCAGTATATACTTACAGTGAAACTAATTAGGAATTGATGTGGTGGAAACTATGGAATATGGAGTCTTGCAGCATTAATTTGTATGGGCAATCAGCTGCGTCATTCCTCCCTGGAAATATATTGTTGAGCATTACAACGAAACATACGACCATACAGTTTATTAATATGAATGAAAACTTATACCGTTTCATTGCCATCATCTTCTTCTTCTTCTTTTTCTTCCACTTCCTCCATTATTTGTTGTCTTTCTGGTCTTGAACCACTTTGAATCAGTGACCCATCAGAGGAAATCTTCAACTCAATCAGGCATTCCTCGACAATTAAAGAGTTTAAGGATGGGACTCTAACAGTGCAATTTCCTAATGAGCAACAGCCTCGTAGACTTGGTAGATAATAAAGTTTCAAATGTTGCAAGCAGCTGAAAGCAATCTCATAATAATTTCTTGAATCTTCTTCATCTTCGTTGCTTGCCACTATCTCTATCATGCTTTCACAATTCTCAACTTCCAAGCTTTTGAGTTGGTGTAAACATTTAGCCACCGAATAAGTTGTTAAGTATTTTAATCCCTCACAATTTGCTACGCGTAAAGTGGTTAGTTTGTGAAAGGATATTGCAGATGAAGTTAGATTCTTTAATCTGCCACAATTGTACACCTTTAGAATTTCCAAGTTCGGAAAAACTGATTCAGAGTTGCCATTCCCAATCCCTAGATGCATCAGCTCCTTCATTTGGTTGAGATACAAAATCTTTATGTGCGGGAGGGTCCTCCCAACTGCATCTATTTCCCCGCTACTAGTTCCTTCATACACAAATATTTCTTTCCAAGGACCATTATAAACAACGAGCTCTTCAAGATTATGTAATTTCTCAAGGAAATGAAATGACTGGGGGTGTGCACAAGAAAATGCAAACTCTTTTAGATTGATAAACAACTTTGCTGGGAGTGGACTATGTGCTTCATACCAAATCTCTGTGTTCTCGTCCAAGTACAATACTTCCAAGTTGGGGAATGGATTACCCTGAAATAATATCAACATTTGGATGTCATTGTCAACCCACTTGGCCAGTTGCATAACTAAATACTATATTCAGTGGCATTCACCTAGTCACCAAGGACCAAGGAACATTATGGTCACCTGCCGTTTGATCTCATCTAAGGGCAAATAATGAATCAAGTATTAATTAAATTAAAAAAAATTAAGTATTAAAAAAAAACTCAAATATGCTACCAACTTCAATTATAATTTATACCGAAGTGAAATTATGCCTCACCCTTGCTCAGCGGCTTTCACTCTCTAATCCAAAAAGAACTTGGCCTCTGTTCTACCTCAGTCTCTTGTCAATTTCCAATTTTGGTTTTTGTGCTTTAATTTTCTTTGGGTTTTTTCGTTTCTTGGCTAAATTCAGTACTTATTCAGTTTTTCTTTATACAATCTTATTCGGTGATTTCATGTACTCTATTGGGGAATCCTACACAAAAGAAATGAGGCATTTCTGGAGAGTGAAAGGAAAACGTGAGACAGTGAGAGGAGTAAGTGGGTTTAAGCATTAGTTGTTTTTTTTGTTGTTGCTGTAATTGAAATTTTGGGAAGTGTTTTTTAAATTATTTAAGGCTTGAATCATTATTTATCATTGGATGAGATCTAACAGCAGGTGACCAAGGTATTCCTGAATCCTTGGTGACACTATCTTCATCTAATGTCATCGATTGAATTATTTTAAATTTTCGAGTCTTTATTTTGTTGTATACATGTCTTTACTATATATATGTTAGTAAATTACTACTCCCTAACCTCGACTATTGTTTTTATTCGACGGATGTGCTTTGAATTTTTTGACAAGGTAGAGGCCAAAAAATTATTTTAATAAAAGAAAAATCTGCAATACTTAATAATAATAAAAATTGCAAAGAAAATAAGTGAAGAGGAATTTCGCTACAGGAGCAAGAGAATTCTGTACCTTGTCAACGAACAAAAAAGGTTGTTTGATTGGTGTACCCGAATCAAGTCTTTCTTGGAATCTTGAATATTCGGAAGCAAGAATCTCCACTTTACCACATTCAAAGAATATCAATGATTTGAGTAATGGCCACTTGGAAACATGTAGCCCCAAATAGAAACTCCTCAATTTGGGCAGATGTTGCAGTTGCACAAGTGTTACTTTAGAGAACACAAACTCAGGTGTCATTTCTAGTCCGTCCTTGGCAACAATTTCTTCCAATATTCCACAATTCTCCACGAACAGCTCGCTTAGCTGCTGAAGACCTTTAGCCACTGAGACTGGAAAGATATTTTTCAGACTCTCACACGAATTTATTTCTACATAATCCAGATTTGGGCACCCAAAAGTTTTCAACTTAGTGGTTGATGATGTGTCGTATGCTTCTTTAACGCCAAGTACTACTCCCATGTCAAAAACTACTTGTAGTGATTTGCATTGCTTTATCACTAATGTGCCTAGAGCATTCAATCTTCCCATCATACTTGGCGCAAAGATATTTATTAGACTCTGGCATCTCAAAACTTCAACTTCTTTGAGCTTTCGAAAAGAGTCTGGGGCAAGTTGGCAGTGCCATATAGTCCTCAACTTAGGTATTTCATAGATGATCAAGCTCTCCAAGCTAGGAAATCCTACCTGTACACATATTCATCTCATATACCTTTTTTCACTAATGGAGGACACATTAATTGGAAATAAATGCATAAAGAAAGGAAAAGAAATTTATAATTCACCTTTTCATAAAAAGAAAGTGTGGTATAACAGTCTCAAGATTCTCCTTGGAGTTCCTATTGTCATTTTCTTTGCCCATTGTAGTAATTTCACTCCTATAAGATATTCTAGTGGAAGTGCTACCGATAACACATTTCTATTGAAGATCGTATTTCATTATAAATAGACTTTCGAGAATGGATCATGCTTTCGTCATGATTCATGAATTTTGTACACTAAATAAAAGCTAATAAATTAATATACCGTTTAAATGAATTGTAACTTGGATATAATTTCAATCCTAGCAAGAAACAATATGCATGAAAGAAAAACGAGAAATAAAGGCGTAACTTACCATTTCGTCAAAAAGAAAGAATTGTGCATCAGTCCCGATATTCTCCGTGGAGTCCCTGATCTCTTCAGTTGCTTTGTTGATTGTGATATTTGTATTCATGGGATCAAAGATGAATGTCTCCAATTTAGAACAATCCTCTACATGCAATACCTCCAAGGAATGAAAATTAATAGAACGACGTGCTGAGCAAAATCTAGTGAGGTTCGGAAGATATTGTAGCTTTAGATCTTGTAGCTGACTAAACATGTTATGATCTGTATCTTCCTCATTGGATTCGTTTGTTGGTACTATCTCTTCCATGATTTGACACCTGGATATCGTAAGATTTTTGAGTTGTACAAGACTTCTAGCCATGGAAGATGAAAACAAGAATCTCAAACCACCACATCCACGCACAACCAAGCTTGTTAAGTTAGGCATCAGAACCTGCACACCATAATTCATGTTTAGTAAATAACAACTTAATTACATTTTAGTAGTTGAATCTCATACAAAATAAAAATATATAAAATTGTGCAAGAGAATTCTTACCTTCTCAACTAAAAAGAAAGGATGTTTAATTGGTGTACACTGAAGGCCCAATTCAAGCTTTTTCTGAAACCTTGAAATTTCGGAAGCAAAAATCTCCACATTATCACATGCAGTCATCTCCAGTTGTTTGAGTAACGGCCACTCAGAAACATGCATACCCGGATAGAACATCCTAAGTTGGGGGAGATTTTCAAACTTCACAACTGTTACCTTTGGAAACACAAACTTAGGCGTTGCTTCTAATCCTTTTTCCTTCACATTAATCTCCATCAACCCACAATTCTCAACACTCAACTTCGTTAGTTGTTCAAGACCTTTGGCCACAGAGGCTGAGAATATATTTATCAACCTCTCGCACGCATCTATCTCTACAAAATCAAGATTTGGGCACTCAAAAGTTTTCAACTGAGTGGTTGACGTGTCATATGCTTCAAATACTCCTCCGAGTTCAAATACCACTTGTAGTAACTGGCACTGCCATATCTCTAATCTATACAAAGCATTCAATCTTCCCATCATACTCCGTGCAAAGATATTTATTAGATTGTGGCATCTGTAAACGTTAACTTCTTTCAGTCTACAAAAAGAGTCTTGAGCAAGTTGGTTGTGCCATACTGTCATCAGTGCAGGTAGGTCATAGATGATCAACCTCTCCAAGCTAGGAAATCCTACCTGTATGTATATTCATCTCATAAACTAGTCAGAACACCTTTTTTCACTAATGAGGTACACATTAATTGGAAATAAATGCATAAAGAAAGGGAAAGAAATTTATAATTCACCTTTTCATCAAAAAGAAAGCGTGGTATAACAGTCTCAAGATTCTCCTTGGAGTTCCTATCGTCATTTTCTTTGCCTATTGAAGTAATTTCACTCTTTCTATCAAAGATGAATGTCCCCAGTCTAGGACAATCCTCAATATGCAATGTCTCCAATAATGAAAATTCAATATAACTTCCGGAGTAGAATCTAGTGAGGCTTGGAAGATGTTGCAGATTTAGAGATTTTAGATTGCAAAACATGTTATCTCTATGTTCTTGATTGTATCCACTTGTTGATACTATTTCTTCCATCATTTGGCATGTGGATATCTCAAGATGTTTGAGTTGCTCAAGACGTCTAGCCATGGAACATGAAAACAAGAATCTTAAACCATCACATTGATGCAAGATCAAGCGTGTTAAGTTGGGTATCAGAACCTGGGTATAGTACACAATTCATGTTTAATTAGGGAAATGACAATTTACATGCTCATCAGTTGTATAAATTCCAAAATGAGTTGACAAAAAGTAAAGGTCTAATATGTCCTTGTGGAGTAAAAATGTATCTGAAAAAGAAAAAGTGGCCTCAAAGTTTATTAGTCTATTAATTTAAAATATAACAGATTTTTGTTGAATCACTGAATATTGTACACTAATAAATAGACTTTCGAGAATGGATCATGCTTTCGTCATAATATGAATCATTGAATATTGTACACTATTTAAATGGATTATTTTCTACCTGCAGAAAGAATGACCAAAATGAAATATATACAAAAGCAACTAATTTGTTAAGAAATAAATATAGAACAAATCCGAATGATATGTAGAAAGGCTGGGCATATGAAACCGCAAAACGTACCTCTCCATCCATGAAAAGTTTCGTGGGTCCACCAATTTCATTCTCCAAAATGATTTCTTCGGCCTCTGTACTTACAACTGACGTGCTGCCTTTGGAGGAGAAACCAATAAGCTTTGGCAGATTCCACAAAGTCAAAGATCGTAACTTTTGAAAAGGCTGACCACAACATACATTTTCCAAATTAACAAGGTTGTAAAGAGACAGTGACTCCAAGTTGGGGAAGGCATGACTCGAGTTAATGACAGCTGTAACAGCATCGTTGTTTTGGACATGGAGATTCTTCAGTTGTTTACCACTGTCACTTGCTAATATATAGGAAATAATATTTGCAGCCTCCATCCCATCCAAGTCCAAATGTTCACATCTCTTAAGCAGCAATTTTATACCTTGGCTGAATTGACTGCTCGTAGTGAGCTTGAGTTTTAACATGTTAGAGGAGCTTCCGTAATTATCAGGATATAGCCAACAATCACCAATAAGTATGGTGTATCTTTCTAACTTCGTATCCGAGAACATGTTTGCTGGAAGAAGCTTAGCATCTGGAATATGTATATGTAATGCAGTTAGTTGACGCAATTGTTTCAGCTCTGACACGCTCGCATTACTTCTTCCATCATTTAAACCTCCTTCCCATTCCTTAAAGCTTCCCATTCTCAAGTCTTCTAGACTTGTCAAGCTTGATATAACGCCAGGTGGGATCACTACAAGTTCAGAGCAACAAGTCAAATCCAACAATTGTAGACGAGTCAATTCCCCTATTTCTTTGGGCAACTCTTTCACCTTAGATTTTAAAAGGCTAAGAATTTTTAAGTTTGTTAGCTGTCCAACTAGAGCTATGTCCCCCAACACGCAACCATCTAAACACAAAGTTTGAAGATTTGTTAGGGATTGAAGAGATGGAGGCAGTGACGGAATTCGCAGTCTGGTTACATCCAACACTTTGAGTTCCTTCATCCCTTCAAAATAGTTGCCTGGGATTTCCAAGGAGTCATCAATATTATGATTTTCCAAGACAAAAAGTCTCAATTCTGGGCATACCCAAGGTTCTTCTGGAAGTCTGGGGATCTTGCAAGAGTTCAAGGAGATCGCAGTGCATTTTTTAAGGGAATTTCTATCTGGCCATTCTTTCAGCTCATCTCCATATGCTTTTGCAATGGCGTGATTATCTTTAAATGCAATCCAGATAGCAACATCTCGTACAAGCTCATGCATTCTTACTCTTCCATCATCATCAATGTCTAGCAACAAACAAGAATATTTAAGTTTTTCAGCCAATGAATGCAACGCATTCCGTGCATCTTCCACCGTATCAACATTTTTCACCAAATTCAAACCCATAGCATATTTCAACAAGTCACTGAGGAAAATTGAACAACCAACCCCTGCAGTAATTCCACATAGCAAGAACAATGGCTTAAGCTCCTTAGCATGCAATTGATTGTAACTCCATTCTATAGCCAAGTACGCTTTGTCTTTCAAGTCCTCTTTGTCAAAACTTTTGAAGCGCCTTAAAGCATCGTTCCATACCTCTAAAGTACTACATGATCTTAGAGCGCTTGCAACTGCAACAACTAAAACAGGCAAACCTCCACATTTTTTGGCTACTTGGGTTGCTACTTTTTTTATAGGGCCATCTTTAACAACATCACCCACCATCTTCTCAAATAAAACCCAACTTTCTTTCTCGCCTAAAACATCAAGCCGAAAGTCTTTTTGAGTACGCATCTCAGAGAATCGATTTCTAGATGTCAACAATATTTTACAAGTCGCCATTGGGCGAAGTCCCAAAACCTCCAAATCAATTGCTTCCCAAACATCATCTAAAATTATAAGACTCTTCTTGTCTTTTATCCTATTCCATATATGCACATCCATACTTCCCTGAACTTCCATACCTAACTTTTCAGCAATTTTCTGTTGAATTCTTTCATTTCTTTCGAGCTCTGGAAACTGTTTTGCATCCAATACTATAACCACATCATCAAATAACTCCTCTTTTGTAGCTTGTCTATAAACTTCTTTGACCAGTGTGGACTTCCCCACACCACCCAAACCGTAAACGCCAATCAAGTTGGAATCAGGCTTCTTAAATTCCTCCATGATTTCCTTCACCATTGAAATCCTTGATTCAAAGGCCATGTAGTTTTGAGAGGGCGTGGCACACATCTCTTCTGGGAGAGCATTGTATGAAACAATGGGAAACTCTTTTTGGTCATGGTGGAGTTCAATCTTTCTTGCCAATTTTGCTGATTTCCTGCTGAGCTGATGATTGGAAATCAGATTAGGACATACTCCACGGAAACACTTTGTATTTGCTCGGCCTTCTTTTTCAAAAATTGTATTTGCCTCTTCAATCATCTCATCTGCTACTTTCTGCCAGTCTTGGATATCAGTATGAATTCGTTTACCTTTTCTTTCATCTTCCTTAACGGTATGCTTCCTCCTCTCTTTGGCAAGATCTAATTTTTTCAATTGACTCCTTAGATTTTCAAGGTTACTTTTATTGTGAATTATGTAACCCACTTGCCGGCTAACTGGTTCAACCGTGTACTCGATTATTGTAGGAATAATGGCGGTGAGGATCTCCATGCTTCTTATTTTTGCCTTTGGAATTCAAAAACTGTTGAATTACAAAAGAAAAAAGTAATTAGAAAAGAAACGAGTTTTAAAATTAGAAAAGAAATATAGCTACCCATAAAATAAAATAAGAAAAAAATATACAGCTACACTTCTTTTTCGTTTTTTCATTAAGCTTCTTCTGGAAACAACTGTAAAGTGAAAGTGTAATGAAGATAAGTGAAACAAAACGCATGACTCTCAAATCTCGAAACAAAAAGAATAGTTGGGCCACAGTTTTCCTTTAATTTTTTGTTTTAGTGCCCGTTTGGCATTGCTTATTTGGGGTAATAAGTGATTTTTTAAAAATTTTGAGAAGCACAACCTGTTTGGTAAACTGTGAGAAAATTACTTATTGTTAAAAATTGCTGTGAGAGAAAGCTATAAGGGAAAGCAGCTAATGAGGTGCTTTCATTTTCTGATTATGCAGGAATCAGTTTCAAAGATGCACTGGGTTTAATGATTATGCGGCAATCATTTTTTGATTATGCGTAAAATCAATACCAACAACACTTTTAACAAAAATTTTACCAAACACCAAACTGCTTTCTCTCACAGCTGATTTCTCTCACAACAAATCTGACAGCGATTATTTTCACAGCACAGCAATGCCAAACTGGCCCTTAGTAGTGTTTTAATTTTTGTAACTTTTTAACGTACGCGTGTACGCGATGATTCGTAAAAAACCTCCGCAAAAAGAGCCTCTCGATAGATTCCCCACAATCCAAATTTTCCGCGGTTTTTCTTTACAAAAAATGGCCGTAGAATGAGAATCCCTATCGATCTGATACCCCCATTTTCGAGGTGAGTCCATTACAATGTCATTATTTAAGCGTTCGCGTATGTTACGTGTGCGCGTATAATTCCCCATAGAGTAGCTGCTCCTACCCTGCCAACCAAGTCAAAATAAAAAGTAAAGAAGAGGACTTCGTATTTTGGTGATTCTCTAGGAGTCATGTTTAACCTTGGCGTAGGGCGGCACTCGCCATAGCCGCAGCCGAGGGGCGACCTGCACCAGGTCATCCCGAGGGCCCCGGAAAGAAGCACCTTCTTGTAGGGGGGAGCGAAGCGAAACTCCCTAGGGGGTCAGTAAGTACCTCATGAACGGAGAGGAGAGGGACTCTACACTCGTTCCGCTATGACCCCCCTCTTCTTGCGCGCGAAGTACAGCAAGCTATAGCCACTTTGCTTCCAAGCGCGGATCGCTAATCAAGTTGAGAGATCGGTCCTGATAAAATTTATTTAATCGAAGGGACAAATTTCTCAAGGAAAAAAATTAGTTGGATTTAATTCTGAAATATTTATTAATTATGTTCAAATAAAGCTACCCATAACAAAAATAAGAACATAAAATAGCAGAGCAAATATATGGAAAAAAAAATTAATAATAAGGAAATAAAAAGACGCACCTTATACCTTTCTCTCTTTTGGTTACGAATGAGGTCAATTCCCTTCAAATATGCTTACTGAACGCGGGAGCATAATTGGTCTGGTAAATGAGACAAAGCTGAACTACCACAATGTCGACACAATGAAATCAAGGGACAAAGGAAAACCAGGAAATCTGAAGGCAGTACTCTTTTTTTTTGGTTTTTTGATTGGATTTTTAATTTGGAAGTAAAGCAAAATAAATCTAAGCAGAAGCTGGTTGCTGCAATGAAGAAACTGAAGGTGCGCAGGAGACTCTTAAGCAGAAAAAGCAGGCTGCTGCAATGAAGAAACTGAAAATGCGCAGGAGACTCAAAGGCACTTGTTCTTGTTCGCCAAAAAAGAAATTGTTCTTGTTCACCAAAAAAGAAAGGCACTTGTTCTTTGGCCCCACAAGAGAGAGTAGGCGAATTGGTGCTTTGCTTTAATAAAGATATGAGAATTGATGCTTTAATCACAAAAGATATGAGAATATATTGATATTATGACCCAAAAACAATTAGAAAAGAGTAATGCTGCTCTTACCACATTTCTATACCACATTCTCACATCTTATGTGGAATATGAAGTGAATAGCCACATCAATTAAAAAGTGTTAATAAATCATAAAAGAAAAGAAAATGTTACATTAATTTTAATTTATGTGTTTGTCCACCTCATCTGTCACATAAAATGGTATGAGAATGTGGTATACAAATGTGGTAAGAGAGTAGAATTATTCATTAGAAAATAGATGAACGGTAGTGCACTAACCACTAGTGACGTCACCGCAGTAATCACTAGTCTCCATAAAATCCCAACGTGTATAAATATGATGAACGATAGTGCTTACTTCTCTCTCCATTCAAATTCAACGGTCCCGATCTTGTGCAATTGCAGTGCACTTATTCATAAGAGTAATGTTAAATGAACCCTAAAATTAACTAAATACGTCCATTACATCCATGATCTTTTCCATCTTCTCAATCCACTCTTATGCTATAACTGGGTCACCGTCACCATTAAACTCCACTACCCCAATTCTTCTGGCCTAATCCGCATATGTCAAAGAAGGATCTTTGGTATGAATGTTCAAGACAAAGCCTGAGTCAACAAATCTAAGGTCTATTGAAAGTTAGGGTCAACTGGTTGGGTGTGGGCATCACCTGTACTGCCCTGGTCGGATCTCCCATAACTGACTGCTTTACAGGTTCCTATGTCGGACCCGAAAAAGAATAGTTCTCCTGCTCATGAGCTATGTTGCACGGACACGGGTACGAGGACACGGGAACGCGACACGGCAACATGGAAATTCTCAAAAAATTAGGACACGGACACGGCTAGTACACGGCAATTAAAATAATAATTAATTCTCAATATTTTTTTTTTTTGCTTAATTAATTCTCAACACTTCAATATCACATAATTCCATAAAACAAAACAAATAACTCATTGTTCATCATCCATAAATAATAATTAATGCACCACAAAAAAGAATCATCCTTCTTGTTGCGTTTCTCTTCAAAAAAACAAAAGAAAAGAATCTTCACCTCACCACCAAGTCCAACTCTTCTACTGTTATGGAGGGACATAAGAAAAGAAAATAGAAAACATAAATAAAAGCATTTGATAAAAAAAGAAAAAAAATTGCAAAAAGACTCACCTTTGCAAAAGTTGGAGAAGAGGAGAAGAGCTGCTGCAACGGAAGAAATGAAGTGAAGTGGCTGGCTGATCCTGATACTTTCATGAGATTCATTTAGGTTTAAAAATTTCTTTTTCCACTTTCAACCCATCTTTTTAAAACTATTTCAAATATGTCCACTAAAGTTTCAAAAATCATGTTTAGACCCCTACTTTTATTTTCAAAATTTTAATCTGGTCCCTGCCGTGTTGGAGCCGTGTCTTGACCGTGTCGGAGCCATTGACCGTGTCGAAGGCGTGTCGGGGGCGTGTCGGAGCTGTGTGGGCGTGTCCGACACTCCAGCATTTCGGAGTATCCGTGCAACATAGCTCATGAGGGGCATCATGTCCACGAAGTTGGGACGACTAACGAGTCCCCCTACGAGTACCACCACTCTTAAGGCCCATGATTCTGTTACAAGAAACATGAATTCATCATTACAAGAATGCACACAATGTGCAAAGTCTACAAAAATTTAAACCTAATGCTTTGATACCAAGTTGATAGGACCAGACCCAAATTCCACTTTAGAATCTATGCCGAACCCTATGTGTGTCCAACACCTGGCAGATGTCAGGCACACTTAACCAAATTGCCCTTCTAACTAAAACTCCAAAATTCTTTTAAGGTTTGACTCCTACCCAAAAATGGGCAGAGTCTCCCTTGTAAACTACTCGTTTCCCAAAATTTACACCTGTACAAAATGCAATTCATATATCCACAATCGTTCAGCATGCATAATGTTAGAACACACACTATCCAATTTCAAATTTGTGTGGCCTCCGGCCTTACAAAAATCCTAGGGCAATATCAGAGCATACTAATTAATTTAATTTACAAAAATAGTGCGTTTAAAGTAGAATATAATACATAATGGAAGTGGATGAGTGGTAGGTGATGAATGCCCAGTGGTGGTGTTTCGGTACTCGATTACTGCTTGGGGGCGCAAAACATTGAAAACATGAGTGGACAAAAGAAAGTTTTGCAAAATAGAATATCAACATACTAACTCCAGTATTAAAACATTTGAAAATTCATTTAATCCATGAATATTTATATTCATACAACCATTCATACTCATGTCATGAAAACCATTCAAAAGCATTGAAACATAATAATTCCTTTCCACCTAGGTGTACTCTTTATAAATCCGTCAATTTCATGATTTTTCCATTTATTTCCCACATTATATCATCAATTCCAAGTGTCACATAAGCGACACCTCCTCGCAGGACTAGGAAACATAAAGTTAACCCAAGCCGCATCTGTCCCAAAACTCAAGAGACACTTGGTCAACCTAAGCCGCATTCCTCGCTCCTCATGGTCCGAATATCCCTAGGACTCGTGGGGCAATTGTCAAACGAGCGCTGACTCAACCGAAGGCAACTAGGATGTCTGTGGACATCATTATATCCGAAGGCAACAATTTATTTGAAGGCAACATTTTGAACCTTTCCTGGAAAATTATAATATTGTTTCTTACTTAATCCTTAAATCCTGTTACCATTTCCTTTTCTACTTTCCAAGCCATTCATATTTAATCATAAACAAAATCTTATAAAAGCATTTGAATTCAAACTGTATGCTTGGAAAGCAAAAACCATAAATAATTCATTCATGATCAATTAATAAAACTTTTACTGCAGAAAATTCATTTATAAAACAAATGTCCACTCACTGTGCGTCTGAGCTCGCCTGACCCTTCGAGGGTCCTTCTTGCGAGTTTGGTGGAGCCCGAGTACCTATTTAAGCGATTAAAACATTCAATTATTAAAATAGCTCAATGCTCAACCACAAATATTTAATCAAAACCCTGACTCCATGCCTTAAAGTGCGTGTGCGTAATTTAAGAAAGTTCCTAGGCCCATTTCCAATAGTTCTAATAGTTGAAATGGTCTGAAAAGACCTGAGATTAAATTCTTATATTGGTCAACACGGTCTCCCGTGGGGTCCACGACCTCCAATTAATAATCCGAAAGTTCCTGCGGGTTCAACAAAATTTACTAAACACGTCCTGCAAGTTTGGTCTAGATCGAGCGGTCGGATAGCTCACGATCGAACGATCACCGTTTATATAATCTTTGGATCGTTGATTCGGAGTATTCGAACTCCTATTCTCGATCTGTGAGTTCCTACCCAATAATAATAATAATCTATTAAAATAATCAAAAGATTCAAAATAACACATGAGTTTGGAAGCGTCATTTTTTACATTGCTCTCCTGCTACTATTCCATGTCAACTACAGCGCCAGAATAACATTAATTGGAGAAATTTTTGTGTGTAGTTAGTATACCATTCAATATACATGGGACATGTGGAAATATTTTTTTTAAAGTCCTATGTGTATTGGAGAATATTTTCACATATCTCATGTGTATTGGATGGTACATCACCTGGAACATAATGAAATTACTCAATCAATTGTTACAATTTTTTCTACCAAAAAAATTGTTACCATTTCTTGTTCACTTGGCAAATAACATCTTCATTTGAGTAGAGATGCCAAACGGATTGGGTCGGTCCGAGTACAACGTGAGCACGACCCGCTTAATTATGGCCCGACAAGGCATGACTCATATTTTTAGGCTAATCGTTGGGCCGGATCGTGGCCGGTCACAGGCCATGCTGGCCCGAAACCCAATGGGCCGGGCTATTTAAAACTCATTTATTAAATTAAATTTATTTTGGAGAAAAATAATACATAATATTATTACATTTATATCTTAAATTCAAGTATATTTATTTTCTCTAATAATATATATTAAATTTTAAGGTTTAGTTATATATAAAACAATAATTTTGCTTTTAAAGTTTCAATTTTGTAAAATCCAAACATCTAGTCATTTTATATTTAAATGTACTTTAAATAAAGTTATTGGCTTCTTTTTTCACCAAATAATAAATTTTATTAGTATATACATTATTGTAAAAAGATTTATATAAAGTTGTAAAAAAAATGTATTACATAAGTTAAATTTGGTGTCGTCCCATATCGGCCTGACACAAGCACAATTTAAGCCCATATGGGTTAAGACCGTAAACTCGGACCAGAATTGATAATTTTCATAAACAGACTTATCCAGTACAACCCATTTGTTACATGGGCCGATCAACCCGTTTGACACCTCTACCTTTTGAGGACTGGAGACGCTCTAATTGGATAAGCTTATAGTTTCGAACCCAACGGCCCACGCAAAGTGAGGAGGTGATTTTGTAATTCTAATGAACATCGCGGACAATTGAAGAAATGCATCCACAAACCCTAATTTCTGCTTCTATATAAAATCAACCACAAACAACTCTGCAGCTGCTCAACGTCTTTCATCTCTTTGCAAATCTTCTTTTTCATAAGTTTCATTTTATAAAATCTAAAGAGTCGTATTGTTTATATTTGATTTTCTTGAATAGGATTTGCAGAAGGCATCTACTATGAACCTCTCTGCTCTTCTTTGTAGCCTAGAGACTACGAAACGATGCGAAATCAAATCCGAAAGGATTGGTTCTTCTGGACTGGCAGGCTCTCATACTCTATTGGGTTCTGACCTTTTCTCGTAAGTGCCACAATTTTCTCATCTCCCAAACACCCACCTACTACTCTTTTGCTCGATGATGATTTCATTTGCTTTAACCACACCGAACTGAGAATTGAAGGGTTGGATTTGCCCTCTTCTGAATTAAGTCAGGTAGATCAATGGCGGTGCTTCCTGTGCTTGGTATTGCCTAATGACTCTTTTGTCTAAGAGTGGTGGTTGATATATTTTTTTTATCTGACTCTTTCTTTTAGGGAAGAGAAGAAGGCTTTGCCAAGCATTTGAAGCCCTTCTGTTTTACTCTTGGCTTAATCTTGAGATGGTTTTGCACAACTCTTTTTATGTTCTCTTATGTGGAAAACTTTGGCCCTTGACTGAGAGCAACCAATCGCCATTTCTATGCTAATTTTTGTTGTTGGGATTTTCTTTTGGGTTTTTTGCCCTGAATTTTATCACGAAGGTTTTTAATTGTTTTACATTTGGATGAGTAATTCAATTGCCTTATAATGTACATTGGATTTTGGGGAATGATGATTAAACTGTCACATAGGCTTCTGCTATGCTGAGTTATGTTTTGCACGTCAGTCTGATCCCAAATTCCCAGTTTTAAAAAAAATGATTTGTGATTGCGAGTTTGTCAGTTAAAGAAAATTTATACTAATTCTTTTGTGTAAATTACTTTTTTTTCCCCTCTGAGAAGAGATTTACAATAAGATATTCACCATTGTTAATTTGGACCTATAAAGAACCATAATTGTATAGCCAACATGAACAAGGTGGACATGATTTTGGGCAAACAGATGCCTTTTTGCATTAGTGTGCCGATTTAGAAACTCTCTGAGTTAGCGTGAATTCCTTGGTACATTATTGCCTTACTGAGGTCTGTACCACTAGCAATATATGCTTTAGCATGACGGATGCTAATCAGTGTGAAGGTGCCGGTGCAAGGGAAGGGGGCTGAGGAAATAGTCTGGAGAAGAGTTTATCAGCAAGAACTGCGTTTGCTGCATCTGAAGGGTGGAATGCATCCCAGAATACATAGTCGTTCCGGTTTGTACACATTTTTGAATTAGGCAAGCATAGCCCTCCGAGTGATGTGTCCACATTGCAACACGATGTATTAGAGACCTTGAAACCTGAAAGACAATGGATCAATTTGTGTATGTTGTAAATTAATTTTTTCTGTAAATAATCTACCATTGAATATTTCAGTTTAATTTACCATATGCAGTAGGGTTGTTGATCAAGTCGAAAACATCTCCATATGTATCTGCAAATGCGAGTTTTGCTTTTGGGAGGCGCCTGTTGAGAGATGCAACTAGCTTTTGTACTTTGGAGTTGAATTCTATAACCCACTCATTCACTCGCTTTAAGCATTGTCTTGTCTTTGATTTCACCCGCTGAGAAGGAATGCAGCCAAGGGGGCCGAGACCATGGAAGACCATCTTTCGAGCACCGAGTTTGTAGAGCCTCTAACACAAACAATTAGGATAATAAACGGAAGTTTTCTGGTTCTCCAAAATGTGGAATGTTGTAAACATAAACCAGAAACTCAGGAAGAAGACGAGAAATTAAACTAACCATAAGTTGCCCCTCTAAAGTGGTGATTAATAGTTCCACGAATTCGTCGTAAGTGTACTGCTGACCATCAGCTAAGAAGGGTTGCAAGTAATTGTTGACGTAATCATTGCTGCCTGAAAAATGAATAAAAACAGGACAGAAATTGAGGAGATGTTACAATATCCCTCAAGAAAATGAGTTGTTTTCATGTAAAAGATATTTCATTTGGGTCATTTGTGCATTAACAGAGTACCAATTCCAATGAAGTAGACGGCTTCACTGCAAAGCTTGGCTGCAGCCTCTCCCCCGATCTTAGCCTTGATGGCTTCCTTTGTCTTGTTGAAATTTTGTATTTGATCATCAAAGGACAGTCTCTGAATCTGTGGCAAAGCCCAAAAAAAAACTCAATATTTTGCAAAACCAGGGTCATAATCTGATAAACAAAAGAAAAATGCTTACAAAATAGAGTCCAGTGTCATTGAGAATTCCTGCTCCACCAGATGCATAATTTACCCCTTTGAGCAGTGCATCATCATTTTGTGACACAGAAAGATAAGGTGGCGGTGACGGGATCCCAAGCTTTTCAGCTACAAAATTTCGAAAGGAAAAAATACAAAGAATTATGAACTCTTGAAATAAAGGAAGTAAAGGAAAAGAAAATTATGGATGTGGGGTAATTGGACTACATATTATATCCCCAATGGTCCTTCCATTAGTGAACCTCCCAGTAGCTTGACCACCAGCATAATCGATCCCATACCATGGATAATTTGACTTGGCAAGAGAATACTGCAGATAATTGTTGTTCCCTACTTCTGTTAACGAGTCACCGAAGACGAACGTCACTGGAGATGCTGCCGATGAAGCCGCTGCTGCCAAGGTTGTGAAAATGGTGATGGCTAAAACAATCCCCAACATCACTTCCATCTTTCAGTGAGTCTCTCACTCTTGTTAGTAAATAAAGTGGCAGTTTGTGAGGAGAATTTATAGTAAATTCCAGGGGCAGAACATGGCCCTTTCCCTGTTCAGTGATGTCTAATTCCCTCAAGTTTGCACAAATTAGGTGATTGATTAAATCCAAAACCATGGGAAACACTTGTTGTGTGAGTGAGCTCAATTTTCTAAGTATTTTCATTTGGCGGTTAGTGTATAATCTTCAGGAGTTGGCCAACTCAGCTGCTTTAAGTCAGCACCAATTTGATTTCGTTTGGTGTTTCCTTCAGGGTGGCTGTGAATATGATTACAATTGCTTAGTTTAGTCAATGCCCCTGGTAATGATACAAGTCTTAAAATCAACAGGGAGCATGCACAAGGGTCTCAAAAATTCACTTGCTCTCTGCTTTGAGGTTTCTTATTCGGCTGCCTATTTGGGTTAGTAGGATGCCCAAGTAAACTGAGCTGGTTGGGAAATTAATTTAGGGTGGCGATTTTGGCACTCTTCTCTTAACCATTCAAAATGGGGATTTTATAATTTTTTTATGGACTCACAAAGAGTGGATATGTGAATGTTTGATTCTGGCAGGAAATGCAAACGAAAACGTGATCAGCTTTACTTAATAAGTTCTTGTTTTTGTTTTTTTGACAAATAGAGTTTTCATTAGACAAAAGGGAAAGAGAAAATATTACCTTATAAATTCTAAATAACTTGCAATGGGCTTGTAACTCAAGTGATTAAGAGCATTTACCTCTACACCCGAGGTCTTCAGTTCGATTTCCCCTCTCCCCAATTTGGTTTTTATAAATAATAAAAAATTATCAATAACTTAGCAATAAAAAATAGTTTAACCAACACCTCTTCACTTTACTTTTTATTATTATATATTTTTAATCCAAGGGAAGGATATGGGTTTAGCCTTTGAGACACTTGTGCTTTAGGTTTAATCAAGTTGAAAAGTAAAATAAAGAAGATTGTTTTAAGATATTGGCAACAATTAGAAGATACGGTGGCATGTCATATCTAGAGAACATAGAATAGACAGAAACTAACTATGTATGGCTTCAAGAACAATCGATGGATCATAATATTCCCACGTAAATGAGTTGTTGTTGTACGTACCACTTCCAAAGCTACACACTTTCCAAGAGTTTCAAGAAACCTATAACTATCCCGTTGAACTTACAATCTAGAAATATATATATTATCATGATTCAATGGCTACAAGTATTCGTCACAACTAATTTCAACCACAACCTTAACAAAAATCCTTTAGGCTTTTTATTAAGATACGTTTCCAGTGATTCTCACGTGACCATACCATACCACAATAATCATTTTTTTAATTTATAGGGAAAAAAAAATTGCAATTCATAATCACTTTTTAAGAGGGAAGCTCAAACTTGAGTGCAAAATGGCGGGTAGTCACTACCCTGCCCAACTGTCCTACCTACACATGCTCCTCTATTATAGATTCATCGAGGGAAAATCGAATAATATCTCATGTGAATTTCTAAAGCATGTTTTAGGTAGCAACGGCCAAAAATTCAAAATTTTGAATTCAAATTCATGACTGTTGCATAAAATCCATATTTCATGATAGTTTTATGTTTTAACATTTACTTCTTTGTGTGTAGAATTGGTAATATTCTTTCTTTAAATTTAACGAAAAATAAGAAGGATAAATTATGAAATAATGAAATTTGTTCTCCCACCAAGATTTGTAAAGTAGAAATAGAAAATTGAGGCATGGTTGGAGATTCTCCCCAAGAAAAGTGTGACTCATCTCATCATCAGTGATGAGATGCCATTCAAATTTATTTATTTTGTTAATGTGATCTTACAACCCTTTTTCCTTTTTCTTTGGTCGGAAATTTGGTCTTAAATATTAATCACGGCTTAGCTTACGTGTCCTGCCATTTTAATTATTTTTTGGTTTTTCAGAAAATAAATAATAAAAAAAGACACAAACGCATGTTAGCGATGCCTAAGCCTTAAGACAAGCACCCATTTCTCACTGTTTCACTGTCTCTCCCGCGTGAAATCCTCGGTCGTCAAAATCTCATGAGCTCACAAAATTAATAGTAGACGAAACACAAAACCCACTTCACCAAATCTTCAACCTTGCCAGATCAGCAGAGCAATGTCGGTGGCGTGCGGCATGGAGTGCGTGGTGATGTTGGGCTGTATGCGCTGGGTGTGGCGGCGCTGCACCTACATCGGCGCCGACGACAGCGCCACGTGGACATCCGCCACCCCCGTCGAGTTCGACCCCGTCCCCCGCATCAGCCGCTTGATCCTCGCCGTCTACGAGCCCGATCTCCACCACCCCAACTTCATCCCCACCATCGGATTCCGCCCCAACCCCGACTGGGTCGTCAAGCGCGTCACCTACGAGCAGACCCACGGCCACGCCCCGCCCTACCTCATCTACGTCGACCACGACCACAAGGAGCTCGTCCTCGCGATCCGCGGCCTCAATTTGGTCAAAGAGAGCGACTACAAGCTCCTGCTCGACAACAAGCTCGGAATGCAGATGTTCGATGGCGGGTACGTGCACCATGGCCTGTTGAAGTCGGCGATTTGGCTGCTCAACGAAGAAGGCGAGACTTTGAAGCGGCTGTGGCTCGAGAACGGCTCTAATTACGACATGGTGTTCGCCGGCCACTCTTTGGGGTCTGGTGTGGCGGCTCTGTTGACTGTGATTGTGGTGAACCACAGGAACAGGCTGGGTGGGATCCCCAGGAGCAAGGTCAGGTGCTACGCGCTCGCTCCGGCGCGTTGTATGTCGTTGAATTTGGCCGTCAAGTATGCCGATGTTATATACTCTGTGGTTTTGCAGGTGGGTTTGTGGAGTTTTTGTCATTTGTGTTTGTTGAATGTGTTTTGTTTTTGTTTTGTAGATGGTTGTTGTGGTTTTCTTGACTTGTGGGGTTGGTGATTGTGTTTTGTAGGATGATTTCTTGCCAAGAACTGCCACCCCCTTGGAGGATATTTTCAAGTCAATTTTTTGGTTGGAATTCTTTGAATCCTGTATATTTTAATCTTATAATATGACAAAAAAGAAAAACAAATATAATTAGCATTGTAGATTTAGTGGAGTGAATTACTAAGACAGACTTTGTGCTTTCGGACAGCTTGCCCTGCCTGTTATTTTTGGTTTGTTTGAGAGATACCTTCATACCAGAAGGTAGAAAGCTTAGAGATCCCAGAAGGCTTTATGCACCCGGCCGGATGTATCATATTGTAGAGCGCAAATTTTGCAGGTACCGCACCATGATCCTCACATTCTTATCATTTTTTTTCTTTGTATATTGCATGATGCTAAAAATGTTACTTAATTCTCATCGGAAATGAAACTTCCATTCCATTCAGTACTTATGGAGCCAATGGTAATGACCTTATTTGCAGATCCAGAATGAATGTTATTTGCCCGATTTGCATCCTTAGCGTAGCGTAGAAATTGTCACAGCTCTGTAATTCGTATACTTGGATAAAGTGACGTATTCCCTCATTAGGTTCTATCTAGGAAATTGATGCTTAGTGCCTTTTCATGTGCATGGTCTATCTGACGAGAACATTAGTCTTTAGACTCATAGAGGCTTTGAAATCAATATCAGATTGTAAACTGGAACCAGATCTTTCCTAAATAGTAGAGTCTCAGTCAACTGTCCTAGAGTTTTTTTAATTATTTTTATTTCTTACATGTGAAGTTCAAATCAAAGTGGGGGTGTGTTGGGCAACTTTAAATGCTGATTTTGGTTCATAGATTTCTTATATTGATACTTCTAGTACTATCTTAAGCCGCTGGTTGTTTTCTGCTTTTGCCCCCTTTTTTTTTGGGTATAAAAACAGCTTTTCTGACTGTAAAATGATGCAAAACCCGTATTTTATGTCTCATAGGAGATGAGGAAGAAAAAAGGAAAATGCAATAATAGTACTTTGATGGATCATTATGCTGCAAGATTTTTTGTTATGAAAAATATTACCACTCAAAGCTTCTTTTAGTTGGCACTCTATGTAGGAGTATGTTTTGGTAATTATGACGAACTGTTGGCTTATCTATAACCATGCTTGCATTTCCGGAAAAAATCCATTATAAACATCAACTATGAAGCTGGATTTTATTTTTATACCTTACTTTGAATCGAGCAAATCTTCCTAATACTCATTTGCAAAGTTTTAAAATTAGAACAACTCTCTATGTATTGAAGGGCTTTTCTATGTGGGTTTTTGGGTGTGTGTGTATATGTGTGTTAAACTAGTGTGAAGTCTTACTTTTTTTAGAAGACATTAATGTCATGTTGCAACCAAAATTGTTGTGTTCATCCGAGGGTTGAGTTTCCTCACCTCTTGATATACCAGATGTGGGAGGTATCCTCCAGAAGTCCGAACTGCCATTCCTGTTGAAGGGAGATTCGAACATATTGTCTTGTCATGTAACGCCACATCTGATCATGGAATTATCTGGATAGAAAGGGAAGCAGACAAGGCTTTACAAGTAAGTGGAGCATAACTTTCAACCTTTTACAATCATTATCTTCTCTGTTCTCCTTAGATTGCCATGAATTAACATTGTTGATAAATAAAGTAAGATTGGATATCATGTTCCAAATCTTACCATCTACTGATATTTTTGGTAGTTTCTTTTATTATTATTTTGGATAAGCATTATTTTGGGAACTGTTGGTACAAAATCTACAATAGAACTATACAATACGACCATAATGATTTGCACAGGAATGTAAAGAATATAAAAATTTTCTTTATTCTCCTCCTCAAAGCCTCAAACTAACATCATCCCTAAGTTAGCCGTCTATAAGTGTTTATTAACTATCAGAAGGGTCCTAATGTTTGTAAACTTTCTTGTATGGACTAAACCCATGTGGTGGATGCGTGTGCCTTAAGACTGTCTGTCTTTGGTTGTTGGAAACCGGACAAGATGTAAAGGAAGGAAGGAGTTATTTTAGTTTAAGCAGAAGATAGCCTTAGAGACCGTCTTTGGTCTGATCACTCCTGCCTTCTTGGCAATTCAGATTTTGATATTGTGCCTTCATTTACTCCAACTGCTCAAACAAAACGCTTTCACTTCCCTTTCCCTATAATTTGTTTCCTCCCTCCTTGCAGTACTGGACTTTGTTCAAATGCCAAGTCAATTCCAACCCAACACATGTGAAATGATTCAATTGTCAGAATGACTTGCATTTTTTATGCTTGCTAATTCTGGATCCTTTTTGCCCAAGCATATTGTATATGTGAACCATAATTTTGAAGTAAAAGGTTGATTTGAGATTTGTTTCCTGATTGCTATTGGATTGTAAATGGTTAGTTTTTTCTGTTGAATAATTACTGAGTAGTGATGGAATTTCTCTTCAGAGAATGAAGGAAAGTAGTTCAGAGACCATAACAACTGCTCCAAAAGTACAAAAACTAGAAAGGTTGCAGACCATTGAAAAAGAACACAAAGATGCATTGGAAAGAGCTGTCAGTTTGAACATACCTCATGCGGTAACATCCAACGAGGAAGCCGCCGAAGACCAAGAACCAGAGGGTCCAAAGAGTGAGACTGAGAGTAAAGACCCTTCGGACACAAAGTCAAAGTCCACTGGGGGAAGGGCGAAGTGGGATGATGTAGTTGAAAAGCTTTTCAAGAAAAAGGAGTCTGGGGATGTACTGCTAAATAGAGATTCAACTGCCCCAGAATAGTGGCATTTTTTCTGTCAGTTTCTATTTGTCTTTTGTATTTGAGGTTTAGGTTTTTGTGAATATTTCATGATTCATTCTTTTGTAGTTGTTTACTTTCAACTTCGTTTTTTAGGGTACATTTCCTACCCGCTTTACAGTATATTAGAATTAGGGTTTGTACATTTTATAGGTAAAAGAGTTGTGATTACATACAACTACAGGGTCCATGAGAGAGTTACCAGTGCAGAAATTACTCATATTTAGTCCTCTCTCAGACGACTCCTTAAGATGCAGGCCACATAACATTTTTGGTCCTTGGGTTTTGGCTCATTTTTACTTCGTCTATTAATTTTTAACGAAATCTATGATTTGGCCTCGATTGCATGCGTAACATGACTAAAGTTGCTAAAATTGAAATACTATCGAAGTGTGAAACAAGAAGTCAAATTACGGAGACCAAAGATATAATTTGTCAATCCAACAACCAAACGCCCGCGTAAACATTTAAAATCAATGACACGTCTTAGAATTCTATTGGTACTAGAAGCGAGGATGAGCAGGATAAGAATTGGTTTGGTCGATTGATCAGCTTGAAAGTCCTGTACCATTAAGGTAAAATGGGTTATCTTTTGCTTTTCCCATAATGGGTTGATACATTGGGATTTGCACATGGAGACACATCAAGTATCTTTCTATTAAGACCTCAAGTGCACAAATAAATGCTCTTAACCACTTGAGCTACAAGCGATACTAAAATATTGCAAGTTTTGGTAAAGCCTTAGAGCATCTCCAGCGCAGGTCGGGCTAGGGGGGAAAGGCTGCCCGACGCAGCCCGAGTTCACTCCAGCGCAGGGCCCGTAGCCCAGTTTGGTGGCCGGTCCCACGAGCCCGAGGAAGCCCAAGGGCAAATCTTGCCCGGGCTGAAGCCCGAGTTGGTGACGTCAGCGCTGGCGTCACGCTTTCACGCGCCAACGGTAAAAAAAATTTGACTTACCGTGCGCTGGCGTCAGCATGACGCCAGCGCTGACGTCAGCCACTGACAGCTCCAACGGGCGGTTGCCACGTGGCGCGACGGGGACTCTCCGATGGAATTTTTCCAGAAATCCGACGGTCCTCGTTTTTTGGGCTAAAAAAATCGAAAAAAATCTGAATTTTTTTTAAAAAAATACCCAAAAATTCTGTATTTTTTCTTTATAAATACCTAACCATTTTATTTACTTTCCACACTAAAATCTTCATACAATTTCTTCTCCATCCCATATTTTTTACTCTTTACTCACATTATTCACTTTCCACACCAATTCTTCATACAAACTTTTCTCCTTCCAATTTTTTTGTTCATCTCCACTCACATTTTTCACTTCCACACCAATTCTCCATACAAACTCTTCTCCTTCCAATATTTTTTACTCTCTTTCTACTACTTTCCATTTGTATAAAAAAAAACAAATGGCATCTTGTATTGAAGTCGGAGGCTCGTGGTCAACAAATGAAGATATTGCGTTGTGTCAGTCTTGGGTGAACATTAGTCATGACCCTATCACGGGTAATGAAATGAAGTTTCATCACATGTGGAGCAAAATTCATGGAGAATTTTGTCAAAGATCGGGTTCGATTTGGACCGAAATGGCGTTGTCTAGTAGATGGAAACTTCTTAATAAAGAGTTAGGGAAATGGAGGAATGCCTTGACAAAAGCAAAGGCGAACATTCAAAGCGGTCAAAATTTGACCGATGAGGTAAAATATTTATAATTGCCATTTTAATCAATTCAATGTCACTTTTTTTTTATTGCATATTCTATTTGTTTTTCTTGCATATTTTTTTTTCTTGGTGCACCTTTAATTTGTCTATATTTTCTTGCATAATCAATTTTATTTTTGCATTTCAAAATAGTTTATATTTTCTTGCATAATAATTTTTGTTTCTTGCACTTCCAATTATTTATTTTTAATAGATGGTACAAGCACAAATGTGGTTCGGTGCCATGGGGCAAGGCAAAAAAAGTTTCGTGCATTTCCAATGTTGGGAAATTGTGAAGGATTGTTCGAGGTTCAAAATTATTCCCACCGGTCCGCCGGTTGTGATGAATGAGACGCCACTCCACGATTCAACATCAACCGATTCTCCATTGGACTCCCCAATGGAAACGGAGTCACCATTTGTGCCACGTCCGCCAAGACCTATTGGGAGAAAGGCGGCAAAGGCCAAGAGAGGGGCCACTTCGAGCAATGATTGTGTACAATTATTGGAGCAAATAGCTAAGAGCGCCACACTAAGAATCGAGAGAGACTTGAAAAGAGATGAAATGGACAAGGCACGAGAGGAAGCATTTGCTCTCCAACAACAAATGGCACAAGAAAAAGACATAGAGGATAGAGAGATGAAAATCATGGCTATGGATACGAGCCATATGTCTCCCGAAACAAAGGCTTATTGGAAGCTACGACGAAGAGATGTGATGAGGAAAAAACTTTTCAATGACGACGGACCTAGCAATACGGATTGGTTAAATGATGAAAACCATTAGGTTGTTGTATTGTTGTATTGTTGTATTATCCTTTAAGTTGTTGTATTGTTGTATTATCCTTTACTTTGTTGTATTGTTCCCTTATCCTTTAATTTGTTGTATTGTTCCCTTATCCTTTAATTTGTTGAATTGTTCCCTTTTTATTCAATCAAAAAAGCATTAAATTAAATGACTATTTATTAAAAACATTTGAGCATCAAAACAAATATTAATTTTAAAAAACCTTCATTGATTGCAAACAACACACAAAACAAACCATACATAAAAGCATAATAATAAAAAGCATAATTCCAAAAAAAAACCACACACAAAATAAAGCATAATTAAAAACAAAGCATAATTCCAAACAAAACCACACACAAAACAAAGCATAATTAAAAACAAAGCATAATTCCAAACAAAGCACTAATCTTGACTTCATCCATTGTGATTGCCTTTGATCTCCCACAAGTGCTCGATCAAGTCACGTTGACGTATCTCGTGAACATATGAAGATTGCATTTCTTGATACCGATCAATCATGGGGTTGTTGAATTGACCATCCCGAAGTATGGGTTCGGGCTCCAGTGGTAGTCCATTTGGTCCAATCGGCCTTTCATATATTCTTGTCAACGATGTGTTCATTGGATCGGGTTCAAACACCTCTTGAGCATCATAGTCATACTCATCCTCCACAATCATGTTGTGAAGGATGATGCAAGTCATCATAATACTCCGCAGTATGTGTCGTAATACTCCGCAACAAGTCATCATAATACTCCGCAGTATGTGTCGTAATGAAGTATGTGTCGTAATTACAAATATCATGCATGATTTTTTGGAACAAATGTGGTTGCATTCTATATCTTTCTCAAAACTTAGAAGCAGGATATAACGGATTTGGGATAAAATAATCCTCCATGAGATTCTTACCCCGAGACTCCCTACGTCTGTCCACATTCGGGGCACGAGGACGACGGTTTTGCCTTGATTGATCCATCATACACACCGCTGCTGCAAGCAGTAGTTCCTCTTCTTCATCAGCTTCCCGATCTTCTTCAGCACGTCTACGCCTTGTTTCTTCCCTTTGTTTCTGTTGCCTCTCCAACACCCTCAACAAGTTTGACATTGAGAGTAGAATGTGTTTTCTACAATCTGAGAAATGAAGGAATAGATAAGAGATGGTGTGAGAGGTTTGAAAATCAGGTCTAGTTTATAGACGGATTTAGAAGATAGAGATGACACGTGGCACAATTTGAGAGGATGAAAATCTTATCAAAAATCTGAGATTAAATTTTTTTTAAAATATCTGAAAATGTTATCTGACATTTGACACGTGGCACAATTGTAGAGGGTGAAAATCTAATCTGAAATCTGAGATTAAAATTTTTTTTAAATATCTGAAAATGTTATCTGACATTTGACACGTGGCACAATTATAGAGAGTGAAAATCTTATCTGAAATCTGAGATTAAAATTTTTTTAAAATATCTGAAAATGTTATCTAACATTTGACACGTGGCACAATTTTAAAAGGAATTTTCTTTGAATAATTTTTATTAAAATCTAAAATACTGAAAATTAACTACGAAACTTTAAATGCCGTTTTGGAAGGCCAAACGACCTCAAAATGCCAAAATCCATCATACATCACAGCAAAGCTGTGAGTTTGACTCGTGGCGTCGTTCCCTTTCCGAAATGGTATTTTGCGTCCTAATCGGAGCTCGGACGACAAATCTGCAAATTCCCACTACGTCCTTTTTCTAGCTCAAGCGATAAAATCTGACATTTGTTATACATCAGACGTGGCACAATTTTAGAGGGTGAAAATCTTATCCGAAAATTTAATTACAAAAGATTATCAAAATTAATGGTTTAAACTATAAAAAAATAGAAAATAAAGTACAATGAATAGTAATTGCCTTAGACTTGCCCTAGACTTTGCCCTTGTGGGTGGAACCACAAATGCAAAGGCTGACACTATTCACGTGAATAGTGGCAGCCCTTGCTTGCCCTTGCCTTAGACTTAGCCCTTGTGGGTGGAGATGCTCTTATTGGGCAAAACTTAAGCCAACACATTTACTAAAACTATGCTCATAATACTTTTTGGATGCTAATTTTATGTGTTAACTTAGAAAAACTTCAAACGTGCTGTTCTCTGTTAGAATGAGGTAATAAAATATGGACACCCTGCCAATTTTGGGGGTGGAATTATGTATAGAAGAAGCTAATCAAAATATCTAATGATGGAAACCAAAACTTCAAATTAAAGCATTGCATTAGTAGTTCGCTAATTCATCTTGGATCCATGACCTAACTAACTTTGTGACATGCTACTTAACCATGATAAAGCCAATTGCTGAGAATGGTTTTACTTCCCAATGCAATCAATCAAAGTAGGCCTTGTGTCTTTGGTTGGTTAACGGCTTTAATAAGAAATGCTTGAAAGTTTGGGGTTAACAACCTTTTGCTCATATTTTGATCTTCTTCTTTGGATTGGAGGGCCATTGCTTTTTGCAAAACAGTGACATAAAAGCAACGCTGCACTCACTCCTTTTGACTCTGCAACGGTGCATATTTTGTCTGCAACGGTGCAACCGTACTACGTGCACTCACTGTGACTGATTAATATTAATGAGTCAACTCCATAACCCTACCAATTTTTTCCCCTTTTTTCACTTGTATTTATATTTATATTTTCTGCGTAGAACATCATTTTTTAAAATTAAATAAACATATGTTTATTGATATTATCAAAAATGTGTCGGTAACATGTTAGTATTATTAGTGATAACAATAAATATCGACACATTATCGATAACATATCGACAATGTGTTCTTTAAATCAACTTAATCAATAGTCAAGATTCAAGATTCACAATTGAAAAAACAACACAAGCCCTTATAAGATTAGCCCAAGTGGAGTGGTGAGGGTGGATGAGGACATGGGTTAGGTTTAGACTAGATCAGGAGTTGAATTGGCTTCCATTGTAACCAAAAAACAGCAACATAATCAACGGACATGGGTTAGGTTTATCTATATACTATGTGTAATTTATATTATATAGTTTTCATATCTCTTTGTCACTATTGAGTAATTCGGGTTTTGATCACTTGGCTACTTCATTTAGCTGTGTTTTACCTCTGGATCATTAAAAAAGCTGACCTAATTCAAAGCTTTAGATTTCGATTACCGCTAGTTATAGTAGCTAAGGCAGTAAAAATTGGCACAAAAATTACTGAACGAAAGACTGGTCTGGCTTAATTGACCATTAAAATGTACTAAAACAGCTCATCTTCATGATGATAGAATCAAGCAGTCAGCATATGATCATTATCTGAGAAAATCAAGTAAATTACTCTCGTATTAATTAAGTTTTTAAGTTAGCATAGATATTAATGATGTGAAGCAAAGGCAGACTTTTTGGATTTATTATATGTCTAGTTAACACCAAGAGGAGATTTGAAGGAACTTAAAACTTAAAAGGGTTTGACAATAATTTGCATGAGAGGGAGATTTAATCAGAATGTTTGGTACCCGAGACTGAGAAAGCATGCAAATTCTTTGATGTTGCAACCGAAACAAGCACTCAAGACAAGTACCAATCTCCAAACCTTGTTATATAAACTCATCACTTCCATCAATTAGCATGCACACCAAATATATTTACACGTTATGTTGAAGCCACACACCAAATCTACTCTTAAGGTAGTCTTGCTTTCTTTTTTTAATTTTTATTATTCTCTTTCTTTTTCTTTTCCTTTCTTTTAATTGTTCTCTTTTTGTCAATGAAGTTTGTGAAGACTGCTTCTCAGTCTCCAACGAGTTCATGGAGCTCAAATTCTGGAGGAATGGTGAGATCAGACATATATTACTTCTAATAGCATGTTCACCTATTGATTAATCAGCTTAATGAAGGCTTAAGCACTCAAGTGTGAAGAGTCTCCAAGTGTGAACTTGGTCTAGCCTCTTCTTAAGTATTGATGTACTTTCGTTTTTATTCATTATGTTTACTATTTAGATTTTCTTATAAGTGATATTAGAAGAGCTGAGAATCAAGCACAAGACCTCGAATGCGTGTACTTTAAACTAATTAAGCTACAAGTTCCTTACTATTTAAAACAGTATTGAACAAATAGCTAAGTGGCAGTGTACTTCCTTAATAATTCTAGTAATAAAGCTATTTTGTTGGGGTCAAGTGGCATGAAAGAAATGGAAAGTGCTTTCATTCATTTCTCCTAGTTAAGATTCCACAAGGTCACATCCTCAACAGAAAAGTAAAATTATACCTACTTTTAGTAAAATTTATCATTACATATGCATGACATACTTTGCTTTCTTGGATCCTTTGCTTACTCTATGGGCTTTAAGGTCTTGGTAATTATTCCTCCATATCATTTGCCACCTAATAGCCTATCTTACTTTACAGCCAAAATACGAAGGCAAAGAGCGGCTCCATGACAAATCTAAGGTAAATTTTGTAACATAATTCTCTCTCTCTCTCTCTCTCTCTCATAGTAATTGTGGTACCTTGTCTATTATTTTTACTAGTCTTCTCAGAAGTCTCCTACAAAAGAAAATACCAAACCTCAAGAAATTAGACTCCACACTCAACAAAGAGCAACCAGACGAGCAACGTTCAACTACATGGTGAGTCTAGTCTAGTTTAGACCCCCCAACTGAAGTGTTTCTTGAAATTTAGCTAACGTGTAAAATAAACAGGTTGCAGCCAAGCTGAGCATCATGGAACAGCAGAGAAAACAAGAAGAAATGTTGCAGAAGGTATATGCATGCCGCGCATAGATCAATTTTAATGAAAACTTTCTTTCTCCGGTTATCTAAAATTATGTAAGCGCGTGCAAGAGAGAGGAACATTCTGACGCAAAAGTGTTATAAACTGAGCAGATGATAGAAGAGGAAGAGATTCGCTTACTGAGAAAGGAGATGGTTCCAAGGGCTCAATTGATGCCCCTTTTTGACAAGCCTTTCGTTCCCCAAAGGTAAAAAACAAAACAATTTATTCCTTTTGTGCACGCATTTTTTTTCTTCTATTCTTCAAAACGACTCTCTTTTAAGCAAGTCTGGCTAGCATTTCTCCAGATTTAATTGCCATATACCAAATAATGCGTTTTCTTCTTGGTTGGATTGCAGATCAAGAAGGCCCTTGACAGTTCCTAGGGAACCAAGTTTCATGAGCAGCAAGTGCTTCGGCTGCAACTCTAGCAGTGGCTTCTACAATTTCCAGCACACAACTCAAGCTATGAACCCCATCAAGTAGCCGACCATATATACTCTAAGCAAAACCGCGAATTAATAGATTCATTTCTTAATTAGTATACAAACTTCCCTCCTGAGCTGCTGCCTTCATGCATATAACGCCTTTAATTTCTTCTTTTTGAGTTCCTTTTTCTTGCGTAGTTGCTAAAATTCCAGTGTAACTGGATAGCTGTAATCTAGTTGACCCTGAAGGGGAATTGCTAGTGATCATATTCTCCACAGTAATCAATAAAGTGAGGTTTTTCTTGTTGCTTTGCCTTTTTGTTTTCTTTAACAAATTAATGATTTGCAAACACATAATGGGATCTTTTCAAAACTATTGTGTAAACAAGTAATTGCACACACGCCTTTTTCAAAATATGGTTGTTTGACAACAACACATCCAAATGATAACCATGCTCAACAAACACTAATGAAACCTCCGTCATCAAAATGCGCCATCCCTAGTGGCCAATCCAGAATTTAAAAGATAGCTTGTCAAAACTTACAGGGAGCTTCTACAATGAGGAGTTAAAGTGAGGAGGTTATTTGAGGAGACCGATCCGACCGTCAAAACATTTAAAATATTTAAGTCCCATGATTTCTTTACATTTGTTGATGGTGAGATTTGACCTCCTCAAATAAGCTCCTCACTTTAAGCCCTCATTATAGCCTTTCCGAAACTTACATACTTGGTAAGGAATGAGTTGTCTATTATTTTAATTTTGGACTGGCCTATAACATATGTAGCTTCTTTTTTTGAAGAATTTGGGCCAGGCTATAGAACTGCCACTGGGCATCACAACAGATGTAACATCAGGATCCAGCCGTACAAGCCAGCTAGCCCAAGCAAGCAAAGACCAAGGCTGACTCAAATAGATGTGAAGCATATTCATTCATATCTCATCTAACAAAAGAAAAAGTTCTTCTGTCTAAATTTGTTAGTATTTATATTATTTGAGATTTAATACTTCCGATATTACAGTTCATTATTTTTTTATATAGCTAATCAGCATGCATGCACAGTGTTGTTTGGATAAAGAAAAAACTAGAGTTACTTTATTAAAATTCATGACAAACTGTGACGAATAAATCGTTGAGATTCTATATGCAAGAATTTATGCATGGAAAAGCTTGTTGTGAGTAACCATTACAAAAGTTTATAAAAAATATGTCTTGAAATTGAGCATCGGTTAAAGTATTTTCCACCAAAGAAAGATTCTAGGTATTAAAGCACAAATCAGTGGGAGCATCATGACTAATGGATATTAATGTAAAAGAGCAACTTGCGCCGGAATTTATGCTTTATTCTTGTACTTTGACTAGAAGTACCGTTTGTTTATAGGTGTCTCTCTATGTGTGTGTGTGTATATATATATATGGTAGGATATGTATTTCAGAAAAAGAAAAGTCGCCAACTAGAGAGAGCCTTCAAGAACCTTCTTCCACCTTCTGCAATATGCGAACATCCACAGCAATACTACATAAGTATTATAGATAGGCCAAACTATAACCCAAAACAGAAAAAGAGAGAGAAGAAAGAAAAAAAATCTTATTATTGAGAGAGAGAGAGAGAGAGAGAGAGAGAGAGAGAGAGAGAGAGAGATGGGGAAGGCACGTAGTGTTGGCATAGGCATGGATTATTCTGCAACAAGCAAATCGGCCCTACGATGGGCAGTCGATAATCTGATAGAAGAAGGAGATCGCATCATATTAATCCATGTTGAGCCTCCCAAAGCTACCAATACCAGAAACAGAAAGCAGCTGTTCGAGGACACTGGATCACGTACGTATATATATGTCTCTCTATTAATTCTCACATGTAACAGTACAGTACACATAAATCAAATTACATTTATTCTCTGTTTTATTTTTTTGTTCTTCTTCGTTTTATGTGTTGGCAGCTTTGATTCCTCTGGAAGAATTTGTAGAGACTAATGTCTCAAAGCAGTATGGACTTACTAGCGATCCGGAGGTTCTTGATATTCTCGATACAGTTTCAAGAAGTAAAGGGGTATGTATATGCTCTTAATCTCCTCTCTCCTATTCTATATGACATTTTGACTTCGGAGCAATTTTGTATACCCTAAGCATACATATACAAGTATAGAAAAGTACATGTACAGTACTTGTCCCTATATATATATAAAGAATGGATTATTGTCGATATTGTATTGATAACGTTGGATGTCATTGTCAAGTAACAAATGTACCGACATGTTATCGATATTGTATTGATACATGTTAATTCTTTAATAGTAAATTGAGCTCATACCCATAAAATTCATTTTTAATCACATATAACCCTTCCCTTTATTTTTCTATTAAAATATCCACTTTTTTCATTTGAAAATATACATGCCATTTATATATAATTGATAATACTATGACAAATATTATCTTAAATGATAGCATAATTCAAATTTGGTTTATCTTAAACATTTAGAAATGGTTGAATTTATATCTAGAAAATAAGAATTACATGGGTCTTTCCCTTAAGATACGATATGTTATCGATTTTGACACATCTTTGTGCATGCAGTACAAAAGTTAAAAGATAACATTTTGTATTTTATATGTGTATAAATAAGCACTTAATTTGTATTTGGAATGTGAATAGGCTAAGGTTGTGGCCAAGGTTTACTGGGGTGATCCAAGGGAGAAGTTGTGTGATGCTGTGCAAGATCTCAAGCTTGATTCGCTTGTTGTTGGAAGCAGGGGCTTAGGCCTCATTAAAAGGTGACCACTCTCTAATTTCCACTGATTAAAGTTGACTCACATTCTAAGATTAAATTACACCCCTATAGAACAGAGGTCTCTTAAAACATCAGATCTGGTCAACATTTTAGTCAAAGGAATGTACTATATGTCTGATTCATTGGAAATTTGATGCCTAAACCCTGCAGGGTGTTGCTTGGCAGTGTTAGCAACTATGTGGTGACCAATGCTTCATGTCCAGTTACAGTGGTGAAGGGCACGCCATCATCCAAACCCTGAATCGTGCCCATTTCATGATACCTAAAAGCTTAGGTCTCTATCTGTCAAGGAGGAGTCCTTGTACACTGGAAACTTCAAGGGATATAAGGCCTTAGATGTGTTCTTTTTCTTTTGTTATTTTAGTTGTTTTTATTTTCTATTTTTTGGATTGATGGGAGTGGACTTTATGATAAACTTTATTTATGCTCTTTGGCTAAGTTTTTTATTATATATTTTTGCAATTACTATTATTCCTTTCTAGTACATTCCAATTGCTGTATTCCATTTTTTAACAAACGATATTAGGGGGAGGGCGGAAACCGAACTTAGAATCTCGAGTGTAGGGATAATTTTGAAGTGATTGATATTTTTCCCTGCAACTTATCAACTAATTCCCCTTCACCGCGGGAAGAATTTTCGGTGTCTAATTAATCAGGCTCACAGTGAGGCAACATGGCCCAAATGAGTCTATAAGCCCAAATTTCTCTATTTCACAATTTGATTGCTTTTTTTCATGAACAGAACAAGGGGATACTTTGAACTCTAGGCCTCTTCACTATTCGAGAGAGAATTATGTTAGACCAGGAGCTGCTTTCCAAATAGGAGGTATGAGAGCGCCTGAGCCGGATGGCTTCGAAGGCATTTTTTACCAGTCCTATTGGAAGGCTGCAAGTTTTCTCCTCATGAGGGTTTGAATAATGTGATAATCGAATCCGACTCACGCGAGGCAATTTCTAGTGTTCATGGAAGCATTACAAAAGGGAGGTGGCAATTATACCCTCCTCTCAAAACCATTCGATAGTTCTCTAGTAATTTTCATCAATGTTATTGGTCCTGGATTCGTAGAACTGCCAACTTGGCAGCTAATTACTTGGCCAAGCTATCTTCCTTGAGGATGTGCTCTTTTGTATGTGTTGATCGACCCCCATCCTCTTTGACAGGCATTCTAAACAAAGATGGCCTACCATGCCCACCGCCACAAAATAGTTAGACTAATACTGGTTGGTTTGTGACGACTTAAGGCTTTTTGAAGTAGTATCTCTTTCTTTCCAATATGTATCCACAAGCTATGTTCACTTTTAATGTCTTATTTGCATGTAGTCCACTATCATTGGACTCCTGCCTGTTTGTATTTGGTGCTTTGTTTGCACCCTGGTTTTATTCAAGTACCAATTTGTCCACACACAAAAAAAAGGAACTAACTTGTCACAAATTTGATTGTTGATTGCATCAACATATACAAAATAAAAGGGGGGAAAAATACTCATTAGGCATCAAATTTGAGCAAAAGAAATTGTCACATGCGATACAAAAGGGACGCTCACTCCCACTCCAATTGAAAGCACATACAAGTACACACTCAATTTTAGCGAAGTTAATAATTAATTAGAGTAGCAAAAACCAGACACTTTCTAACAAACAACATTCATCTTCTGCTTCCTGGACGTAACAAACTTCCTCCAAATTGTTGTGATCTCCCTTGTCTTTTCCAAATCACTCTTCTTACTCTCAAGTGCCCTCGTCTCTGCAGGTTTCCCATCCTCTCCGTCAGCAGCCTTCACATTGGAGCTAAGCTTGGATGGAAGTGTGTCTAGTTCATACAACACTTTCTGGATGTCATTCACTAGGCGCTCCGCCAAAGTGCGAGAGAAGTCTTCTCTAATCACGACGCGCAAAACTGTGACATGTTGCGCGTCTGGGGGCATGGTGTAGGCAGGGACAATCCATCCGAAGCGGCGGAGCAAGTCAGAGATTTCGAACTCGTCATGGCGGTGGTTGTCCCTCAAAGAAAATGCCACCAATGGTACCCCTTCATCTTTAGAGACTATGTTGAAGCGCTTTGTCTTCTCCAATCCTTCTTTTAGTACTATCATGTTTTCACGACAATTTTCCATGACATTCCTGTATCCCTGGTTTACATGCACAAAATTCAATTAATTATGTCATACATATCTTAAGATGATATGATCACCAAGCTTTTTGTTATAGAATATCGATCATTATCATGAAACTTCAATGTTTAATGAGAACAATGCATTCGTCTACTTATCTTATCACAATTAGATGTCTTAATAATTCTTGATTTGGCTAATCTTTTATAAGAATGATCTTCTGAATGCAGATCACGAAATTGACATGTAGCTTGTTAACTATTTGACATGGACGTTTATTTGGTAGCTTGCTTGCTTAGTGCGAAAGGCAACGCTAGTGGACCGTTTCTTGATAAACTATCTTAATTAGAATGAAGGAAGGAAAAAATCTTCAAATTTCATTTATAATTTATAAGTGTACCTACCTCAAAACCCAAGCGAATCAGTTGATAATATTGAGCAATAACTTGGCTGGAACCTGCATTATGGAAAGCATGAAAACTCAGTCTACAGTTGGACATTTACCAATGTGAATAGTGTATTAAAACTGCTACGATATATCAATAAAATAATGAAGACAGTTTGAAGAGTAGGTACCTTTAGAGAAGTTGAGGGTGAAGGTAGGTTGATCTGCTCCAAGATAGTTGATATGGAAGATGAGTTCCTCAGGCAAGTCCTCTTTGTTCCTCCAGATGACCCACCCAATTCCTGCATACACAAGTCCGTACTTGTGCCCACTAACATTGATGCTCTTCACTAAGGGCAAACGGAAGTCCCACTCAAGTTCTGGGTACAAAAATGGTGCAATAAACCCACCACTTGCTGCGTCTACATGGATTGGAGTATCCCATCTACGCAAGCGAAAAAAAAAAAAAAAAAAAAAAAAAAAAGTTAGGTTATACACATGTGTGATGTTACATCAACATTACTGAGTCATGTATAATAAGTGATGGTATGTGTCACATCAGGAAATAAGATAAAAACTGAGAGAGAGAGAGAGAGAGAGAGAGAGAGAGAGAGATTACATACCCAGTTTCCTTGTTCTTCTCTACCAAGAGATCATTCAGGCGCTTAACATCTTCGAATTCTCCATTGAGAGTGGAGCCGAGGATAGCAGCGACGCAGATGGTGTTCTCATCAACCATCTCCACTGCCTTCTCAGGGTCCATTACATAGTATCCTTCCCTCAACTTCACCTCCTTCAACTCCACCTCAAAGTACCTTGCAAATTTCTCCCAGCACACCTTCAATTAATCCATAGAGTAACAATATTAGTTTGATTGATTGCAATGCTAAGGTACTAAATTTTCGTAACATTCCATTAGCTACTTAAATCACGTAAATCATTGTTGAATTTTATTTTTATTTATTTATTAAAATTGTTGAAATAAATATGATGACCATATATAAATACCTGGACATTGGCTCCGGTGACAATGTTGGGGTTGTCAATGGGCTTGCCCTCAGCTCTCCTCTTGTTCTGCCACTTCCTCTTGAAAGCTAAGCCGGCCAACATGATGGCTTCAGAAGAGCCCACAGTTCCCACTCCAACTGCTGACTCTGACTCCTCCAATGGGGCATTGAATAGATGAGCTATGATGTTTACGCACCGATTCTGTGTGTTCATATACATCATGCACAAAAATACAACACATGATTAATTATCTCTAAATATCCAACATAATCTGTAAGTTGAGATTAATTTTTAATCAAGATACAAAGCTCTCTTAATTAATCTGTGTTTTGAGTGGTTAATCATATCAATTAATAACATGATGACATGCCTAGGTATCATCAATTGGTATTTACACAAAAAGCTCTTTCATAGAGAAACGCTACAAAAATGACAGCCTAGAAGTTGGAAGATACAATTAGAGTATATTAGTTTGTCGAATTATGTGGTAGATAAAATTCACTTGCTACATCAATTATTAAGACGAAACATGCTGTTTTTTGCAAACGTAACGCAATAGTTTGTTATACTTTCTTCTAGTAAAATTAGGCTCATTTTACATTTAGGACTTTGAGATTTCAAATTCAAATCATCCTTTGTGTGTCCATTGAATTTTACCGATCGAAAGGGAAGAGTGTTGCTAAACGAACCCTAAAATTATTTGAGTACACTCTATGATCTAAATATACCCTAATATTTAAATTAAAATATAGAATTAACTAAGTATACCATATTTAACTACCAAAATACTCCTGGTACACCCTAATACACCACACCACCAAATTTGTCCAATTACATCCCATGGCTTTTTGCTCTGAAACTATGAATGCACTGGAGGTGCCGCCATGGGAGGAATTGCTGCATTTAGCTCATAGTCGTAGCACCAAGGGCCATAATTTAGACTATATAAGTGACTATCATGATCCCCACCGAGATCTGTCTAAGAGTTGGAAGGTTTCGGACTTCCAGCAATACTACTTGATATTGGATAACCAGAATAATGAGGATGAAGGTCTTCAGAGGAACCACAATAGAAATCAACCGTGAAAGATGGTGCTTATATCCAACTGAAGACAAAACCTCCTGGTTACAACCCAACTGATTCTCATCCTGGTTACCAACCCAATTATCAGTCGAACCAAAGCTTTCTGGCAGTTGCTGATCTTGATTTCCATTTCTAATGTCCCCATTTCCAGTTGATGAGCGAGAGAAATACATATGAGGTGCATGATGGGCTTTACCTAAAGGTTCTATACTCACTTCGCCATTGGAAGGGGAAGATTTTGAGCATCATGTGAAATTGCGAGACCTTGAAATCTAAAGGTGTGGCAAGATCTTTAGCATCCCCATAAGACGATATTCTAAAACAGCAATTCCATTTGGGGAATTGTCATCTTCCGAGAACATTGGTGGGGATGCCACCTTCACACCGTTTTCATGTGGTCCATTCACACATTGACAAGGTATCTGAACATTTGTAACTTCACCAAAGTCTCCAAAGCATATGTCGAAATCAAACCATGATGGGTAACAAGAAGTAGAGTTTTTCGCTTTCCTTTGATAAAGGTTGACTATGGTGGGTAGGGTGTACTTATTAAAAGTATATTTGTTTCACAATTTAATATATCATTTTTGGTCATTTTATATTAAGGTAAATTAGTAATTCAATAAATAATTTTGTAGTAGGGTGTACTCAGTTAATTTTAGGGTTCGTTTAGTAGCACTCAAAGAAAAAGGCGTTGCTTTGAGGAACTTAAAACTCTATGCCGAAAAGGAAAAAGGGAAAGAAAAGAAAACGGGAGAGAGAGAGAGTGAGACATTGTCCCACACATTGACTGAAAGATATGGACATCTTCGGCCAATGAGAGAAGAAGAAGACATGCAGATGAATGGGGTTGCTGCTAGATCCAAATGCGATGGATGGAGAAACCAATGTACGCGTCTAACGGAAGCTAGCTACCAACTTACCAAGGAAGGAGATAATAGTGTGTACGTGGTAATAAGAAAATTATCTATAACAATATCAGAAATTTATGGACCGTCCATTCCATCCCACCTAAAATTTCTACAACGACTGCCCACTTGTTTTTCTTCTTTTATTGATTTTAAAAATCGTGGATGGAATCAAAGCCAATTTATTCCACACGCATCTCGGCATAGACTATGGACCCAATCAACTCTAATTCTTGTCCTACCTTAATGGAAAAGAATATCGATTTAATCCCAATTAAATACCTTAATGATTTGCACACAACAGTGCTTGATATGTGATATGGTGATTCGGTCTTAGCTAAAATTTAGCTAAAAATATAATGATGCTCTATATTTCTTAGCTAAAAATATAAAAAAGCTATTTTAGGAGCTCTCTAAAAAATTTCAACTTCAACCATACTCCCTAATTTGGAGAGTCATAAATGCTATAACTCTTTTTTAATTGGTCCATCTCTATTAAAAAAAAATAGTTAGCATTAAATAAAGGGAGTTTCACTAAAACACCCAAAATGGGGGTTGAAATTATAAAAAAACCCAAGCACTATTTAAACATATAAACACACCCAAAACCCATCATTACACACACTCAAAACTCATTTATAAACACACCAAAAAAGTTGACTTTGGGGTTGATTTTGGGTGTGTTTCTATGTTTAAATAGTGCTTGGGTTTTTTTATAAATACATGTCTAGGATTGGGTTTATTTATAAATTTGTATTAAATAAATGTTTGAAATACTTATTAAATAAAGCATCATTAAATTATAGGGAGCAACTATGAGTCATTTCTCTCTCCTCAGATTTAGGAGCTCCTAGAGGACTCCCTATTTTAGAAGGTGAATAGAGAGCATGGTTGGAATTGCATTTTACAATTCCTCCCTAAAATTTGTCTAAGGAAGTAGTTTAGAGAGCTGATTGTGGATGCTTTTATATGATGTCAAAATCAGTTAGTCATTACCGACCAAAAAAAAATCCGTCAGTCTATCCGCATGGGAATATTAGGTACAGTACACAACTCAGAAACTGAAGCACTTACCTCCAATGCATGTACGTACAGGTAATTGTCAAAAAAAAACCTACCTCGTGTGACCTAAATGCCCAGTAAAATAAATAAGGCAATTCATTGGAAGTGTAATATATATATATATTTTTTTAATTTGACCTTCATATTCCTAATGTTACAAGAAATGCGAGAGTATGAAAATTGCCGATCGAGTTTTACAAGCTTTCTCAAAAAACAAATCATGCCTTAGAGCATCCATAATGGGTTCCCTAAATCACCCTCTTAGAGGGATCGTAAAAATGCAACTCAAACCATGCTCCCTATCCACCTCCTAAAATATGGAGTCCTCTATGAGCTCCTAAATTTGAGGAGAAAAAAATGACTCCTAGTGACTCCCTATAATTTAATGCTTCTTTATTTAATGAGTATTTCAAATATTTATTTAATACTAGTTATTTTTTATTTTATTTTTTATTATGACTCTCCAAACTAACGAGTATGGTTGGAGTTGAAATTTTTTAGAGAGCTCTAAAATAGCTTTCTTATATTTTTAGCTAAATTTTAGCTAAGAAAGAGCATCATTGTTGTGGATGCTCTTAGCATGCGGAGGATGGAGGATGGCTGGCATCTCACTCCTCCTCATTTCTATAATCTCTTTTTCAATCTGTAATGATACATGCTTATTATATTAATTAAACATAGAGTGAAATGAACGCCGTTGCCATCAGGACCTTTGCTTTTTTATATATAATTAAAGTCGCCGTCCTTATGATATTATACGTTAATTCTCACCCACTCCACTCATAAAGTACGTATTAATTTATGAAGCAAATGTGATATTAATAATAAAAAATTGTAAAACGGGAATGGATCCAAAACGACGATGATTTGATGAGGATGAAAAAGAAGAAATGGGGTTACCTGGAGCTCAGTGGTGACTGGGTATTCATCCATGTCCACGTAGTTCTTGTTGATGGAGGCCATCATCAGTTTGTCGCACTCAGGCTCCATCCACGTCGTTACGAACGACGCCAGATTCAGCCTCGGGTTGCCGTCCAACATAAGCTCGTCGTTTATGATCTGGTATGCTGCCTCCTTGGGGATCGAGTTTTCCGCCATTTTGAACCTGCATGATCGATAAATATCATCCATCCATCCATTTAATCAATTAATCCGCATGACATCGAGGATGAAACTAAATATCGAGACTCTTGCTGTTGTTAAAGTATTTTATGTTGTCAGACCGTGAATCTAAAATTACCTGGGAAGAGAAGTTCGAACGTATCGAGAAGCGAAGGTTGAGTGGACGGAGACATCCGACTCCGATGCAATTTTTGAGAGAACCATGGTGATGGATTGATAATGGAGTAGTAGTTTCAAAGAGATCTAGAAATGTGACTGTGGATAAGGGTTTTGAGGAGGGAAGAAGATCGATCTAAACAAGTCACAGATGAAGTAGTAGTAGTATACAACTAGGGAAGGGAAGAGTGGACCCATGGTTTTGGACTTTGCTTGTGAACCCATTCAAGGTCGGGAGTCAGCTTTATAGACTTGCAGATTGACAAAAAGAAGGGGAGACCTATTCAAGCTCTCCCACGTCAGTATTCACCGCAGCAGGAGTAGTTGGTAAGGTTTGTCAAAAATTCTAATAATTGCCCAATTCCATTTACAATTTAGGTGAATCATTTTTTTTTTTGGTTACATGGGAGGGGAAGCCCATTGACAGGTGAATCAATTTGACTGCAAACATTAAACCAGTCAAGTTTACTTGCGAAGTAGTTTGGATTGGAAACAATTGTAAAAAGGAAGAGTTTCAGTTATACCTCTTAGGTTTGTTCTAATTACAATCATACTTTATATGTTTTATTTATTTTACTTAGAGCATCTCCAACAGTAGTAGCAAATTAAATGTTTCAAAAATTGTTAACTTATGTGGTAATTTGAAAAGATTTATTGTTATTTTAATAATTTGTGTCGTACTCGACTCTTTAATTCAATTAACGCAATGTTATCAAAGAACTAGTATTAAAAAAAAACAGTTTTTAGTAAATTTCTGATTTCACCTACGCTTCATGTTCAACTTCTTTGGCAGCGTAGGCAAATTCTTGAATTGCTGTTGGGCATATCTCATCTAACAAAAGAAAAAGTTCCGACATTACAGTTCATTATTATTATTTTTTAATAGCTAATCGACATGCATGCACAGTGTTGTTTGGATAAAACAAAAAATAAAGTTATTTTATTAAAAAAAAAATAGAATTACGGTAAATCACACACATAATTATATGTATATGTTACAAATCACGATAAACTGTAAACATTGACGTTTGTAGATGCAATAATTTATTAATGGAGAAGCTTGTGAGTAACCATTATAAAAGTGTATAAAAAATGTGTCCTGAAATTGAGCATCGGTTAAAGTATTTCCACCAAATAAAGATTCTAGGTATTAAAAAAGCACACATCAGCGGGAGCATCATGACTAATGTTTATTAATGTAAAAGAGCAACTTGCACCGGAATTTATGCTTTATTCTTGTATGTGCTTGGACTAGAAGTAAATTTGTTTTTAGGTCTCTCTCTCTATATATATATATATATATATATATATATATATTTCGGAAAAATAAAAGACGCCAACTAGAAGTATTATATTCTTTATTTTAACAAATGATATTAGCAGAGGGGAGAAACCGTAGAACCTCAGCTATACGGATAAATATTACTAACAACTTGAGTTACAAGCCCTCTTGTCAATTATTGTATTCTAGCTTAGCCAATGAATACTAGGCTTCTTGAATTTATCATTTTTGGAGGAATTGGTTTCTACATTGTGCGTTTGAGGCTTGATTATGAATTTTGAGGTGATTGATATTTTTCCTTGCAACTAAATCAATTTCCCCTTCACTGCAGGAAGAGTTTTCAATGTCTATTCGGGCTCACAGTGGGCCAAATGAATCTATAAGCCCAAATTTCTCTATTTCACAATTTGGTTGGTTTTTTTCATCAACAGGCGAAGGGAACTTTGAATTCAAGGCATCTTCACTATTTGAGAGAGAATTATGTTAGACCAAGTGCTAACTTGTCACAAATTTGATTATACAAAATAATAAAGGGGGTACAAATACTCATTAGGCATCAAATTTTAGCAAAAGAAATTGTCTCACGTGATACAAAAAGGACTCTCACTCTCACTCCAGTTGAAAGCACATACAAGTATAGTTATAATCGAAAATGACAATTACACGCTCAATTTTAGAAAGTTAATAATTAATTAGAGTAGCAAAAACCAGACACTTTCTAACAAACAACATTCATCTTCTGCTTCCTGGCCGTAACAAACTTCCTCCAAATTGTTGTGATCTCCCTTGTCTTTTCCAAATCACTCTTCTTACTCTCAAGTGCCCTCGTTTCTGCAGGTTTCCCATCCTCTCCGTCGGAAGCCTTCACATTGGAGCTAAGCTTAGATGGAAGTGTGTCTAGTTCATGCAACACTTTCTGGATATCATTCACTAGGCGCTCCGCCAAAGTGCGAGAGAAGTCTTCTCTAATCACGACGCGCAAAACTGTCACATGTTGTGCATCTGGGGGCATGGTGTAGGCAGGGACAATCCATCCAAAGCGGCGGAGCAAGTCAGAGATTTCGAACTCGTCGTGGCGGTGGTTGTCCTTCAAAGAAAATGCCACCAATGGTACCCCTTCATCTTTAGAGACTATGTTGAAGCGCTTTGTCTTCTCCAATCCTTCTTTTAGTACTATCATGTTTTCATGACAATTTTCCATGACATTCCTGTATCCCTGGTTTACATGCACAAAATTCAATTAATTATGTCATACATATCTTAAGATGATATGATCACCAAGCTTTTTGTTATAGAATATCGATCATTATCATGAAACTTCAATGTTTAATGAGAACAATGCATTCGTCTACTTATCTTATCACAATTAGATGTCTTAATAATTCTTGATTTGGCTAATCTTTTATAAAAATGATCTTCTGAATGCAGATCACGAAATTGACATGTAGCTTGTTAACTATTTGACATGGACATTTATTTGGTAGCTTGCTTGCTTAGTGCGAATAGCAACGCTAGTGGACCGTTTCTTGATAAACTATCTTAATTAGAATGAAGGAAGGAAAAAATCTTCAAATTTCATTTATAATTTATAAGTGTACCTACCTCAAAACCCAAGCGAATCAATTGATAATATTGAGCAATAACTTGGCTGGAACCTGCGTTATGGAAAGCATAAAAACTCAGTCTACAGTTGGACATTTACCAATGTGAATAGTGTATTAAAACTGCTACGATATATCAATAAAATAATGAAGACAGTTTGAAGAGTAGGTACCTTTAGAGAAGTTGAGTGTGAAGGTAGGTTGATCTGCTCCAAGATAGTTGATATGGAAGATGAGTTCCTCAGGCAAGTCCTCTTTGTTCCTCCAGATGACCCACCCAATTCCTGCATACACAAGTCCGTACTTGTGCCCACTAACATTGATGCTCTTCACTAAGGGCAAACGGAAGTCCCACTCAAGTTCTGGGTACAAAAATGGTGCAATAAACCCACCACTTGCTGCGTCTACATGGATTGGAGTATCCCATCTACGCAAGCGAAAAAACAAAGAAAAAAAGTTAGGTGTTATACACATGTGTAATGTTACATCAACATTACTGAGTCATGTATAATAAGTGATGGTATGTGTCACATCAGGAAATAAGATAAAAACTGAGAGAGAGAGAGAGAGAGAGAGATTACATACCCAGTTTCCTTGTTCTTCTCTACCAAGAGATCATTCAGGCGCTTAACATCTTCGAATTCTCCATTGAGAGTGGAGCCGAGGATAGCAGCGACGCAGATGGTGTTCTCATCAACCATCTCCACTGCCTTCTCAGGGTCCATTACATAGTATCCTTCCCTCAACTTCACCTCCTTCAACTCCACCTCAAAGTACCTTGCAAATTTCTCCCAGCACACCTTCAATTAATCCATAGAGTAACAATATTAGTTTGATTGATTGCAATGCTAAGGTACTAAATTTTCGTAACATTCTATTAGCTACTTAAATCACGTTTACATTATGTGGCAGATGATGTTTTAATTATCAACTAATCATAATAAATAAGGAATGTAACAAATATATTGTCCCTAACATAAATCATTGTTGAATTTTATTTTTATTTATTTATTAAAATTGTTGAAATAAATATGATGACCATATATAAATACCTGGACATTGGCTCCGGTGACAATGTTGGGGTTGTCAATGGGCTTGCCCTCAGCTCTCCTCTTGTTCTGCCACTTCCTCTTGAAAGCTAAGCCGGCCAACATGATGGCTTCAGAAGAGCCCACAGTTCCCACTCCAACTGCTGACTCTGACTCCTCCAATGGGGCATTGAATAGATGAGCTATGATGTTTACGCACCGATTCTGTGTGTTCATATACATCATGCACAAAAATACAACACATGATTAATTATCTCTAAATATCCAACATAATCTGTAAGTTGAGATTAATTTTTAATCAAGATACAAAGCTCTCTTAATTAATCTGTGTTTTGATGTTCAACGGTGAATTATTATGATCAACGATGAAGCATTTGCTCTACTTTGTTAGACACATCTTTCTACTAGTCAAATTAGGCTCATTTAGGACTTTGACATTTGAAATCATCCTCTGTCAATTTATTCCACGCATCTTGGCATAAACTCTGGGGTGGACCAAATCAACGCTAATTGTTTCAACCTTTCAACTTATTCATACCTCCTTTTTTCTTTCTGTTTTTTTAAGGGTATTATTTTGTTTCTTTGAATTTGTCATCTCTTTCAATTTGAAAAGATTGACTAAGAAATATTTTACTAAAGTTTAACTGACTTTAGAAACAATAAGTCAAATCCTAGGAAAATAATTGGGTTTCCCCAAGTCTACTTTTTTATCTAATTTTGCAACTAAAAAAGTATTAGTTTTGTCAATTACCCACTAATGTAGTGATTTGGAGTAATTACTTTCCCAAGCAAGATTTTGAATTCGAATCCTAATATCCGTGTAGTTCTATTATCATTTTTCACCTGTTCCATATTACGCTTGGACACTGCACGATATGTTGTGGGCTCTTATTTGATGTCAAAATCCATCAGTCTATCCACGAGGGAATAAGGTAGAGGAAAAAAACTTACTTTGCCCAGTGGCCAGTACAATATTTGGGAACAGCAGTAATAGTATGGCTCAATCATTTCAGGTGAAATTGCGATTTTTATTTTTTGTCACAAATTGCAAGTTTTTTTTTCCTCTACTTTTAAAAATAAGAGCTAGTTGAAGACTATACGAAAAGGCAATTGATTGGAAGTGCAATACAAAAGTCTGTTTAAGAGTTATTTTGGAGTTGTCACCACAGCCAATCATTTATTCGCATGTGGAGGTTGGCTGGCATGTCACTCCTCATTTTTATAATCTATTTATATCTTTAATGATGCGTGCTTATGATTATTATCTATATCATTTATATATAGTAAAACATTTAAAATATTAGAAAATGCTCTTGATTAATGCAAACATTAAGAATTGAAATTATTAATTAAATTAGGATAATATGGTAAATTCACATTTTTTTCATATTAAAAAAAATTAAAATTAACGAAAAAAAATCAGATAATAAATCTTATTTTTATGAAACACAACTACCTATTATCTTTTTAAATTCTGAAATAAATTTAAAATTGTTTAAAAAGAGCCTCGCAAAAGCGCGTTCGAAAAGATTAAATATTAATGAAACAAGGAATGAAATGAACGACGTTGCCAACAGGGCATTCGCTTTTCAAACAACATTATATGATAACCTTGACTAATTCTCACCCACTCATAGAGTACGAATTAATTTATGAAGAAAATGTGATATTAATTATAAGAAATTGTAAAACGGGAATGGATCCAAAACGATGATGATTTGATGAGGATGAAAAAGAAGATATGAGGTTACCTGGAGCTCAGTGGTGACAGGGTATTCATCCATGTCCACGTAGTTCTTGTTGATGGAGGCCATCATCAGTTTATCGCACTCAGGCTCCATCCATGTGGTCACGAATGACGCCAGATTCAGCCTCGGGTTGCCGTCTAACATAAGCTCGTCGTTTATGATCTGGTACGCTGCCTCCTTTGGGATCGAGTTTTCCGCCATTTTGAATCTGCATGATATATCAAAATAAAAATGAATTCATCAGCAATAACATCGATGATCAAATTAAAAATGAATCATGCATCCATAAAGAGAAAGATTGCTTTTGCTGTTAAAGTGTTTTATGTTTGTCAGAATGTGAATCTAAAATTACCTGGGTAGAGAAGTTCGAACATATCGAGAAGCGAAGGTTGAGTGGACGGAGACATCCGACTCCGAAGCAGTCTTTGAGAGAACCATGGTGATGGATTGATGATGGTGTAGTAGTTTCAGAGAGAGATCTAGAAATGCGGATATGGGTTTTGAAGAGGGAAGAAGATCGATGTGGACAAAGTCACCAAATGAAGTAGTAGCGTACAACTTAGGGAAGGGAAGAGTGGAGTCATATATTTATAGGGAAAAACAATTCCAGAGGTTATTAAAATGATGTATTATTCAAAGTTTCAGAAAGTTGCCAAGTTGGAACACGGACGGTGCCTTCCGACCTTATGGTGTTGAAAAATAATAGTCTAGTAACAAAGGAGGGGCATGCTTTTGACCCCAGATAAAAAGAGGAGGGGCATGTTCTCTACGAGCCTGCCTCAGCCTTACCTTTGGTTTTGGACTTTACTTTTGAATGTGCCTCAGACTTACCTTTGGTTTTGGACTTTACTTTGGAACCCATTCAAAGTCAGGGGGTCAGTTTTATAGACTTGTTGGAGAAGATAATGAAAGTCGTGTCGTGTAGAAGGTTTTGGTTTAATCAGTCAATAGCATTAGCAAACACAAAACAGAGTTGTGGGACTTGTTTTTATTTTATTTTCGTAGTTTTTTTTTATTTACCAAAAAAAAAGGGGAGATCTATTCAATCTCTCCTTCATCAGTGCGCATGAGTAGTGGGGGAAGGCTTGTCAATCTCACTAATTATTAAGTTGCATTCCAGCGAATTTTGGAAAAACCCGGCAATATCACTTTCAGCTTTTGTTATTAAACTGATCAGTAACATGCTGGAAAATAATTTCCATATTTTATTAGATTGGAATCGACTTTTGAAGGTGACTATTATTTATTTGGACCAAGACTTTGAAAGTGTCGGACCAAAATAAAAATAAAAATAGATATTAATCATAAGAATCTTTACTAATAAGGGTTTGATACTTAGAGCATTTCTATTTGGGTTTTGATGCATAGGAATTAAATTTTGTTTTGGATTTTGCCAAAGAGGACCAGATTCGTCGGGCTTGTCTAAATTACAGAGATAAAATACAATTTTACCATTTTTGTTTAAAATTCTAAGCCAAATCAGATCTCATTCTCTGTTGTACGACGACAGAGCTCTCTGCAACTCCCTTGTCGAGATGAAGCCACTGCCGTCCTGATCCGTCATCTAAAAGCAAGCCACCACGTTCGGGTTCGTACCGGGTGGGAACGACAACGACACGAAAGCCGTGTCCATGAAGTAACCGAAATTCATGAACTTGGTTTCATTAGAGCTGAAAACTTTAATCGAAATCAGAGCTAACATTTCGTACTTCGACGGCAATGACCTCAATCGCTGATGCACATGGCTAAGCTGGGCCATGGAGACGCAGTCAAGACTCTTCTAGAAGTTGGCGCTTCATGGAATGCCCTATCTCTTTCCAATCTCTTCGTTGGCGATTTCGTCATGGACACAGACCATGAAAAAGCCTACAACATCCTTCTCAGTTTTTCTGTTGTTGAGGTATGTATATTCTTGATCAAATTGTTATTTGAATTTTTTATTTTATTTTTCAGTTTTTGATAAGTTGATTTTTTTGGTTTGGTGGTGTTTTTTTTTTTTTTTTTTTTTTTTTTTTTTTTTTTTTTTTTTTTTATTTTTTTTTTTTATTAATTTTTATATTTTTGATCAGATTGGAACGGTGGCAGGTGGCAGTGGTTGGCAGGCAATAGGTGGTGGTGGTGGTGGTGGCGGCTGGTCGGCTGTGGTGGTAATTAGGCGAAATGGGGATTACTAGAGGTGGACATTTGGCATTGTGTGAAATTTTTGATGTTTTTAATCACATTATTGTAAAATTAGATACTACTTTTTGGTCTTTGACCTTATGCTAATCAGGTGAAAGTAGGGGTTGTTTCGGTGCAGTAACCGCACCAAAGTCACGCAATCGCATACCAACCGAAACCATGCGGTATATCCAAAATCAAAACCACCGCCGATCCGCACAAGGCCGGTTACCGGGGGTATCGGCATCGGTTGGTGTGTCATCGGCAATCGGTGTCGGCAATGAATCGCACAATTCATCCGCCACAAACACAGAGAGAGAGAGAGAGAGAGAGAGAGAATAAGAAGAATTCGATAAAGGAAAAAAAAAACCCCAGACAAACTAGAGATAAGAAGAAGATGGCGATGGAGCAAAATAGAGGGTTAAGGTAGGGTTTATGTATGGTGATGGATTTGGGCCTAAAATAGTATGGGTGGGGGGCTTTTTGGGTTTACAAGATAGGGCTTTTTTTAGTTGAAAAAAGAAGGAATATCGGCCCAATTAAAAAGCCTGAAACTAAAATTAGCAAAAGTCGGAGAGCGTAGGGTTTGAACTCCAAACCTCGAACTTAACCATGATTCATCTTCTTCATCATCAAATCCAATCCAACCGTCGTTCTCTCTCTCTTTCTCTCCTCAATCTTTGACTCTCGTTCTCTCTCTTCTTTCTCTCTCTCTCTCTTTCTCTCTCTCTGCCTCCCTCCCTAGACGCTACCTTTGTCTCTGTCTCGCTATCTTATTATGGGGATGGGGGTGGGAGGGTCTTGGGGGAGAAACAAAGGGGGAGTGAGAGAGAAAAAAACAAAGGGAGAGGGTTGATGTAGGTTGTGGGTGGGAAGTTGTAGAGGAAGGTTATTTTTTCTTTTCTTTTTTTCTTTTTTAATATACTCAGTCAGTTGCGGTAACCGACAGAATTGATCTCGGGACACTGCAACCGTGATCGGTACTGATCGGTCTGGTTGGTCAACAGTAACTGTGTTGACTTTTTGGTCAATCTCGGTTTACCGGCTGCAAAAGTCGGACGATAATCAACGATTTGTAGTACTTTCGGTCCAACTGCACAGTCCTAGGTGAAATTGTATTTCTATATTCTAAATTAGTAAACTATATAGTGTTTTTAAAATGAAAGACTTTGAAAGTGACTAAAGAATAGTAAAATAATAAATGGTAACATCGTATCCGAATAAAAGAACAAGTTGTTATGTTGGTATTTGTTGAAGAATATAAGTCCCACATCGAAAACGTGACTAAATAAAATACAATATATAATGAATGGTTCTACTACTAATATCACTGAGGCCTTTGTGATAAAACCTCACACCTACTGGGCTTTGTAGATGGTTAAGTTGGGAATAATATCGGTGTTGCTAATAGTGGGCAATGGCCAGTCTCTTTGAAATTTAACATGGTATCAAAGCGGGTTTATTGATTGGGCTTGAATTACTAGGCCTTTATCCTTACCTCTTACCCAACATGTGATGTTCACATGTTGAGCTTGAATGTTTAACCTTACCCAATATAGTGGTGCTCACCGTGGGCTGCTAGCTCGTCTTTTTGAAAGTTAACACTATAAGGCCCGTATGGTAACATTTTCAGATAATGTTTCAAAGAATATTTTGTAAAGACTGAAATTATCATTATTAAATTTTTTTTTTGAACAAATACCAACAAAAAAATTTCTCAAAAGCAGTCTTTTAGCTGACACCCTCCCTTCCTTTTTCTTTTTTTCTCCTCCTTTCTCTCTCTCTCTCTCTCTCTCCTCTCTCTCTCTCTCTCTCTCTCTCTCTCGGAGTGCTGAGTGGGTGGTGGTACTTCGATTTTGGTATGAGTGGTATTGATGGTTGAGTTCGACTAGGTGGTGGTGCGATTAGCAGATTGCTGGTATGTTATGATGATTGTGGTTCAATTGGCCTGCGGTGGCTGTTGGGTGGTGTTTGATAATGGTGGTTATTATGGTGGCTTATGCACTATTTTTTCCCAGTGAATCCATATTCTCTGAAAATGAAAACATCCTTTTGATGTTTTCTGCGTTTTCAGTAAATTATAACTAAAAGGTTGAAAATGATTTCAGAAAACGTTTTCTACGTTATCTCAAACTCACCATTGAACGCAAATCTCAGTGTTTTCTGAGAATGAAAACAGAAAACGGTCTCTGAAAACACCACCGAATGGACCCTTAACTTTTTATTTTAATTTTTAGATAATTTGTAATTAGCAGATACATTATTATTAAGCAAAATTGTTTAAAGGCTTGGCTGTCATAATAAGTTACCCTTTGTGTCTTTTGGTGATCATTATGTCCATGCATGTGTTGTCCGTGGAAAGGTTAAACTTACAAACCACAAAAGTATTCAGCAAAAATAAAAAGAAAACAATATTTTTTGAGGCTCGAATTTAAAAATAAATTTTATTCAAGCACATTTGAGGTAAAGCCCATATTTTATGGTATGGTCGAGTACCAGGCCAAAATACATTTTGGTGTGTGATATTTAAATACCTATGTAATGGTGGTTACAAAAAGAATATTTATAATGGAGACATAATTCCGTTGAGGCAACATTATAGAAAGAGATTTTCTAAATCCCCTTTCTAAATATAATAGCCAAAGTTAAATTAAACGTCCAAAAGGTACTGCTGCACTAAAAACGAGTTGGGGAAATTATATTAAATTTTTGGTCACTACTGCAAGAGTGGCACCAGGTTGGATCCATAAACTTAATGAAACCAACGATGCAGGAATTTGGATGAAATGTCTAAGATTTAGACGGCAGGGAGAATTGACGAAAAATTGAGTTCATATCTTTAATTTTTTTTTTTAAATTATGAGGTAAATTGAAAATTAGATACAGGTTCATGAAGCATTTCACCAATATAGCTAACAGATTGCGATGGTTAAACAATTCGAAGAGGTTGTGCACCCAAAGAAAACAAGACTAAGTCAAATTGTTGTTGGCCTAGAAGGAGCAGCCATGTCGTCCTCTGAGTATTCAGCCTATTACCTAGAAAGAGCAGGGTCAATTAATGGAAAGAGAAGCGGGGTAAAGTAAACGTTGAATTGAATGGAGGGAAAGTATATGGTGTATTTAGACACATGAAGGCAAATAGAGGAATGAAGATGGTCGGTCTTTCATTCAAAATGAAATTCTTATCTACGAAAAGAAACAATGAATACTGTTCAATTATTCAAAGTTGCCAAGCCGGCCGCTTCCTTCTCAAGTGATGAGAACAGGCATAAGGGGGGGGTCAAGGAATCCCAATTACAGGCACCAGAAAATTTGGATACTCTCGCCATTGTGTGAACAGCAATGTTGCATGTGCGAGGACCAAAAGAGAAACAAATAGATGTGAACTGTTGACTAAGTATACGAATATCATGGAGGATCCGTTCTGCGTTGGCGTCAGGGCAACTTCCTTCACGAAGGGAGTCGATCAGGATTTTTGAGTCACGTAGGGCGTCGGCCATCTGTGTTGCACACCAGCTGCAGCACCTGCTCGAAGCGCCTCTGCCTCTTTGTGGTACATCCGATATAATGTAAAACGTATTGTTTTATCGATCATCGGAATTTAGTCTTTTAATCTTTTGATTCAATGCTTAAAAACTTGACAATGCACCATTAGATGTACCACAAAAACTCCTATAAGAATACTTGTAACGCCTTGAATAAGGATAATATTAAATTGGACTAGGCAAATTGTTTACCAAATAAATAAGTCTAAGCAAACAAAGACAAAGATGAAAGGAAAATTAGAAAACTAAACGAAAGGGAAGCAGCCACCCCATGGGCTTACCCCTACTTGGGTTTTCGGGCCGTAAAAGGGCCTAGGGTAATGGCCTAGCAACGCTGTCGTTTTGCCATACTTGGACCGACGTAACTCAGTCTAATGAAATTAGGGTTTCCGAGCGCAGGTCGAGACCCTATAAATTGAATCACATCCTTCAACCCTCTCACCGTCTCACGCACCCTCTCTGCCTCTGCATTCTCGGTTCACCTTCATGGTAGCTTTTTTTATGTTGTTTCTTTTGCGTTTGCATACATAGTATTAGCATTTAGGGTTCAAGTTTCGGCGTCGAAGAAGCTGATATCAAGCTCCCTCTGAGTAAGAATGGGCTCTTCGTATGAGCCGACGCCACAGTTTTGTGTTTGATTTTTGGTTTTTCCGCTCTACTTTTGTTGTGATTCATATTGGAGGTTAGGGATTTGGGATTGAAGTGATGCTACTTTCCCCATATGATCGAAGCAGATTCAAACTTGCGCTATTTTTAATTTCCAAGCCAGAACTCTGATCTTTCCCAAATCCCAACAACTCATTGTTATCTATTCTTCTTTTTGTTTCTTTGTCTTTTGAAATTTCAAATCTTTCTTCAGTTTGGGTTTTGAAATTTCGTGTTTTGGTGTTTTGAATGATTTTTATTTTTGAAATTGGAAAAAACCATAGAAAGAGAAGATGGAAGTGATGATTATTTCCCCAAATGATCGAAACTGAACAAACTGAGCGACTTACATCTCTGTATTACACAGAGACACCAAGCCAGGTGTTTCTGATCCATCTTCATTCTTTATATCAGATCTCTGTAACTTGCTTTTGAAGTTTGAATTTTGAATTTTGGTGTTCCTATAAATGATATCTAGCTTTCAGATTCAAAGAATGCTCATATGTTTCTCCTTGAGAAGAAGCACCGAGAACCACATTTTCTGTAGAATTCAAAGTTTTTGTAAATGATGAGATTATGAGGAAGCATTGGTTATGGGATTGAAAGTGACATTGGTTAAGTGCTCTGCTCCTTCATCATCAAAAAGTTTTATTTTAATAATTGGCTTTTGATGATAAAACTTTCTTGATTCTGTCTCTAGGAAGCAGAATTGAAATGTTTGATCTTCAAGTACTCGGAAGTTTCATCATTTTTGGTATTTTTTTCCTTTCGATTTTGCTGTTTTCGGCTAGAATGTGTTTTTTAAATAAATATAATCGCTGATGTGGCATGTAACGTGGTTGAAACAATGTTTTATACATTAAAAATTATTAAACTGAAAAATCATTGGAAAATAAAAAAAGAGAAAAACTAAAATTTTTGAAGAACAAAAATCGAAATCTGGGATTTGGGCAGGGGATGGGGAGCAGTGGGAGGGGGAAGGGGAGCGGGAGATTTGTAGCCTTTTTTTCCTCTTTTTTTTGTTTTTAGTTTTCACCTTTGTGTTTAAGACAGCGAGTACAGCCGACCGGCTATACTATTTTTAGAAATAAAAAACCGGAGTATAACCGTGTGGCTATACTATTCATACACGTAAACAAAGAGGGCCCCACTTGCGATCAGGCTCTTTTTAAAAAGGCAAGTACAGCCAAAGACTAACCCAAAAAAAAACCGGAGTATAACCGTATGGATATTACTATTTATACATGTAAAAAAAGAGGGCCCCACTTGCGATAGGCTCTTTTTAAAAAAATTATAAAAAAGGCGAGTATAGCCGATCGGCTATACGAAAAAAAATAAAAAACCGGAGTATAGTATTCTATTTATACTCGTAAAAAAGACAGCCCCACGTGCGATTAGGCTCTTTATTTGTAAATTACAAAAAAAAAACGGAGTATAGCCGAACGGCTATACTAAAAAATGGAAAACCTGAGTATCGCCGTGCGGCTATACTATTAATACACGTAAAAATTGAGGGACCCACTTGGGATTAGGGTTTTTTTAAATTATAAAAAAGGCGAGTACGGCCGAACGGCTATACTAACAAAAAATAAAAAACCGACATGTAGCCGTGCGGCTATACTATTTATGCAAGTAAAAAAAGGCGCCCCACTTGCGATTAGGCCTTTTTTTAAAATTATTAAAAAGGCGGGTACAGCCGAACGGCTATACTAACAAAAAATAAAAAACCAGTGTATAGCAATGTGGCTATACTATATATGCCGACAAAAAATCTAAAACCGGAGTATAGCCTTCCGGCTATACTATCTATACACGTGAAAAAAGAGGGCCCCACTTGCGTTTAGGCGTTTAGGCGAGTACAGCCGGTCGGCTATACTAACAAAAATGGAAAACCGGAGTATAGCCGGCCGGCGAGACTATTGCTTTGCCGGCGGGCCCGCTTAGGTTAGGGGGGCATACACCAAAAAAAGAGGGCGCCACTTGCTATGAGGCTTTTTATTAAAATTATAAAAAAAGGCGTGTACAGCCGCTCGGCTATACGAACAAAAATAAAAATAAAAAACCGGAGTATAGCCGTACGGCTATACGGTTTCTAGACTTAAAATAATAATTTCTTTGTATTATTTGACGTGATAGTTGAATTGGTCTGGCGAGTCTAGACAGAAACACATTAGACTCGGGCAATGCGGAAGGCCAAAACCGCACTCTGCTTAGTCACAGCCACTGGCCTCACCTTTCATGCCTTCAACCCCAATTTTCTATCATCTTCCTCCGATTCCTTTCCCAACTTTCCTGAGAAATTACGCGCACCAATCCATGGCGTCTATCGATCTTCTCGCGCAATCGCCACCGTCCGTTTCCTCCTTTCTTTCATAATTTTGTCTTTAATTTGTCATTTAAAATCTTCCAAAAATAAACATCTCCATTTCCTTTCCTCTTCATCTGTTAATAATATGTTCCTGAAAGTTGCAGATTGCTTTCACTGCTGTTGACTACAAGTTCAGTTTACATGGACTCTCGGTTGACTCTGATGAGTATCGTCAGAAGCTATCTGAGGTTGGTTGCTTGGTTGTTCTTCTTTTCTTTCTTACTATGAAGTATGAATCATTGAATTTCCTCAGGAACGTAAGTTTTTTTCAGAAGAAATTAGATAGATTTTGTAATTGTTTGCTTCTAGTCTGAGAACCATTATGAAGGAGCTTCAGTTGTATATCTTGTGAATATGATGATGGAATTTAGGTTCATAGAAGGTCCGCCTCGAGAATTCGGAAATTATGTGAGGTCAATAGAGGGTTCTATGTGAAAGCTGGCCAATTTGTTGCAGCTCTGCGACAGGTTCCCAAAGAATACTCATTAACTCTGTCCTCATTGCAGGATCAGGTATGAATGAACTATGTGTTTATATCTGTTTCTTTATATTCCGTTTTGTTTTCTAGATAAGGTGTATATTCATGTAGGTGGAAATTAATTTAACTTTATGATATGGTGACTATCTCGTAACTATTGGCTTAGGCAGTTCCTTATCATTTCAAGGCTATTAAAGAGGTACTAATCCACAATCTGGGACCCGAGCTGTCAGATATGTAAGTATTTTGTCACATTGCAGTGCATGCACCAACTTGTGGGAACCCAGATAAAAATTTTAAATAGAAGGGAAAAAAAAACTTGCAGACTCTTAAGACTTACTATTAATTATGGAGTGTTTTGTGTTGGAAGGGATTATGAAGGATCATAAACTTTGGTAATATATTGGGGTTCCTTAGTTTGTATAAAATGGTGGAAGACATGAAAATGATGCATGCCTTCTTCCTTTTTTTGTTTTCCTTTTTTTTTTTCCGTAACTGTTCCGCATGTATGTTTCTTGCCATTTACAAGTTTGTATAGTGTGCTTTAAAAGTTATTGCATCTTCTCATTGTGTTTCATCAGTGGAACTCTATACTTGAAAGTTTTATGACTTTGGGATCTTTTTCTAACTCGATGAACTTCCACTTTTGTCTTGTTGCTACTTCTTTTTTTCCTCTCAATTGCTGTATGAAGTATTGTCCTTGTCAAAAAAAAAATTTGGTTGGTAGCATGTGCCTTAAAAACTTTTCCTTCTCTTTATGTGTTTCTCCAATGGAACTCTGTACTTCAAAGTTGAAAGGGCTGTTATTTTTCTGACTTTGGCATTTACCTCAGGTTTTTGTCACTCGATGAACATCCGATAGCTGCTGCATCTATTGCTCAAGTACACCGGGGAGTTCTTAAGGGTCATCAAGAAGTAGCAATTAAGGTTGGTGAGCAGACTAAACATCTGTTTTAGTAAATTTTATTAATTTTAAGACAACTGTAATTGGTGAATAAACCAGTAACTCTTCTTCGAAACTCTTCATTTAAATTTAAGTTCATGGGGAGAATATGAAAAAAAATTGAAAGGGGTGTGCTACAGTCTCATGAGATTTCTAGGTGAAACTTTTCAATTTTCAAGAAGTGATAAAAGCTTGGTAAGTGGTTTGACCAAATTCCTAAACTTTTAGTTCCTGTGGACATTCCTCCTTAGAACAAGGGAATCAAATTCCCATCTTTTCAACATAGGAAATGTTTAATGTCATTTATTCAATTTAGAAATATAGAATCCAAAATGAATTTATTTTACCAATATAAGAACAGGGACTTTATGATCTTCCCTTTTTCGCATTTCCTAGACAAAACATTGCTGCAACCACCCAAGTTGAGATACAAACTATCTACTCAAGTTACAAACTAAACAAGCTTATAAAGACACACCAAAACATCAAATAACAATAACAAGGACACCAAACTCTTTCTATCTTGAAATGCTGTGTTGAATATCATAATCTTGAAAAGCACAACATGAAGGAACACACACATTTCAATTCCCTCTCTCAAGCCATGACCAATATGAGCTCGAAGTTTCCTTTGTCTCTCACTAGCCATTCTAGGGGAGGTTGATTTAGAAATTTCTAGTCTACACCCTAAATTGGATGAAACACCAGATATGTGAAGGAGTAAAACATAACCATCAGCAAGAAACATATATTCCCATAACAAAATACTGTCACCCTGAACAAGCCAAAACAAAGATGAGATGGATAAAACAGTGCAACAGTAGTTCAAAATTGATTGTTAAACAGGAAATTTCTTGGTGGCAAAACAAAGATGAGGTGGATAAAAGAGTGGAACAATAATTCAAAATAGTTTCACAAAAAGAATAGTTACCTGAATTCAGGATGTCTGATAAAATTATCCATTCCTTAACTTTTTCTTATACATTAAAACAAAAGAAACGTGTTTGCTTTTCTTTTCTGTGATCCTTAATACTTTTGCATATAATGTTTTTTTGCTTCTCAATAAACACGGATTTATGACTGCTATGGTTATTAATTAGTTTTGTCATGTGGATAATAGGTGCAGTACCCGGACCTGGAGCAGCAAATGAAAATAGATACAACAACCATGTATTTTCTTTCAAAATCCCTTGCTTGGGTATGCACTCAATCTCGGGACACTTATGTGATATATTGTAGTTGCAGTGAATACGTTTTGTCTCTCCTAAAGGGTCATTGAATTTTCTAAATAGTATTACTCCCACATAGATCTGATTTGTAGAGTTGCTGTGCAACCCTAGCCAATCAAGCACCTTATGCTTGTTAATGGCTTGTTATTTATTGACCTTCAATTTTGGAGTTGGCGCTTGGCAATTTTTAAACAAACCAGTTTCCAGGCCAAGCCTAACTAATATCATAGCTTTGAGCCCTTGAGTGGGTAGGCTTATTTGCAGCCTTAGGTTTTATGATACTATGTTAAGTGCTATGTTATGCTATCATTGTATGTTCCAAAATGTGCTCGTTTACAATTCTTGAGTTTCATCTGTGTATAACATGTATGATATGTAAAGAAAACTTAGGCCTTTCTACTTTTCAACATTACATTTAGAATTTGTAGTCCTATGATTTTCTTTAGAAAGTAAAGAAAAATTAGGCCCTTTGTTCTCCTAATTCTTTGTTTAGGTGTAACTTGGACATACATTATTTACTGTAATGTGTTTTGAATGATTGTAATTTACTAGGGGAAATAAGTAGACTATCAGGAAAAGTGAAATTTTCAGATGAAAATGAGTTGGCCTGCACAAATAGTTAAGGGAAGTCATTTCCCCCACCTGCAATTATCACACCAAATTGGTCATCCTACTCCCCCATTTACTGCATCCTACATAACAGGTTACACTAATTTATTTCTGCTCATCTATTTTTGACAAGCACAACAAACCTTTGTTGTGATTTATGTCATTTTTCTGTGGTTGTACTGTTATATACCTGTTTCTTTGAACACAAGTAACTGCCTGTTGTGAAATCATTTAAGAATGGGAAAAACAAACGAACTCAGGAAACCCAAGGAAATAACCTAGAAGATAAAGACCACCAAGATTAATGTGGTTCAGCTATATGCCTACGTCCACGGGGCAGAAACTACAAAACCCCACCATATCGATAATGGGTACAAAACAAATTGTCCTATCAAGCCTCTAGATTCAAGACTTGATGAACAACTAGAAAGAACAAGAAAACAAGGAAACACTATTATCTCTTTCTTCTCTCTCACACACTTTGTCCTTCAATATTCTCTTAATCTAACTCCTTGAGTGGTAATCAATTGTTTTGCTCTCTGGTCACACACTCTCTCTCTGGAATGGTATTCCCACTCACTCTCTCTTTGGAGTGGAATTCTGAATATTATTCTCGCTTGCTGACTGATGTTGATGCTTGTAAACTAGCACATTGGATCTCCTTATATAGCAACGATAAAGGCCTTCATCAATTGGGGTAATCTAATCCTAATAGGAATCTGATTACCAAGCATTTTGAACACTCTTCAATTGGGAAAACAACTCCAACTGGGAATATGATTCTTATTCTCCAAGACGATTAGGAAACTCATCATGGGCTGGAAAACCCAGCAGTGCCAAGATGTTATTTCTCTGTATCATATGTTATGTTTACTAATAACTGGCTTTAGCATCCGAGCAATACATTTTCAAACCATTTTCTGCCCTTTTATGTTGTGTTATGAAGTGTTCCTAAAATGTTTTTTTTCTTTTTCGGCTGTAGAATTGCAACAATAAAGCGAAATTTAATTTCTTGTCTCCATATAAAATAATTTTTCTGAAAAGATTGAAAATATATATGGTTCAAGGTCTAAATGTTTGACATCAGGTAGCTTATTTTCTTTTGTTTTTCCCTTACTGGCTTTCTGTCACTTGGCAATGTTTTTTCTTCTTTACTCCATAGTTTGCTGGATGCTTTTCAATTACTTAAAGACCTATTTCTTTTCCCATCTTGCAGTTTTTCCCAGAATACAGATTTGAGTGGCTGGTATCAGAATTCGTACAGTCTATTTCTCTCGAACTTGGTGAGTTGTTGGATGACATTGGTAATTAGAAACATATCATTTCCTTTTAGAAAGTTCTTATTTTTGCCTTACCTATGGTACTTTTGTTTAAGAAACAATTTTTTTGCCCTACCTGTAGTACTCTTCAGTTAACTTTTCTTGTATCAGGACGTTCTAGAGAAATTAGGGGGTATGAAATTTATAAATAATATTTTATGACCTCTTTTTGTGTTTATTATTTGAATACACCAAAAATATCTCCTTTCAGTCCAGACAAGCTAGAGAGAAACTAAACCCAGACTCGAGACATGGACCCCAAATCCAGACTCTGGACTCGGGACATGGGACCTCGAACCTGAACCTCACATCTACAGTTTGGACCTGGAACCAGAATCCTGGACTTGGGACACCATAACCTGTGCCCTAAACCTGAACCCTGTATAAAATACACCATATTGGTGACAACAAACATAGATTCTACTCTTTAGGCATTTTAGCATGTAATTTCTTGTGAGCCATCAACCATGCAAAAATCTGCACTTTAATGGGTACACCAGCCAAATAATCTTAAATGTCTGAAAACTTGATCAATAGGATTTTATATGAGAGAATGAACAAAAGGACCACCTGAAGTTCAAATGCATATCAATTTCTCTGTCAGATTAACCTGGGTTGAGGGAGATTATTGACTGAGACAAATTTTGAGAATTTTCTATCGTTCAAGTTCCTTCAAAAGTTAAATTCCAAGAAATGCTCTAGAGAAGTGGAAAAGGAAGTTATGTAAGAAAGGATTGTATTGTGATAGTTTAGAGTTGATGGATATAAATGAGGAAACAAATATTGAAAGAATAATTCATCATGCCAAATATCTTCCCAAAATTGACTTTTAGCCCCATTAACAATAATCCCCAAGATGTGTATTTCAAAGGACTCCTAAGGGAACTTCTCTCCACAAATTGAGAATCTCACCCGTTGGATTAGACTCGGTTCATGGTCCTAATGTTTGAACACCATTATCAGTCTTGCTCAAAGGAGAAGCAGCACAGCCATTTTAGACATTTTTTTTCAATAAGCTTCCAATTATCCCTACTTCCTAACACATAAAAAATTTGATTATTTCACTGTTCAGAATAAATGGACAAGATAGCACCCAAAAAAGAAATCAATTTAAAAGCAGTGGTACAGTAAGCTTGGACAGACAATTGCCATTATATGATGATTTTGCTGCAGCAAGCATGATCTGAATTTTAGTCTTCAAATCATTATTGAAGATAGTGAAGACAATAATGGTTTTCGTCTCTTTTAACTGTTCCACAGACTTTATTCAGGAGGCTAGGAATTCTGAGACAACTGCCAATAACTTTGCCAACAACAAATGGGTCAAGGTTCCTCGTGTATTTTGGGTATTATAGCTGGCATTCTCCTCTTCATTTTTTATTTAGCCATCTGTGGAATATCTTTAATTTGGCAATACAAGAAGCTGACCACCATAAATATGTCCAGGACTTAACGACTCATCAAGTTCTGACGATGGAATTCTGTACAGGACAGAAGGTATAGCCTTTTGAACTTGCTTGTGTAGTATGCATCTGTGTATGAATTTGTTAAGAGTTCAAAGATTTATCAAATTTTGTTGACCACAACTAGTACTACCTTCTAGTCCCAGAAACTTTTCTAAAAGGAAATGGCTGGCTAGAGTATATTGCGGAAAAATGTTGAAAATTTCTCTTTTGGGTAATCACCAATGACAGCCCAGGGATGGTGGATGTTAGGACCTGGGCCGTGGTGCCCTAGAAATATGCCATGTAGGTCTAGGGCAACCTGTGTATGCTGACCTGTAAGCTTATAACATGATAATGTTAGACTTGGCTACAAGTGTAAATTAGTGTATATTAGGGTGTAAATATGCCAATCTACCATAAATTTTCCATGAAGAATTCGTAAGTTTGATGGTTATTAGTTTCTGGATATTGGTTGAAGTGGGCCTATTGTATATACTGTCTTGCATGCATATACTTGTTATTCCCATTGACTAAATCAGTATGCAAGTATCAAATGGACATAGTGCAGCTCTATTAAGCTTAGAACTTGTGTTCTATGATTTGTTATGCTGTCGCTAAATCAAGTAGTGTTATTGGAGGTTAATTAGTGGAAGAGTGTTATGGGGTTAGGATTTGAATAGGTCTGATAAAGATTCAATTCAGATGGCTGTTATGTTGCTGAAATGGTAGTGACTGTAGCACTGCAGAAAATCAAATAATGGACTAGAAGAATATACATATACATGGTCTCCAACACTTCTCCTTTGAATTCATTGTGTCAATACTTACAGGCTACTGGCCTTTCTTAATCCTAACAAGACTAAGACTCTAAGATAGGAAATTGTAAAATGAAATTAGCAACCCATAAAATACCATGAAATCCTTCAAGCAGAGTGTTTTACATTCCGAAACAACTAAACCTTTAGAAAACCCGAAGTAAACCAGTGACTTACTTAATAATAATTACTGTAGCCTAAAATTTCCTAAGAAGGATAACAAGCAGTCCGCCATTGAATTTAAATAACTTTTTGAATGGTTTTATTATTCATTTTTTTTCTTTTGTAAATTTGCCTTTCATTATCTTTCAATGAGCTTGTTACCTGTATCACTATCATGTTACTGATGTTATTTTTGTCATATAATGTTTTCCCACTGTTCTGTGCTACTGATGCCACTAACAATAATTTCTTTTGAACTCAGGTTGATGATGTAGAATATCTGAAGGAAAGGAGAATACACCCAATGAAGGTTGGTTTTCAGTGATAGCTGCAGATTTTATTTTTATATTGTAAGGCCAGGACAAACGAAACTATGTGAATGCCATTATATGTTTTGGGGTTGAATTTGATCTCAGCTAATTTGATATTAGGCTGCTTAAATAATCTGAGCTGGAGCTTGGTTTGGTGGCTGACTTTTTAGGGGGTTGAGGCAGCAGTCTTCTAAGCTTTTATGCACGCGTATGAACTAAATCAGATAGACAAGATTAAACAGAAATAGTGAATGAGGATTATGAGCCTTGAGCCTAGTCAAAATATGGTCGGGCAGGCTAGAGTCGTTTCTTTGTAATCCAATTGGGCTTGAGAAAATTTAGTTAGGCCAGTATCGGAGCATTGGGTAGAACCAAACCAAGATACCAATGAGCATTTCAGCTCATTTCAGCCCCTATGTCTTATTCAAACTAAATTTTAGCATAAAAATCTTATTTGAAGTATGTGTCTATGCGTGTGTGTGCATCTTCACATCAGGTCATACATTTCCATGCATACACATTGATAAATCCTTGTGCAGTTGAGAAAATGTTTTTTTAATTGCTTCTCTTTATTTTGTGTATGCTGGGTGGAAGTGTCAGGCCACTCTTATTTTTATTAATTTTTTTGTTTTTTATTAATTTTTTAATTGTTTTTCTGAATTATCTGAAATCCCTTAATTGGTAAAGCCAATTGCAGTTAGGTTAATGATTTTTAATTCTGATTAGTTTGTATTATAGGTGGCAAAAGTGTTGTTGGAAGTGTTTGCTGAAATGATTTTCATCCATGGTTTCCTGCATGGAGATCCACACCCTGGTAACATATTAGTTTCTCCTGAAGGTCAGAATGGCTTTTCTTTGGGTATGTGCTGAAAATAACCCCTGTAGGTAATTGTCTCAGTTGAAATTGCTTGTATTGTTGGGCTTGTGATGTGATTTACTGTCCACAATTTGGCCATGCAGTTATTCTAGACCATGGAATATACAAAAAATTGGATGAAGGATTTAGGTTGGATTACTGTCAGCTCTGGAAGGCATTAATTCTTCTGGACTCAAAAAACTTGCAGCGTTTGGGTGAACGGTTTGGTGTTGCGAAGTATTCTAGATACTTTCCTGTCATTTTTACAGGAAGAACTATTGACAGGTGATTGATTGCTTTTTAATTTTCTACTTTTTGTCAGTGACTAGGCAGTTCTGCTCCCTAGAAATATAAATTGCCCTCACTGTTTTACGTTTACCTTGATACTTGCCCTTTCCACCTATTCATCCTTGCATGTAGGGACCTTTAGCTTAAATGATTAATATGTCCATATATATGAAAGAAAATTATTGGAAGTACATTGTGTATTTGGGTGTGGGTGCGAGAGCATCATCATCATCGTTTGCAGAAGGCCACATGAAGGATTTTCACAGGAAAATAAAAAAGAGAAGAAGGATATTAAAGAAAGAGGAAACACGGGAGAGAGGAGAGAGAAGAATAAATTAGAAAAGTTATTAACTATTGGTATTCCCAGTGCACATTAATTAAAGATATAAAAAACCAATTTATCATTGATCTCAGCCATTCAAAGTGCCTCAATCTAACTGCTTAGAATGTGTGTCAAAATGTGGTAAAAAATTGTGTCACCCGTTTTGGTGACAGGGTTACATAGTTAGAGTACCACCCAAAACTCGAGAGTTAAACCTAAAATATAACCAATTAATGTTGCTGTGGAACTGGCAGAAAAAAAATTTGCACCAGCCGGGCGACTGGTGGCCACACGGTGCTTGTGTCTGTTCCTTAATGAACTTTCGTTTAAGAGAAAAACTCTCTATGTATGCATATCCCTCTCTCATTCACTGGTGCATGCATTTGTATGTATGATTGTGTCTGTTGCATGTGAGTATGTTTTAGAAGTGACAAAGATAGTGGCTCAAAGAGATATACCTATACTAGATGCACATCTTTCGTGTGTTAATCCATATAGATGATATTCACTTTGATGTGAGGCTAGTTTTAGTACAAAGGATCTATCCCAAGAAGGATTTCCACTTGATACTGAATCTATATCTTCTTTTCCTTTTTATATATTTAATATATCCTGCAATGAAGCATTTGTGATCATGTTAACAAAGTACAATGGTGAGTTAATTGCACTTTTACCATGTGTTGCAGTAAATCGGCTCTTGGGAAGGCAATGTCAGTTGAAGAAAGACGTAATCTAAAGCAGGAGCTGAAGTCCCTGAAGATGGAAGACATATCTTCATTTATGGAATCCTTGCCATCAGACTTTCTCACAATATTGCGTACTGAGTAAGTAAAAGAATGAAATCTATCTACGTATGATGCCTCTTGATATTCTTAACATTCTTTATTCCTGTAACTTTATCTCCATATCCGGTGGGCTACTGGGTTCTATCGTTAGCAAGTTGAGATTGTTCAAATCTCTAATTGCTGTATTTTTATCTCCGTATCCAGTGGGCTGCTGAGGTCTATTGTTAGCAAGTTGGGGGCTCCACAAAGAGTCAGGCTACTAGCCTATGGCAAATATGCATTATATGGTCTTTCTCCAAAGTTGAATCCTGAATCTGGTAAATTTTGACGTACCATTTACATTTGTCCAATTGCATTTCTTTTTTACTCTATGGAATGGCACTTTTTAAGTTTAAGCTGGAAACTCATTTGCTAACTTGGGAACAACTTTCTAGTAAGTTGGAGAAGACAAACCTTTTCAAAGAACAACAAATGTTCAAATACAAATACTGAACTCGAACTTGGGAATCTAAAACACATGTGCGTCATGTTAATTATTTGTTCTGAACATTTAGGACTTAATGAAAACCGAATAAGTTATCCTTACTCCCCAATTTTAGACCACAATTCTAGAGTTGGTTTTCAACCATGTCATCTTCTGTTACATTGTAACTACAATTTATTTCCTTAATTCTGATTATGCTTTCAGATTTTGCTCTGAAAGTTGTGTTCTCCCGATTGAAGGCAAATGCAAGTTACTATAGGTTAAGGCTTATTCTTGGTAAGAATGCATTTGATTGTCATCTATCTAACAATCTAGTTATAAAAAATAAAAAAACAAATCGAAATGACTAAAATGCTGATCAATTTTCAGAGGTTCTACAGCTGCTTTCATGGATGGCAAAGGTCAAGCTTCTTCTGTATACTATGTATGAAAAGATAAGGTTGTGCTGTTAGGGGCATTTTGATTGTTTCCTCTTGTTAGTGATTTCTTCTACCTAATGTGAAGTTCTTTTGTGAGGTGTCTTTAATTTTTTTTAAATTTTTTTTTGGCACTTGTATGGTTCAACGTAAGTGTCCTTGTTTAATTTTTTGGTTACATTGGAGTTCAACCTTGGGGTTCGAATTGGGGTGCCAGGGGAGGAAAGGGGAAGCCCCCACCACTGTGGACACACACAACACAATGCTGTATTTTTGGACATGGAACGGTTGATCTTTCTTTTTCTTTGTGTAACATAAAATAAGATACTTTTGGTTATCAGTTGAGAAATCAAATTGAAATATAAAGATATATGGCATCCATTATCTTATTTTAGCCCTTCAAATAAACAGATGTCATACCCAGAAAATGAAAACTAAAATGAAAATGTTTAGGTTTCTAAATCAAAATTATTATCTTCAAAATTATAGATGTTTGAAGATCTAATTCAATGTGATCAAAATGATTCGATGGATTTTCTAAAATTCATTATGAAAAAAAAAAGAAAAAAAAAGGGACCCACCTAGCCTCAAGGCGCCCGCATAGCGATTAAGCCTAACAGTAATTGATAATGCTCTAAACAAGTGTATTAAACATCGAAAATGCATACATGTGTACAATACTCGTATTGTATGTTCCCTTTTTAAAAAATGTGTATTTTGCCGAGTGTTTAGGATGTGTACATAAAACGGATGTATTATTGAAAAATACTTACTATGTGCATAATAAGCGTATTAAATGTGAAAATGCTAAATTCTTTATACGATTAATAACTCTGGAAAAGTTAAAAATCAAAAGGAAAAATAGAGACTCGAGTAATGCCTTAATAGTAATGGATAATACTCTAAACTACTATTATCAAAAACTAAAAATCAGAGAAATTTTTTTTATTTATAAAAAAAGGGATGCTAGTATATATAAAAATTGTATAGGCGTGTGGCTATACTATTTTTAAAACTAAATAAATAAATAAAATGCACATAGCCGCGCAACTATACTATTTTGTAAATAAATAAATAAAAAGCCACGTATAGCCGCATGGCTATACTATTGTAAAACTAACTAAATAAATAAAAGAAGGGTATCGCCGCCCAGCTATACAATTTTAAAAACTTAAAAAGAGAGTATAGCCGTGCGGCTACACTATATATATATATATATAATAAAAAGAGAGGACCCGCCTAGCACCTAGCGATTTGGACGTGTTTAAAAAAGGTCTAAAACAAATAAATAAATAAAAAGCAGAGTCTAGCCGTGCGGCTATACGATTTTAAAAACTGAATAAATTAAAAAAAAAGACGGGTATAGCCGACGGGCTATACTATTTGAAAACATAAATAATATAAAAACCCGACTATAGCCTAGCGGCTATACTATTTTTAAAAAGAAAAAAAAAGTATATCCGTATATATAAAATTTTAAAAAAGAGCACCCACCAAGCGCCTATCGATTTGGACACCACGTGTCAGATTTTAAAAAATAAATAATTAAAAAAACTAAGTATCACTATGCAGCTATACTATTTTATAAATAAATAAAAACTTTAGCATAGCCGAAGGGTGATACTATTTTGTTTTTATAAAAAATACCACTATACGCGTTAAATACATTATATTTAAAAGGTATAGCAGTGTGGCGATACTTTTTATTAAAAGAATATATAATTTATTTTTTTTAAAGCGCTAGTTGCATTAGTTTATAGATATTCATTTGCTAGTTTCAATATATCTGAAGCATATATTGAAGATATAGAAATTTCACAGTAAATCAATCTTAAAGTTCAATTATTTCTTCTTCCTTTTTTGTGGTAATGTTTGTCTTTGATCTACCTTGTTCTCTTGAGTGCTACTAAATTCTTTCATAGTTAGTAAAATACGGAAAGGGAAAAATATGAATTAAATACGTACGTGTTTTATTCTTCAAAATTTTGGCAAATTACAACTGCAAAGTTCGCCCACTATATAATATTTTAATATATATTATATTTATTCAACAATATGTGAAAATTATATGTGTAATAAGTGAATTTTGTGTGTATTATTGAAAATTTTGTAAAAAAAAACATGTATTAAACATGAAAAATATTAACGTATGTGTAAAATACGAGTATTGTACATTTGTTTTTAAAAAAATGTGTATTTAACTGAATCTTTAAGATGTGTAATGAAAAAGACGTACGTATGTGTATAATACTAGTATTAAAGGTTTAAATGCTAAATTCTTTATACGGTAATAACTCTGAAAAAGTAAAAAATACTAGGGACAATAGGGACTTAGTTAATGGCCTAATAGTAACGGATAATGCTATAAAAGTCGTTTGGATGAAGGAAAATAACTTGAAATTTAGCTAAAAATCAGGAATTTAAGAGGATAAATTGACAAATCCATTGTTTGGCAACTTAAGCGTGGAAATACGCAACTTGTAGCAAATTGAATTCCACGCGTGGAATATATATATATATATATATATGTTTTTATCAAATTGAATTGATGTGATTTTGAATAGTTGAGTTGAACTTTATAGTTAATTTGGATGTGTTGAATGATAATTTAATATGAAACTTAATGCTAAAATGTATGATAAATATTTTTTTTGCAAAAAGAATCGGGTATTCGGGGCCGGTATGGGGGATAGTCCTCTAACGGGGACGGGTACGGGGATTCCCCGAAACCTATTAAACGGGGATGGGTTCGGGGACGGGGGCGGGGATGGAAAGCGGGGACAGGGATGGTATTGTCATACCCGGCCCCTACTTGACCCGTTGCCATCCCTAGAAATACATATGGAAGTGCTTCTGAAATGACTAAAATCGTTCAAAAAGTGTTCAAAAAGTACTTGTGGATATAAAAGTATTTTCGGAAGAAGCACTAGCAATTACAATAAGGTTCCTGGAAAACATTTATAGCTTATGGAAATGCATCTATTCTAGATAGCCAAATTGCAAACATTTCTGGCTTCATGAATACGCAAGTTGCAACAATTCTCTCATTCAAAATTGCAAACTAATATTTTATGATTACTTTTGACAAAAAAACGTAATCTTCTTTTGTCACTTTAATGCCTAGTTTTCTTCCAACTTCTGAAATGCCTAAGGAGACTATCTCCATCAAGCAAAAGGTGAAAATGACTAGAGAATATCATCATAGAAGTGTAGGTGAGATTGATCCCGACGTCATCCACATTATGGCCCTATGGACTCAAGTGCCATTCAATGGCACTCATGGTTGAAAGTAACACTATCATTAGAACTTAACCTACCTCCTCCAATGGATTCTCTAAACCACCTCCTTAAATAAAATTTAGGGAGGAAGTGAGAAAATCCACATCCAACATGCTCCAACTCCTAAAATAGGGAGATCTCTAGGAGACCTCTAGAAGCTCCTAAATATGAGGAGAGAGAAATGACTCATAGTGCCTCCTTATAATTAAATGTTGCTTTACTTTAATGCTATTTTAAGTATTTATTTAATGCTAACTAATTTTTTCTTTTAAATATGAAGAGGGAGCATTTATGCTAAACTTAAAAAAGAAATAAATCATTTATGATTCCCTAGAGAGCATTGTTGGAGTTCAAATTTTATAAGGAGCTCCTAAAATAGTTTTTAGTGTTTTTAGCTAAATTTTAACTAAAAATAAGGGTACTGATTTTCCCACTCCCTTTTTATCCACTTAACACTCCATTTTTATAAAAATTGTATGTTTTCACTTCTCTTTTGTTCACTTACACTCCCTTTTATCTTATAGTAAAAAGTATTAAAAAACAAAAGAGAGTGTAGGTGGATAAAAAGAGTGGGAAAATCACCACCTAAAAATAAAGAGCATGATTGTGGATGCTAAGAAACTCTCTCCATCAAACATAAGCTGAAAATGACTAAGCCTCGCAATAAATATCGTCATAGAAATGTAGGTCAGGTTGATCACCGTGCGAGAATAGGAGCATCTCTATCGGAGGATGTAAATGATGATGTGAATAACAATTACACATCCAGGCACTTAAATTACACTCCAATGCTCCGAAATGTTATGCCAAACCTACATCTCATCAGAGAATGTACAAAAGTTCTACATTTCCATTTATGCTTGCATCTCCAGACGGCGGGTTCTGCATGGAGAAAGTAGGGAGAGAGTTTGTGCACTTAAAATCAACATTTTACTCCTGTTGAAAGATCTTATACCTAATGACTACGGTGGCCGTAGGGCATGGAGATCAATAGGCTTAACCATTTGCTGTCCTTTTCTGGATATGGATTTACCAATGATTTGTTCAAATCTGTTTACCCGGTAATCAGACACACAACCTATGTTGGTTTTGGTAATTCCAAGTCTTAAATTTCGTTCTTCAAAATTTGTGTTTTAACAATGCCCGCAGTAGGCAATTTTTGAAACAGGAAACCAAAGATTTCATATGGAATCTCATAGCTTTCCTATCTCTGCTGAAATGGGACTAAAATCTAACCAATGAAAATATCAGAACTGTATTGCATGGTTCTAAATTTCCAATGAACTTCGGACTATAAGTTGTCTGTTCTTGAAATAGCCAAGAAAAGATCAGAACAATTACACACTTGGGCTACAAACCACTGCGGTGTGAATTTCAAATGTCATTTTCGCAATCAGAGCTTCTAAAACTTGATTTCTTGCTGGAAATCAAGAAAATTGGCTTAGCCATGAAAGAGCATTCAAATCAGTAAGAGTCGAGCAATCAAATTGTGCACAATAAACTAATACACTAAAAAAAACAGATGAGTATAACCACCAGAGGGGAAAGATTCCACCTTCCATTATTTCTTTCGAGAGTGCAAAAGGACAAGTCCACAGTTGTCTATCCCTGAAACAAAACCCAGCACTCATTAACTTAAAAAAAAATGCATAAATGCAAGTATCAAATGTGAATGATATTTCTAAAAATGAAGAAGAGAGGGAGAGGGTAAGACAGTTTCTACAGAAGACATGAAAATCACAAAGAAATAAGAGCAGCTAACAATATCCAAATGGCAATTCAGATTTCACATCAAATTCAGATCGTATTAAAAGTTATCACCCATGACAGGTTTTAGCTAACGGTATTTTACATAAGCATAAGATAATTTTTCTAAACAGCAGAAAAAATAAAGCATAAAACAGCAAGGAAGTAACATCCATGCATAGAGTCAAGTCTGCAAACCCCTCACGTACAACTATTCTTTCAAGAAAGCCTTGCTCTGAGTTCCTCTGCCACAGCATCAATGAACTCTTCCGTATTCAAGTAGTGGTTCCTAGCAAGCCTGCAGCATAAGCATGTTATAAATGAAATCACTGCTCATATAGAGACACCAAAAAATAAAAATAAAACATAACCCACACGCCAGCAGAGACGTACATTATGAAGATATAATAATTTTTTAGATACTTACTTAGGTCCATGAATAATGAGTGCAAGATCCTTGGTCATTTTCCCAGATTCCACAGTTCCAATGCAAGCTTCTTCCAGTTTCTGAGTGAAATCCAAAAGCTTCGCATTGTCATCCAACTTTGCCCTGTCAAGAAGACACATATAATAATTTTAACAATGAACCTTTTATCCACAAGGAGCACAAAATTGGAAAGTAAACTTCATAACATACCTGTGTGCAAGCCCTCTTGTCCAAGCAAAGATAGAAGCTATGCTGTTTGTACTGGTTTCACCTCCTTTCTGGTGAACCCTGTAATGCCGAGTAACTGTGCCGTGGGCAGCTTCTGCTTCTATAGTCTTTCCATCTGGGCACACCTGTAACCATGAAATACCCTAGTTAGTAAAGTACCAAGGATTCACATGACAAAAATAATGTCTTGACAGAGGATGGGAGAGGGTATGAGGGAGAGAGTATACACATTAAACAGTTATAACATACCAGTACTGATGTCATCAATCCAAGAGAGCCAAACCCTATAATGGAACCATAAGTTAAAAATTGCATTCCTCTGTATGTGAAATCTTTGATGATAGACGAAACAAAAATTAGCTGACAGTCTGCTAAACAAACCTTGAGCTAAGAAATCACTCTGCACATCTCCATCATAATTCTTGCATGCCCAAACATACCCACCATCACTTTTAAGTGCATAAGCCACCATATCATCAATGAGACGGTGCTCGTACCTTCCAATCAAATAAAATATAGTCAATAACACAATTTAACCTGAAGATCCATAATGTTAAATAAAAATTAAATAAAGTCATCAGGCTCTTCAGTCCTTACCATATGCCAGCAGCCTCATACTGTGACTTCCACTTGGCTTCATAAACTTCTTGAAATATGTCCTTGAATCTTATCTCATTAACAAATGAAAATATAGATAGGTCAGAGAATGATAAGTCAAAATGTTAAATACTTAAAAACAGGGTAATTTAGAATCTGCATACCTTCCATCATACTTCTTAAGAATAGTGTTCTTTGTGCTAAGATAAAGAGGCCACTTTTTCTCAAAAGCAGTGGTCATGGAAGCCTCTGCAAAAGCACGGATGGACTGCATGCCAAAGAAACACATACAACAAAAGGAACAAACAGAGTGACTCACAGATATCAAGAGATTCTTTCAACGGAAACACGAAAGGATAAGCAAATCAAACCTCATCGGTGTTGTACATGGCCAACGCTACTCCCCCCTCACCTGTGAAGTTGTACACCTCTAGTTCTGTTTTCTCATCCTTGCCTTCTGGCACTGCAAGCATTTATCAAGTAATAAGACAAGAAACTAAAGGAATGTAAAAACTTTTTATTTATTTATCAAGACATACTTTGAATAGATAATCCTGACTAGATTAAATTTGATGTGTACAAATATCCTAGTCTCAAGCAAAGATATATACCAAACACCAATTTCAGTTTCCCAGGTCCTTTAATGACAGCATCAGTTGCTCGATACTGATCACCAAACGCATGTCTTCCAATGCATATTGGCTTTGTCCAGCCTGGAAACAGCAACAATCAACATGGTTCTACTCCAGCAAAAATATAGAGCCACAATATGAAATTATCTTACCTGGGATAAGGCGAGGGATGTTTTTGCAAAGAATTGGTTCTCTGAAAACAGTACCTGTAGAAAAAGCCAGCGGCCATTGTAATTTAGCCAGAAAATTGTTCAAAAGATGAAAAGGTATAGTTGCCAGTTCACTAACCATTCAAAATATTCCTAATAGTGCCATTGGGACTCCTCCACATACTCTTCAAAGTAAACTCCTTCACACGACCTTCATCTGTTAATTACAACCACAATAATATGGAATTCATCCATTTCTCAGTGCTGACTGAAAATATTAATATGGCAACAAAAGTGCTAAATTATTCAGTAGTGTATACCTGGAGTGATAGTTGCACATTTGATTGCTACATTGTACCTAAATTACCAAGTGTTAGAGATGCAACATTAATACCATAATAAGACGTGAAAATAAAAAACATACTTTAGGCTCTCTTTTTTCTTATTTTTTACCCCTGGTACACAAACATATGATGCGAATTGAATGCACTCGGGAACTGAATTCTCTCACCCTCCACCCCGTCTTTTTAAGGTGCAGGAAGGAGGTTCCATAAGGCCAAAAGGGTGCCATAAAACAACTTTCTGTACTGCCTAGTCACCATCCTAACTCACTAATCACTAACCCAAACCACATTAGAGATAGAAATGTTGACTTCAGAGATAAATATTCATTTGTAGAACTTTAAGTAGAGATGACATAAAACGTACTTAAGAGTAGCCTCCGCACTTTCAACAGTAACTTTATCATCAGTGGCATCACGATGAGGAAGACCAAGGTCAAAGTACTTGATGTCCAATTCCAAAAAGGGTAAAATAAGCTGCAGATACAAGTAATGAGCACATAAGCAACCACCATCTTGATCAGAAAAAGTATATATTGAGAAAAACTAGTATTGATGGAGCCCTTAAGAGTATGATATAGTCACCTTATCCTTTATGGATTTCCAGAAAACTCGAGTCATTTCATCTCCTGTACCAAAAGACATATTGTATGAGAAAGGGGAAGGTGAAATATCTTCAACCCATGTACACATGGTACGTGATTTGTAACATATTATCTTCATAAAATTTTGAATGAATGCATAACCAACATTGACATATTTTAGGACATTGGGAAAACACATTTCATTTCATTCATTCAAGTTCAACAACAGTTTTAGAAGCTCAAACAAAGGGTCTGCATAGAGAAAGATAGAGATTCACCAGTCTCCGGAAATTCCAATTACAATATCGTTTTATTTATAAAATCCAGAAGATCAAAACTTCATCAAACAAATCTTATCTATATAGATCTAATTATTTTGTACAGATCTTCAATAACAAGTTAAAGGGTCGTCATCATGATCTCAGATAGCCGAATTAGTAGTTTTAGAATTATCTTTTTGGGGGAAAATATTCAGGTACTGTAAAAGATCATTACAGGTTTTCTTTTAATAAACTTTTTACTGAATAAATCATGGTAAAAAGGAAGATGAAACATAAAAGCCACCACCTTTTCAGAGGACAAAAGCAAACAAACATTTTGGAGGCGGCAAAAATGAAGCTTAGCAGTCATCGAATAGAACTATGGGGTTGCTCATAGAAGACTAACGAATCAGAAGCAATCAGTACAGTTAGATGGGCAGATAGGCATGGAAATGGATCGGCAAAATGATCAATTAGTGCAGATAGGCCATGGAAACAATCAGATCGGAGCAAATAGATTAAAATCTCACCGTCCATCTCCACGATGGGGTTGGCCACCTTGATCTTCTGGAATGCCATTGTTTTCTCCTTGGGACGATAGGTTGGATAGGTAGATAGGAAGGTAGATAGGAATGGAATGGAATTGAATGGGATCTGCGACTCCTTTTAAAGGCAGAGAGTCGCTGAGTGGTTTTGAGTCTCTTTGACTGTGAGAGGCACACACTTAACAAAGAACACGGCACTCTCCCAGCACCACTGATATGCTCTTTTATTTATTTATAAAACACAGAAGGAAATCAATTTTTTTTTTTTTTTTTTTTTTTTTTTTGGGAGGAAAAATGTAATTGAATATTAAACGGGAACTCTGTTTTCTCTTTTTCCTTTTCTTTTTCTTGAATTTTTTTTTCTTTTTGGTATATGCTCCTGTCCGATCCACCTACCAGCTTTTCGCATACCCCAACAATCTTTTTGTTTTAAAATAGAAACATATTTATATAAAAATAATAGAAGCGTTTGGTTTCAATCCAATTTAATTGGAAAATTTTAAATTTGATAACAATGATAAATGAATGTATTTCAAATAACTCGATGGAGTACATATAAAATCGATTTATTTTCTTTTTCTTTTTTCTTATGCAAATGTTCGCTTATATGGATTGTAATAGTCTATGCGAACAATTTTAGTTTATACTATCGTTTTATAGTGTCATTTATATCCATAAATTTCAATCCCCCCATCTACATAAAGTCTAAATTTTGTTTGAAGTACAAAATCCGAATCACTTGGACGTTAATTGTTAAATAAAATGAAATTGTTCAAAACTTTAATTTGAGTAATGGTATGTGACACAAGAGTATGAGATAAGTAATTTTTGAATATTTAACTATAACATATATGAGAATGTTTATTGACATTCCTTATCTATTGGCTTTACCTCAGCTTTGTTGAATGCTACTAATCATACTTCCCATCCTAGTGATCAAACTAATCTTATAAGATGGAAGCCTCCCTTGAGAATATTGTGAAACTCAAATTTGATGGCTCTCTCAAAGCTTCATCGTCCTCGTTTGTCTTGGATTTATCTTTAGAGATAACTTAGGCGTTCCTCTTATTACTAATACTTACCATTTATGTTCTTGTTGTTGAAGGATATACGATCAACATGAAGGAAACTTTGATTTTGCAAAGATCAAACATGCTATATAATCAAAATTATGGCAATAGAGGTAAACCCCATTGGCGTTGGTCACACGTTTTTATTTTGAAGATATAGAAAAGTTATATTTTTAACTTTAAGCCACCATTTCAAACAAGGAATTTATTTCCCACCCCATTGGGGCCAAGAAATAAATAGGACTTCTTGTCAGGGGTTTTTACTAAGATTTAAAGTTTTGTGGGGCTTTTGACTAATTTTCGCCTAAAGAGAAAGAAAAGGAAATAGGTTCTGGGTATCCTCACGGTAACATTGCTAGCCTTTTCCCCATCTCTTCATATTTCTCTCTCCCACTTCGTTCGTTCGGGCGCTGCTGCATCTATAATTTCATTTTTTGTAGTGTTTTAGTAATGGGTTTAGTGTTCAGAAGCAACAGCGGAAGCATGAGATACTTTTCGACCCACTCAAACTCACACTCTCACTCGCAGTGCTTACCTTCTCCTCTGTTATTCCAGTCTTCTCTCCCACTGCGCTTCAACGTACACTCAATGGCGGTGAAGCCCATCAAAAGAGTTCGTTGTGAGCTCCAAGCCAAAGTCAATGGTGCTCTTTCTGCTGACTCCGACCCCCTCTTCATTGACCGAGTACGTTTTCAAAACCCCTTTGCGCCTTTTCACCTCAATGTTCTTTTTGTTTCCCAGAAGCAGAAAAATGCTGTTGAAGAGGCATGAATGATACCCACAAGCACAAAAAAACTATAACTTGCACTGTTGGTTTATGACAAGCACTAGAAAATGTGAGCTAAAAGTTGATAAATTCTGATATCATGGTTTTTTCTTTCAGCAAAAAGCACTGGAAGCAGCAATGAATGATATAAATAGTTCATTTGGAAAGGGTAGTGTTACAAGATTAGGCAGTGCTGGTGGAGCTTTGGTGTATGTCCTTCTCTCCTTGTCATATTATTGTTTATGTTTACCCCCTTTGGCCTTTTTTCAATTTTAAGCAGCATGATGGAGCATAAGACCACCTGCTTGTATGATTTAGGATGGAAAGTAGATTATTTGAGACTTTATTTATTGCAGTGAAACTTTTCCCAGTGGCTGCTTGACATTAGACCTTGCCTTAGGTGGTGGCCTTCCAAAAGGGAGAATTGTAGAGGTATGTTTCTATTGTATGTTTTCATGCTTCATCGTTGTTTCTATCTTTCTTATTTTATTTTTGCTTGTTAAGTTACACATGCATCTGTGGGGGATTGGAATTTGGACCCAAGAACTCACTTTCCCTTCACCCTGCTCTGAATGCGGAGAGGTTTTGTAAGGCCCAAGGGCCAATTTCTGTTTCTCATTTGATTTGATTTGATTGTTTTCCTTAACACTTCTCATGATCAAAGATGCATTGTTTAATTGGAAAAAATTAATTTTTTAGTGGTAATATAGATATCCAGTAATGTTCCTCGCAACCGGTATCCTGCTACAGAGTTACTTGATCCAAGAAAATGGCATCAAATACCATATGTATGCAGAGCAAGGAGATCTGGAAAGTTGGAATCCTGTGGAAGGATCCAAAAAAATAAAGATGAAAAATAATAGAAAAGGATGTAGGTAGTTCCCTGTACAAAACAATGATCTATCTTTGTATTTATTTTCAGATATTTGGACCAGAAAGTAGTGGAAAGACCACTCTAGCACTCCATGCAATTGCAGAGGTGCAGGTATAGTTGTTTCAACTGTCATCTGAAATCTTTAGCTTCCGGTTACTGAACAATGGCATTTCAATGGTAATATGCAGAAGCTTGGAGGAAATGCTATGCTTGTTGATGCAGAACATGCTTTTGATCCAGCATATTCAAAAGCACTGGGGGTAGATGTAGAAAATCTGATTGTCTGCCAGCCTGATCACGGTGAAATGGCACTTGAGAGTAATACATCTTTCTTGTTTGTATCATTGTGGGAACTTTTTCTGACAAATGTGTGTTTGTGGGACTGATGCAATCATTCTGGAAGTATTCGGAATGGCAGTAGCGTGATGCTTAAGTAATAAATTTAGTGTATGCATGATGTATTGATTGGTTTTCTGTCATCTCAGTTGCAGATCGTATGTGCAGATCTGGTGCCATCGATCTTATCTGTGTTGATTCTGTCTCGGCTCTCACTCCACGAGCAGAGATTGAAGTAACCTTTTATTTTTATTTTATTTATTTCCTTGGTAATTTCAAACTTCAGATATGCAGTTGCTCATATCTGATCTTGCTACGTATAGGGTGAGATTGGTATGCAGCAAATGGGTTTGCAAGCACGCCTTATGAGCCAAGCTTTGCGCAAAATGTCAGGAAATGCGTCTAAAGCTGGATGTACTCTAATATTTTTAAATCAAATAAGATATAAGGTAATTTTAATTAATTCTGTTCATACATATTTTATATATATATATATATATATATATATATATATAGAGAGAGAGAGAGAGAGAGAGAGAGAGAGAACCACTCAATTAAATTATTGAAGTTTTAGTACTTTCTTGAAGCACTGTGTTCTTTGATTTGTAGGACACAATTAGATATCTAAATGGTTTCCGATTTGTCTAATTTTTTCAAGAATGATCTATGAATGAAGACCTAAAAAATAAGTGGTTTGGATTGTTGAAAAAAAATTCGTAGGGTACCCTAAAGGGTATCACAAATAAAAAAAAAAAAAAAAAAAAAAAAAAAAAAAATATATATATATATATATATATATAGATGGTATGGTACTTGGATTCATTGAAACAGTTGAGATTGAGTGCCTATGTCTAAGCAGCTGATTTTGAGCCTTTAAGCTTTCAGATATTTATGATGACCCATACTTGGGTCCGTTGCAATAATTGACTGCCTAGGTCTAAGCAGCTGAATTTGAGTAATTAATTTTTCAGATTTATATGATTTCGATTGTTCCTTCAGGCATCTTTATTAGTTATTTTCCCCTAATCACAATTGTTTCACATCTAAAAACTAATGGCATCATTCATTCATTTTGCAAGATTGGTGTATACTATGGTAATCCAGAAGTGACATCTGGAGGAATTGCATTAAAATTCTTTGCCTCAGTTCGGCTTGAAATACGTTCTACAGGGAAGATAAAGTCTGTAAGAACATTAGCCATTGTTTCTTATTGCATGTCAGATATTTGATGGATGAGTATATTTATCTGTGTAGGTCACTGAATAGAGTTTGATCTATATTGTTTGCTCATACAACATACTTCTGTACTGATTAGGTAAAGGGAGATGAAGAAATTGGGGGTACGGGTTCGTGTAAGAGTGCAAAAGAGTAAGGTAATTTTGAATGCATCAAAATGATTTCTGCATCTGAGGGTTGTACACCATGTATAGAAAGAACATTTTTATTACTTTTGCCTTTATTTTTACTTATGCAGTAATTGCACTTTCAGTATAAATTTCATAGCTGGTATAAAGTATGACAAGTTGTCTTGCCATTACTTAAAGGTTTATGTCTAATTTCTCAAAGTTTTTTGTCCCAAATCTACACTGTACTAGAAGTGCAGCCTGTGACCATGAAAACCATCAAATTGTTAAATTCCCCTTTTGATTTTTCTGATATTATGAAACTGCTTCCATCCTTTTTGTGGGCTAAATGATTTTGTTTTGATATTTGATTATGCTTTTGGAGGAGAGACTTGTGTTGACTACAATCTCCTGATTCCCATATTTTGCCAAACCTTTATTAAAAATTAATGATTGCAGTTTATTATATCCTTTATTTAATTTGTTTCATCGACTTTGTTATGTTTCTAGTTAATATAGCTCATGTTTTGAAAGATGCTTATCATACGTAGTTGATGTAGGTATCAAGGCCATACAAACAAGCTGAATTTGAAATTGTTTTTGGAGAGGGAGTTGGTAAATTGGTCAGTATCGCAACAAATTTATTTTTTCCCACTCATAAGGTGGAAACCACACTCTGTTTTGACTTTCTTTCTTTCAGGGTTGCATTTTGGATTGTGCTGAAACGATGGATGTAGTAGTGAAGAAGGGCTCTTGGTATAGCTATGGGGACAACAGGTTTTAACTTGAACTTATATTCTCGGCTTTTAGTTATAATCTTTGTTATCTGCTACGAAGCAGGGCTCTTAAAGACTATGCAGTAGGATACTGGGTTTAGGGTTTAGAGTTTAGGATATTGCTTTTAGTTCTATTTTTAGTTGTTGAGTCTTGTTATGATATTGGGTTATCCATAACTGTCGATAATTACTCAGTCAAGTAGGAGTCTCATTCAAAATTCTATTCATGTGCACTGTTATCCACATTGTTCACTGAATCAGACCAGCCCAGTTTGCTTACTTTTCTCAATTCTTTGCGACCCAAGTGAACCCCCTTCTTTCTCAATTGAAATCCTAAAAATCTAATTATGTCCAACCTATTCAAGGGCATACTGCCATGTGCAGTGGCATTTTCTCGAGTTCCCGTCGGCATGGAAAGGTTTCAGGGGGCACATGAAGGAAATGGATTAGGGGTTGTTTGAAATTTGGAGAATTTTTTTGAATTGATAAATGGGATGCAAAGGGGTAAGTTTGGCGCATTAAATGGTTTGATACAAGGAGATGCACTCTCACCTTTGTTCACACTAATTGTGGTTATACCAAGTAGAATTGTCAGTTATAAGGGAATGTGTGGAGATTGCTCGTTAAGGAGACCACTTTGTCAGGTCTGAAATCAATAACGCCTGGCACCTTTTGAATTCACATGCCTGACAGTTTTAAACATTTAAACCTTCCCAACCCTGAACTGAACTCCCACCCACCACAACGTAGAAGTATTGCTAAAAGATCTATGGTACAACCACATGTTCTCAAATCTAAATGGTACTGGATCCTACCTAAATGGGACTCATATGCAATGCAATTGGGAAATGGTTTGACACAACTGTAGGCTGCCTGTCTAGCTTTTGGGTGGCTCCGCTCCCAATTTGGTTAGACAAGAAATACATTCAATCTTGATCTCACCAATCTATCCTTAAAATTAGACCTAATGAACTGAGTGTTGTGTAATCTAGTATCTTTTGTTTTCTTTAAAAAATCCTTCAAAAACTTTTCATGCTTCTAGTCACTCTTCCCAGAAATTATTCCTCTCACAAAATCGGACACAGACAGATCATACAACCCCATAAACCACCACTCTCACTCACTTAAAACTTAATACGTACTACCAACAAACTAAGTAGTGGCCCAAAATAATATCTAACGCAAATACTGATGTCACATCCCATGTTACCATAACCCCTCTCGACCTGCCACATGATGGAAAAGGACCCATGCTTTGAACCTCCGCCGCCACACTTCCTATCAGTCTTCTATATTTAATTTATTTTTTCTGTTTCTTGTATGAAAACAAGGTGCCTGCCCCAAAGTCTACAACTCTTTGTTGAGCCTCCTTTTACTTCTAGACCCTAGATCTCCAACCATATAGCTTATAATTTCCATTTAAGCTCTAGCAACCCTGCCCTGACTCTTTGTGCCCCTTATCAGCATCAAAATGGAATCATTGGTAAATTCGATTCACTTGTAATACTTTCTAGCATAGCTCAATTCTCTTTATTTAACCCAAACTGACCACCATCCTCAACTGCCCTGACCTACTCAACTATTTGTGAGATCACAAAGACACTACTGTTATCAATCACTGGAAAATTTTCCGGAATGCTACTGTCTCTTGGTAAAGTCCCAGCTCCACAGAGCACTAGGTGATTCTATCAGCCCCTTTTTCAACAATCAGACTGATGCACAGCAGAAGGAGCAAAGGTTTATTAAACCTCAAATTTGTTTTCTTCTATACAGGCACACAAACTCCCATCTCTTCCCCTTCAGAACCATATTTGAAGACTTGTTAAGTTTGGAGCAGTGTCTTAATTCCCAGAAAGTGCCAGGGAAAGCACATGCATGATTCATTCTCCTATCAGACAAAATAAAAGTAATGAAACCCATGATGGCTACTGCATACCACCTTTTAATTTCTTAACACATGCAGTTCCATATACCCTGATGTTCTGAAAACAAATTGCCCAAGTCAAAAACAGATTTCACTACATTTGTAAGTCTTTTGAGCTCACTGAGTTCCCTGTCATCGTAGAGATAATATCCAGAATTCAATCCTTTTTAACATTATTTAACCTACCAGTAAAGCTTTTTATTATTTTCTTGTGCACAAGAATAGGCAGAAGGTGTAGCCTTCCTTGGTTTCTGTATATTCACTAAAAAAATGACAGGATGTTTTATAAAATCCCTTAAATTTTAGATAGCCACTAGGTGGGATGAAAGGAGGAGATTTAACTCCTACTCTGTGCTAAGATTCTCATTCATAAACCAGAGAATGTGATTAGACTTCAAGCTTTTATTCCCCCTAACTACTCTTTTGTTCATGTAAGGACCTTGTTTATTTGTTTTAGAATAACTCAAGAATCCTCTTGTGTAACTGTTCCTCCCTAATGACTGACTTTTGTTTGTGATTAAAAAAGGTTAGGACAAGGAAGAGATAAAGCATTGCAGTACTTGAGAGAGAACCCTCTTCTTCTTGATGAAATAGAGAAGGTGATCTTTCTGATTTCTCAGATTGAACTTGATGCAATTAGTTTTCTTTTTCTCCTTCATTAATACATTGTTTAATTTTATGTATTTCTAGTGGTTAAAACAATCTCACATTGTTTGAATTCTATATTGCTTCACTTTCAATCAATATGTGCAAGGAATCAAATGAAACTGTGGTTCATCATCCTTTACATTGCTCAATGTCTTGGAAGTTGTGGGTTTTTATGTTCTCTTTTTTGGGGTTTTTTTTTAGTGTTGGAAAAGAAGCTTTTAGAAAGGGAGAAAAAGATCATTGTTTTGCTTATTCAAGTCGCCCCTTTGTTAGCTTAACTTGGCCGTTTATAACTTATAGAGATCATTTATTCAATGGGCATTTGTTAGCTTAGAATAGGGCCCATTTGATAGAGCTGATTATTAGTCTGTAAATCCCAAAGTAACAAACTGTCGTAACTGGGGATAAAAAAAACTTGAACAAATTTAAAAGAAAACGAAGGGGATGTTTTCTTTTGGATTTGAACAGTGCGGCATCCTGCATGCAGGGTTCCTGCACCCAAAGCTCTTCATTTGCATATATATATATATATATAAGTATGCATATCTATTATTATGTAAAACAAAATTGCATAATAAACCCTCAACATGTTATTGGAGCATGTTTTGTTTTTGTTACAATTGTAAACTTTGCTGCTATCATGAATCAATTATTTGGGATTCAAATGTTGGATGGTCAAATTTTAAAAGTTGGAAGCATGAGATAGAAAGAGTGCTTAGGTACGACCTTTAGGAAATCTTAATCTCCTAAGCTGATGAAGTCTTACAGTAGATGAGTAAACTGGATATGAGTAATGAGAAGATTTGATTGGAGGAGTCTTATGGCCATGATGTTTTCTATTCCAGATAATGTGGAGAATGGTGTCATAAAACCAATAGTGCTATGGAGTTTTTAAAGGCTCTTGTGGCAAAAAAAAAGGCCTTCGCATAAAACTGAAAAACACGTACTTTTGGGGACTCACTGATTAATATGAGGTGAATTGGACGCCTTGTCACAGTATGCACTCATTTGTATGGGGATGGACAGTGTCGGTGGTGTCTAGAGAGAAAATGGGATCTTATAGGGTATTCAGAGAACTAGACAAGGATGTGAAGATTGAGTAGAAAGTTTTTGTATTGCAAGTATATCAAAACCAAGAGGAACAGCTACCAGAATTACCAAAAGGAACAAACTGCAGAGTTACTTCAGAAGGTTGACTTTGTCCTGCCTATTGGTTGAGAGATGGCTGGGGCAGGGAATAAACTTAAGCAGAACTAGTTCTTCAGAAAGCATTGCGCCACTGACTCAGTTTTCTGGTTTGGACTATATTTGAACAAGAGGGGTATTTTCTGGATGTGGTAAAAATACAGGGTGTGTGCTGGGAAGCAACATCATAATTCCAGCAGGTAGTGGAGGTTTTGGATAAACATTTGCAGAGTTCCTAGAGAGAGAATCTTTGGTGGAGATATGACTAATCCAAGAGCTCAGAATGCTTCATTCGGAGACCAGTTGGATAGAGGTGGTGCTAGACAGATTACAGGTAAAGAACAAGGGAAAAAAGTTTATCAGCGGAAACTCTTCTGCGGGAAATTTTGCGAAGGGTTGTAAGTGTAAATTACTAACCATGAATATGGGGCAGGAAAAGTGTGGAACTGTGTAGGGGTGTGAAAGCATGTTCTTGACCTCGTGAGTGTAGATTTAATAATCCATTATGAAGATGCTTGTAAAACCAATTCAACTTTATTTTTTCCAAAACAGATCGCTGTTGTGTTTTTCTCCTTCTTTTGTAAAAGTGAGGAGGAGGCTTCAAAGATGGGGGATAACGTAAGGTGATGTATCCAGATGTCTTTTACAGTTTCCTATTATAATGGATCCAAACATTCAACAATAATTGTGATGTATGTAGTCGGTACTTAGAAACTGATTTCATAACAAAAATGTTTTTAACTTGTTCGAAGTAAGAATTAGAGTGATGGAGAATCAAATAGGTTTGTTTATAAATGTAGTAGTCAAAGAGGGGTAAATTGTAGTCAGAGACTGTTGTCAGCAACAAGGAGGCCTATGTCTGGAGGAAGTAGAAAGAACCAAAGGATGGGTAGCGCAAAATTCTGTCCACTCAGCCTGAGCCCGAAGATGATAATCATGATAGGGTTGGATTAATGTGGACATGCTGGTGTAGGCAAGCGATTAAACAGCGAGTCCGTAATGGACTCCAACGCACTGTAAGTCTAAGAGGTAAGAGTTGAAGAGGAAAGGTTTAGTTGTTCTAGATCCCGAGGTTTAGATGGATATCAAGAATGAGAATTAGAGTCAGATGTAAATATCAAAAGCGGCCTTGGAAAGTGGAAGAGGGTAGAGATTGGTAGGGCATTGGGCCATTTACTACGAACCCAGACTGAGTATGCATGAAATACAGCCTGGGATGGGGTAATTAGACACAGATTAGTGATATTGGGCTAATTTTAATAGGAAACTTAGCTCTGAAAAGGAAGGCAGAAAAAGAAATTACTAGAGTATTTTATTTGATTGAGTCTTTCCTAATTCTGCAGTAACTGGTTCTGCATAATTGCATTTGGCTATCCTGAAAATGGGTAGAGACTGGTGCTGTTCATACTGTGGAGTCTGAACACGCTATGATAGTCTAGTGCAAGTCCTATCACTAGTCCATCATATTTTGTTGTCAAATGTTCACAATAAACTATATTGAGGAAAACATTATCCTTTTTGAGGGGCACTACGTGTAAATGTACAAAACCTCAGAGGTCAACATAATTTTACTTACAACTATAATCTGATGAAATGTTTCAATATGTCTTCTGTGTGCTTTCCACAATTTTTTTCTCAATCTTTGAAGGTGGGATAAGAACTGGAATGTGCTATTATTTGGGAAGAAACTGATTCACTCTTGAATGTACATGCAGATAGTTCGCTCCATGATAACAGATGGAACTGGACAAGTAGGCACACTGCACACGAGTAACTTGCAAATTCCCCAACAGGATGAAGATGATTTTGAGGATATCCAATGATAATCAAGGGTTTTGGTGTTCTCACTTTCTTTTATACTGAAACAAGACAACCAGCATTGCAAATTGCAAAGAAACAACGGCAGTTTTCTCCACTGTCTATGCATCAAATGTAAGACAAGCAATGGTTAACAAGTTGACATCAGTATCCGCCTGATTCAGTTCCAGACCAAAAATGTTGGTAGATATAAAGGGAATGTATTCATTTTGTAATTTTGAGAGAACATGAAAATTATGGGAAAGAGCATAGGTGGGGGGTTGGGTTGTGTTTTGAACTAACAGGCTTTAAGTTATTCCCAGTTGTCATTTCATTTATATGAAAATTTTCTTCAAATATGAAATTCAGATTCACAGAATTAGACTTCTGTAGAGCAACTCTATAATGAGCTTCAGAAAAATTGGAAACAGAAGACAAAGATTTGACAAATTCTTGCACGATGATATAACTACACTAGGCAAATAAAAATTGTTTCATGCATCATGTGTGTATAACTTTAAAAAAGTATACTTTTTAGGAGTAACAGAAGTGATTCCAGGACCTTTGCTACAAACAAAAGTGAAGTTAATGGACCATGGAAAGTTGTGGGACTAAAGCTCAAGTATATACAAAGTTCAGGGATCATAGCTCCAGAGCATTCACAATGGGCTTCCTAAACAATTTCCTTAACTAAAGTTTAGGGAGGAATTGAAAAAACCCGCTCCAACCATACTCCCTATTCAGCTCCTAAAATAGAGAGATATCTAGGAGCTCTTAAATCTGAGGAGAGAGAAAAGACTCCTAATGACTCCCTATAATTAAATGCTTCTTTATTTAATATTATTTTAAGTATTTATTTAAAGCAAACTATTTTTTATTGTTGCTTTTGTGTCTACATTTTATTCAAAAATTGAATTAAAAAACATTAAAAACATTTATGACTCTTTAAATTAGAGAGTATGGTTGGAGTTGAAATTTTATACAGAGCTCCTAAAGTAGCTTTCTAGTGTTTTTAGCTAAATTTTAACTAAAAAATAGAGAGTATGATTGTTAATGCTCTAAGAAGCCTAATATATATAGGGAAGAGAGAGAAAAAATAGACTGATAAAGCTATTAAATATTGTCATTCCTGAACAGGGAAGAATACAAAAGGTGTAATAGTGAAAAAATTATATTAGCATTCATCTCCACTGTTGAAAGTGGTAAGATCTAAAGGTCTTAAAAGTGTGTCAAAATTTGTGTTTAAAATGTGTCCTCCGATCTTGACTCATATATATATATATATATATATATATATATATATATATATTCAGTTTGAAACGTAGATAGTTAAAAGTGCCAAAATCGCTATCCTTATCTAAAAGTTGATAACTAGTGCAAACGTATATGTTTTTTTTTTATGTCTCTTGAACTTGAACTATGTGTATATAAGTATACATTGATGTGCTGGGCCAAAGACTTGGGTGTGCCTCATTGTTTTATAAACATGATTTTAAATTTTTATTGATATGTATATCTTACAAATAAAAAATCTTCAAAATCATTTTTATTTTAACATTTCTAAAATATATAAATTATATTATTATTTCATTCAGTGTGCCTGACGTGTAAGCAAAACATTGGTCCGTTTGCTCAAACATTCCTGGCCATTAGTTAGGGCTGGGCTAAGCCTCTTGAAGATAAAGCAGGCCTGGTCGGCCAGTTCAACCTTCGGAGCCGAAAAAGCCCACGATTGGGAAGGACTTGGACTAACTTTAGGCTGGCCCGACCCAACATATTTTACAAGTGTAGTCATAAGAATTAACGGATCTTTTAACCCAACGAATGAGATGAGGCGCTAGTGTAGTCATATAAATATTGGCTTATTTATTGTAGAGCCCCCTGAAATTTTGGTCAAATATCACTTTGCCCTCCCTCCCAAAACTTAAAATGACCCACTTTCATCTCTTGACCGATGTTTGGTGACTCACTTTGCCCTCTACCGTCAACTCCATCTAAAAGTCTATTAACTTTGATGACGTGGCAAGAGTGTTTTTATAATTTCATACACATGGATCATCATCCACCAATTAGAAGAGTGATGTGGCAAGTGGAGCCCATCTCTACATAAAAAATAATAATTAAATATTCTAATAATTAAAAAATAACTAAAAATTAAATTAAATAAGAAAAAAATATTCAAATAATTAAAAACTGTACCCGGTACACAATCCAACCCCCACCCAGATCCCACCACCTCTCTCTCTCTCTCTCTCTCTCTCTCTCTCTCTCTCTCTCACGGATTCGTATCATAGGAGACAAAGTTCTCTCATTTTCTTATTTTCTCTTTGTTTCTTGGCTGAAGCTCACCAAGAAAATCATAACAGTCTTGCTCAAGTTTGTTTGTTTGTGAAAATTGAATCTATTTATCCCTCTTTTTGGTAGGAAAAATGTTAACTACAAAATAACTCATTTAAATAAATATTTTTTAAATAGATTCAATTTAATTGGGATAAAAACAACACATATATGAATTTGGGTTTATTTTTGTTGGGTATATCTGAATCAGATTGGCTTGATTTTTGAGGCTCCTATGGGCTTGAAGATGCTAATATGTGTGTGTGTGTGTGTGTGAGAGAGAGAGAGAGAGAGAGAGAGAGAGAGAGAGGTTGGGGAAGGGGGTTGGGTTTCAAACAACCCAGATTTGAAGTTGGGTGTTGGGGAAGGGGGTTGGGTTTCAAACAACCCAGATTTGAAGTTGGGTGTTAAGGTTGGTTGGAGATCGAGAGAGGGAGGGTTGTGATGGTGGCAGGGTTCGAATCTAGGGGGTTGCGACGAGTTCGATGTTCTTTATCATTGAATTTGCAACAAACAAAAAAAAAAAAAAAAAAAAAATAAAAAAATTAAAAAAAAAAAAAAAAAACAAAAACAGAGAGATGAAGATAGTGTTGGATGCTGGGTGGAAGATTAATGAGAAGATGGCTAAGATGGTTGTTGGGTTGTATATTGAACTTTAGGTGCAGAAATTGGAGGAGCTACTTGTAGATTTAATGGAGACCAATCAAGTCTCAGAAGTTTTGTTGCTGGGGTTGGCTGTGGGTAAGGATTAATGGTGGATGGGGGGTACAGGAGGATGGCCGTGGATGGGTGGGAGTATTGGGGCTGCTGGGGTGATGGGTAGAGTTTTTAATTATGTGAAAATATTTTTTTCTTATTTTTTTTTAACTTTTAATTATTAGAATATTTAATTATATTTTTATCCATGTGGAGAAGGTGGGCTCCACTTGCCACGTCACTCTTCTACTTGGTGGATATGATTCATGTGTACAAAATTACAAAAACACCCCTGCCACGTCATTAAAGTTAACAGACTTTTAGATGGAGTTGACGGCGGGGGGCAAAGTGAGTCACCAAACCTCGGTCAAGGGATGAAAGTGAGTCATTTTAAGTTTGGGGGGACAAAGTGAGATTTGACCGAAGTTTCAAGGAGTACTATAGTAAATAAGCCTATAAATAGAGAACCATTCAAAAGAGTAGTTAAGCTACAATGAGAGTTGCAGGTCAGCTATTCGAACTTTCAACAACATATGTAAGAGTAAATACTCTTAATCACTAGAGTAACAAATCTCAACGTCTTTCATATAAATAAGTAGTAGAAAGGTCAAACAATACTTTTATGGATCATGTAATAATAACGTACGATCTCGTGTCTACATCAACCAACATGCCAATCAAATAATAACGTACGATCTAGCGGTAACTTTAATAAATTTATGTCCTAATAGATTATTCAATTCAATTAATGCAATGTTATGAAAAATAATACATAAATACAAAAACATGTAAATAATGTCTGTATTTATTATATGAAAAGAAAAAGTGCATGTTTTTAATATTTTGGTAGGTTTTATATTTTCTAAAGTAAAATTAAATGTTTTGAAAGTCCAGATAGAGAAGAAGGTTATAGCTTTGATGATTGAGTTTGACAAGACTGCTGGAGAGAGTTTTGATGATATGGCTCATCTATTTTAGCATTCTAAAATTGTTGAAAAGGCTGTTGCGGATGTTCAAACGTGATCATAATGAAAATGCCTTTTGTCCATGCAAACGCATGAATAAATTCGTCGCGATAGCCTACTACAACAAGCCTACAACGTGGAAAGTTGAAATTCGTTGCTGAAGCCCAATGAGGAAGTGACAACAAAACATATTTCCTCACTAAAACTGTTAGGGAGATACTCTCAAGTAACATTCTCTATTACTGTCGATCTTGTCCTATTATCGTTAGCAAATACTTTTTGATAGTCTTGATTATGCATACACTATTGATATCATCCATAGAAAAGAAAAGAATTCATTTCTTAGTGAGAAAGGGTCTTGTTCATAATGGTGGTCTGAGAGCATCTGAACGTGCAGTCAAGACTTTTACTGGCTTCGCCATTTGGCAATGAAGTTTGGAAAGTCATGTGTCTTCTATATCTGTCTGAAAATCCATTTTGCAGATTTGGTAGTTTTGTTAAAGACAGCACAGAGCCCCTCGATTCTTGTTGACCTCATCTAGTATTTAGCTGTTACTCTTGGGTGTAGTTCATTACTCATTAGGTGTATGAAACCAGAACTGTTTGAAAAGTTTCCATAAAACCCAAATTCATAAGGAAGAAATCCAAGACAACCCAGAATCATAGAAGCCAAATTAACGTAGATATCTCTGTCCTAATTGGGCTAGTTTCGAAATTAATTTGGTGTCCTTATATGGGATTTTGACCAACCTCAGATATTCATATTTTTTATCTGGATGTTGGTTGGATGGCATGTGTGAATTAATTCCTTGTTAATTTATACTTTCATATATGATGTGTGTGTCTATGAGTTTTGTGTGTGTGTGCCTCTTATTTGGTTTCAGAAAGAAAAGCTTTTGTTTTGTGTGTGGTTTTGTTTTCTTAATGTGGTAGAGAATGGAGTTGCCAAAGGGAAATGCTGGAGTATCAGGCGATGAACAAGAACCATCGAGTTCTCGCAGGGGCAATAAGAAGTATCATCGCCATACTTCTGAACAGATACAGCGACTTGAAGAGTGAGAATCAATGACTGCTTTTTTTTATACCTCAACTCATGTTCACATATAAGGGACAACATCTTGACTTGACCTGAATGTTTTTTTTTTCTTTTTGTTTCAGTATCTAATTAGATCATCATTTTCCTGAGATTTGTTTCTTGAAGATTATGGTTTTTGTGGGATGATTTTTATTTGTTTATCAACTTTGTGGAATTGGATTTCTATAGGATGATATACATGTCCAACTTCTGCCTTCTTTACTTCATAACACAGATCTGTTTTTCCAAAAAGAAAACAAAGAGAAGAAAATACATGTGTAGATGTTAAAGACATTTTTGCATGTACTGTCTTCTGATATGTCTGCACTCTCTTCTAAATCTTCTAGTTAGAGATTTTTTTTTCTTCTGACCCTCGCTAGTATTTGGGTGTATATCCCAGATCAGTGCTTGTTTTGAAGGTTTTCTTCAAAGATAGACCTTGATCTGCATTCCAAGAAATTCTCTGTCTTTTATACCTTTTGCTTGAAGACATATCTATCTCTCAAATCATTTGGTATTTGAAATTAATCCTTGGTATCTACTTTTCACCAGTATGATGCTTTTTCCTTTTTTTCTATCCCCTTCTTTGTATCACTTCTTCAAATGATAATGGGGTTCTCTTTGGTGAAGATTATTCAAGGAGTGCGCCCACCCCGATGACAACCAGCGTCAACAGCTGAGCAGGGAGTTAGGGCTTGAGCCAAGACAGATCAAGTTCTGGTTTCAAAATAAACGAACACAGACAAAGGTTCTCCATTTTTCTCACTTCGACGACATGCATGCTTAGCAATTTGTTTTTTCATTTTATTCTATATTGCATGTGTAATGGTGAATCTTTCTGTACGTGGTACATTATCAGGCTCAAAATGAGAGAGCAGACAACACTGTTCTTCGCGTAAATAATGAAAGAATTCAATGTGAAAACTTTGCATTCCGAGAGGCCCTAAAGAATGTGATTTGCCCAACTTGTGGTGGTCCACCGTTTGGTGAAGAAGAGAGGCAGCTTTGTTTGCAGAAACTTCAGCTGGAGAATGCTCAATTGAGAGAAGAGGCAAATATTTAGAACATAAATACTTCCTGTCTATGCACTATAATTTAATCAGATCTTTAATGTAAATTATTGTTCATTGTATTTATAGGTGGATTCCCTTTTATTGATGTCTAGTTAGGAATATTTTTTTTGCAGCATGATAAGGTAGCCAGCCTTCTTTCCAAGTATATTGGGAAACCAATATCACATATTGATTCGTTGGCATCCGCTGCTGGATCCTCATTTGATTTCTCACCAGGAAGTTCCATGAACCAAGGGATGGGAAGCCCTCCCCTTAGTCTCAATCCTACCAATCCTGCAGTTGCTAATAATGCTGCATTAGCTTATCAATTAAAAGAAATCCCTGAAATGGAAAAGACACACATGGCAGATACTGCTGCCCGTGCCATAGAAGAACTGCTCAAAAGTTTTGAGATCAATGAGCCCTTGTGGATCAAATCACCGGGTGACGGGAGATATCTCCTCAACCGTGACAGCTATGATAAGATATTTCCAAGGCCGAACCACTTCAAGAGCTCCAGTGCTCGTGTCGAGTCTTCAAAAGATTCAGGAGTAGTGTCCGTTAGTGCAGTGCACTTGGTTGACATTTTTTTAGACTCCGTTAGTGCTATAACTCTTACTTGCCATTATTTCCTACATATTAAGCCACCACCACCACCACTCTCTAGTGCTGGTACGGTCAAAGAAGTTTAAGCACAATTGTTTAATTTTGCAGAGTAAATGGGAAGATCTCTTCCCTACAATTATCACAAACGCTAAGACGATTCAAGTACTTGAAAGTGGAATGGTGGGAAACCAGAGTGGCCGCCTGCAGCTGGTATGTATAAAGTCATTGTTTTGTTCAGTTTTTAAATTATTTTCCTATGGTTTATCATGACTAGTCATACAAATCAAATTGCTTTAACACAGATGTATGAACAAATGCACATTCTCTCACCGTTGGTGCTGTCGCGGGACTTCTACTTTCTTCGCCATTGTCAGCAGATTGAAATAGGCACTTGGGTGATTGTGGATGTATCGTATGATTTCCCCAAAGAGACTTCTGCATGTCAAACTCGATCATGGAGACTTCCTTCCGGATGCATGATCAAAGACATGCAAAACGGATGTTCCAAAGTAAGTAGCTTCGTCTCTTTAACCATATAATTACATCTACATGCAGTACTAGTACTAGTTCTGAGAATACGCTTGTCAAGCTAATGGGAAAAGGCCAAGAGAACATCTCAGAATTCCTGTGTTCTTAGTTTAAGACATTTTCTACTTGGAAGAGTCGTGTCATAAATATTGGCTGCATCCATGATAGGTGACCTGGATCGAGCATGTTGAAGTAGACGACAAGACACAAACCCATCGGCTCTATAGAGATCTTATATGTAGCAATGTTGCGTACGGCGCTGAAAGATGGATTGTTACTCTTCAGAGGATGTGTGAGAGATTTGATTACTCAATGGACGAGGTTGCACCTAGTTGTGAGTTTGGAGGAGGTAAGCCTGCCAGAAAGAAAAAGAAAAATCTGTTGGGTTATGTGATCATATGTCTAGTTCTCTTTTCTGTCCTGATCATTTCGTAATGATTTTGAGTTCTGATGAGGACATGTTATCCGTGGTTTAGTGATTACTACGCCCGAAGGGAGGAGGAGCACAATGAAGCTTTCCCACAGGATGGTCAAGAACTTCTGTGGAATGTTGAGCATGGCAGGTAAACTTGATTTTCCTCAATTATCAGAAGTGCACAACAGCGGGGTTCGAGTCTCTGTTCGTAAAAACACAGAACCAGGACAGCCCAACGGCATGGTTGTCAGTGTTGCTACTTCTCTTTGGCTTCCTCTGCCGTCTCAGAATGTCTTCAACTTCTTCAGAGATGAGGAAACAAGACTTCAGGTTCCTAACTAATAAAAGGATCCTAATTTTGGTTCATATATTCATTTACCACTAATTAGAGGTTGAAATGTGACCTTAACAATGAGCTTAACTTGATTTGTCTCTCAGTGGGATGTTCTCTGTAATGGAAATCCAGTGCACGAGGTGACTCGCATTTCAACTGGAACTCATCCCGGAAACTGTATATCCATCATTCGGGTAATTTCCTTTCCTTCTTCCGGAGATTTATTTGTCCATGAAATATGGGGAAAACCAAAATTCATTTCATCAATGGTTTTTGTGGAGCAGCCTTTCATCCCTACAGAGAATAACATGGTTATGCTTCAAGAGAGCTACATAGACTCTCTGGGGGCCTTGGTTATATATGCTCCAGTTGACATACCAGCTCTCAATATAGCAGTATGTGGTGAGGATTCTTCCAAGATACCCATACTTCCATCGGGGTTCGTAATCTCTGGCGACGGCCATCCCGAAACTGGGCCTGCTGCAAGCAATGGCAGGTCAGGTGGTTCACTTCTTACAGTGGCTTTCCAGATACTGGTTTCCTGCCCCACATCTTCAAAGCAGCTCAACATGGAGTCAGTGGCAACTGTCAATACTCTTATCAGTTCCACCGTTCAAAAAATCAAGGCTGCTCTAAACTGCTCCGGCTTGGATTAACCTATTAGTTGTCTACCTGTGGCTGCTATGCTAAGAATAAAACTAGTCCGTAGGATTAGGCTGGGAAGTTTTTCTTTGTGACAGACAGCAGCAATGTTAGGCTGTTCTTAGACTCATTTTCAAATTTCATTTTGGATAATTGGGTATTTTAAGAGGACATGTTTGTTTTTCATCCATGCAATGACATGACATAGGGGCCTTCCTATTTATTAGGCTGATATTTTATTTTCATTTTGCTACTATAAAATAGATAGCAGCACCATCCACATGTCGCAAACTCGATAGAACATAGTATCATGTGTTAATCGCCACGTGGTAATACCGTATTACTGTATAATTTCTCCGGCAGTTGGAGCTGCTCACCTCCCAATGGTGAGAAGACCTAATTATATGGTTAAAGAAGCGAAGCTACTCACCTTGGAGCACCCATATGGTTAGAGAGGCCAAGCTACTCGTTGGAGCATCCCATTAGGCACGTCTTCAATCATGCATCCAAAAGAAACTGCTCACAACAGTATTGCTTGGCCTGAAAAATCAATAAACATAGAGTACTGTTATTTCCACCCACCTGTCCTATTTTCCCACCCACCATATAAATTTTAAAAAAACACAATCCTATTTTTACACCCACCAATATTCCTAAAATACCCTTTTAATTATTACCTCATTTCCTCTCTCCTTTATTCTCTCTGCTCATGTCTTCTCTCTTTGACGGCCCACACATCTCTCTCTCATTTTTGCTCTATCTTATTTTCCATCTCTCACACTCCATCTCTGTCTCTGTCTTCTCTCTGTCTCTCATGTTTACTGAACTAAAACAGTTTTTTGTTGTAATTTTTATTTTTATTTTTGTAAATATGGATTCTGTGAATATAATCACATTTATGCTCTTAGCTTTCTAGTATTGTAAATAAACTTTTTCTCCAGAGTTATCCAAGGACCAAAAATCTATTGAACTTTGCAATAAAAAATATATAAAACGCTCATTCTTAAGACATGAGAATGTCAAAGAGTACAAAGCCAAACAGATAAGGGAAAAACAACAGTACTCGCCTTCTTCACCTTCTCATGAGCAAGGAGTCGTATTCTTGTGTTTTTTTTCTCTTTGTCAAACGATAGGGTTACTTGAGAACTGAGAAGTCTACCTTTTTTTTTTCCTCTCTCTTCTTCCTTAAGTCCTTTTAAGTCATTTTACAATAAGGTTAAATTTGTCTTTAAAAGTTAAAAGATAAGGTGGGTGGAAAAATAGAACAAGTGAGTGGAAATAGCAGCACTCTAAACATAATATCATTAGAATTAATCTCCTTTGAATAGACTATGATAATACCAATAACCAACTATTATACCTGATGCACTTATTTTACACTATTGCTAATTATATATTCTCAATTAATGACACACGCTTTGTTATATTTGGCTATCCAAAACCAATCTAAATAGGACGAGTCCACTTTTCATGTTACCATTTTCCCTATGCTTCCTTGTTACCTTTCTAATTTATTGACGCATGTCCCTACACTTAACTTCTAACATAACAATGTTAACTCTTTTAATAAAAATAAACTAAAACAAAGCTAATTATTAAATAAAAAAACAAAAACCAACATCCTACAGCCTACAGCCTACAGCCCCCACCCACCCACACAACCTCAGCCAACTCCCCCCACCCATCCAACATGGTCAGCCACCCCATCTCGCCGGCGGCAACCCCTCTCCTCCTTGCCACCGGAAACACCTCATTATCTCAATATCCCTTTCTCTCTCTTTCTTTCCTACTTTACCATTTTCTTCCTCGAACTCAAAACCCTAACAACATAGTCAATCTCATTTGTTAAAGCCTCAACCAAGAATGACATTAAAGGGCTTCAAAATTGTAAGATGTTTTGTAAAATGAACCATATTATGTTGTGGCCTCAACAACCCCTTCATCTTCACTGCATCTCAAGTTAAGAAAACAAGGAACACACATATTCTCAGTATTCTTCACCTTCAAACCTCTGATGCAGCCAAGCCTATGTAATTATGATAGAGATATTGATATCCATATTTGGATCTACTATATCTCACATTTGGTGTTGCCATGTTGTTCCCCTCCCCCCCCCTTTCTCTCTCTCTCCCCCAAGGACAGAGAAGAGGAAGGTTGTTGTAGGCGGCAGCTAGGAGAGAATTGACACATCCTGAGATCGGCTCCGCCGTAGCACGATATTGTCCGCTTTAGGCCCTCCTATCTGCCCTTACGATTTTGTTTCTGGGAACTCACGAGTAATTTCCAAATGGGTCACCCATTCTGGGATTGCTATCGCCCCAACTCGCTTAACTTCGGAGTTCTCATGACTCCGAACCCAGTGAGCTCCCAAAAGGCCTCGTGATAGATAGAGGTGGGCATGGACATATAAGGCACATCACCCCATCTCCGTTGGTCGATGTGGGATGTTACAATCCACCCCTCTTAGGGGCCCGACGTCCTCTTCAGCACACTCGCACCACACGGCAGAGTGGCTCTGATACCAAATTGACATATCTCGGGATTGGCTCTGCCTTAGCACAATATTGGCCGCTTTTGGCCCCTCTCTCTGCCCTCACAATTTTGTTTCAGGGAACTCACGAGCAACTTCCTAGTAGGTCACCCATCCTGAGATTACTCTAGCCTCAACTGGCTTAACTTCGGAGTTCTCATAACTCCGAAGCCAGTGAGCTCCCAAAAGGTCTCATGCTAGATGGATGTAGGCATGTACTTATAAGGCACATCACCCCCTCTCCATTGGTCGATGTAGAATGTTACAGAGGAGTTGCCGCCAATGAGGTGAGGCAGGTTGGATGGGTGGGTTGGCTCTCTAGGTTGGGTGGTGGGCCGGTCGGTGGGTGGGTTTGTATTATATTTTTATTAAAAGAGTTAACATTGTTATGTTAGAAGTGAAGTGTAGAGACATGTGTCAATAAATTAGAATGGTAACAAGGAGGCACGTGAAAAAGGATAACAAGAAAATTAGACTCAAATAAGACATACAAATTACTCCATTTATATGTATCAGTCATATGAAAAACTAATCTAATACCTTTAGGTGGCTCTTAAACATTGCGATGCAAATCAATATACTTATGATGTTGAAAACATAATAAGGTTCAATGCTTTTTTTTTATAGGCTTAATTATTGTTTTACTTTCTGTAACGGATGTTTGGTCTCACTTTACTCCATGAAACTAAAATTTTCTCACTTAACCCTTAGAATCTCTAAACATCACTGAAATTTTCTCACTTTACCACTTCCATCTACAAAACTATTAAGTGTGCTGATGTGGTGTGAACATTTTAGTAATTTTAGCTCCTCTCTCTCTCTCTCTCTCTCTCTCCTCTCTCTCTCTCCTCTCTCTCTCTCTCTCTCTCTCTCTCTCCCCCTCCCTCCCCCCTTGCCTCTCCATCACACCCCACCCCTAATTAACCCTCATCGCACCAATCCACCCCTCCCCTATCTCGGAAAGGGAAAAGAGAGGCAAAGAGACACAAAGAGATAGATAGATAGACATAGACAAAGATTGGTGAGGAGATGTATAGAAGTTGATTTGGGCGTGTTGATCATATTTGAGGATGGGGGTGACCGAAAACGGAAGAAGGAAGTGGGGCGGCGAAAGGGGGAAGTGGGAGTGGGGTGGGTGCTTTGGGGATAAGGATAAGCATAAAAGGAAGAGGGGGAAATGGGGAAGATGGAGGTGAGGGGTGGTGAGCTGGTATGGAGGGGAAGAAAGAGAAGAAAGGGTTTGTTAACCTTAAAACAAAAAAAAATTATAATAGCCTTTTATTTAGGCCTTTTTATTGTAGTGCCCCCAGGAACTATTGTCATATCCTACATTACCCCCTGGAAGTTGAAGTGGCCCACTTTGCCCCCTTAACCAAGGTTTGGTGTTCCATTTTGCCCTATGTCGTCATCTTTATTCATAACTCCATTAGTTTGGATGACGTGGCAGGACTATTTTAGTCTTTTTACCATGTGGTCCTATACTCCCAATATGAACTTTGTGACGTGGTAAAAGTAGTGCCCACCCCTTAAACTTTTCTTCTTCTTCCGTTTTTTTTCCCCCTTTTCTTTCCTTCCACAACTCTATCTCTCCTTAAATTTCTTTTTGCATACATTGTCTTTCACTTGCTTTGCCTAATGGCAAAAAGGTCTGCAAACCCTAAAAATTAAGCTTCCCCAAAGAAAACGAAGCTGAGCCACAAACTCTATGGCCACAATACAATCGAGAGCGGTGCAGAGCCCCAAGAATATGACAACGATAGCTCATAGGAAGATGATGATGTTGATAAAGTAAAGTCGGATGATGGCGTGGAATGTGAGAAAGAGTTCAACTTCACGGTCTCTTCTAGGCCTAGCCATGACTGTATGGACGACCCCAGCCTCACTATGTCTCCCTCCAACGACTTGTTATTCAAAGGGAAGCTCATGCCCATTGAGCCCTTATTGATTGAGTTCAACCTATCTGAAGATGCACATGCCACATCAGTTTTTTTTTTTTTTTTTTTAAGTGAGAAAATTTAAACCATGTTTAGAGATTTTAGGGGTTATGTGAGAATTTCAATTTCACGAGGTAAAGTGAGATCGAGCGTAGTCTGTTCGAGTAGTAAAATAATTAATAGTCTAAATTATGATCAACAAATAATAAAAAAAGGAACACTTGTGCATAGCCTATTCAACATACATCACTTCGCATCATTTCATGTATAAAAAAGGAATATATGCATACAAATAATAATTCCTTCATTTACTCATTCGAGCCTCCAACGAAAAAAATTATAGGGTGAAGTGCTTCTATAAGGGCTAAAAGCGTTCCTAACAGCATTTGGCAAAAACATTTTGAAGTGCTAATGGGTCATAGAAACACTTTCTGGAGAAGCACTAGGATTTCTTACGAAAATTTCAACGTTTTTATAATTAATGCGCTTTTGCTAGAAGCCCTTATAAGCATAAGTGAATCCTAACGAACTCATAATCTTTCAACCATAACTCTAATATGTAAAGCAGAAATCCAAGATCCAGAATTTGATAGTTTTAAAAATAGCTTTCAATCAACATATAAAGAAAGAAACATACCTTGGCCCATGATTGCAAACTTAATGGAGAAGAAGATTTGAGTTAGACTAGTTTGTTTATGAGGTGCCGATACAGAGGAAATAGGTTTCACTCTCTTCGCTTTTGTAATTTATAATCTAATATTTATAGGCGGGAGGATTAATTTCTTAGTAACCCTAATTCTTTAAGTATTAGAGTCTGTGACATAAAGGTCCCTGATAATTTTCTAAATGACACACAAACCTTCTGCCTCTTTTTTTTTTAACAAATAAGGACATCCAACATATTTTCTTTACCAACCAAGGACATTCAACATATTTTTTGTTTACATGAACGATAATTTTCATTCTACTTGTCCAAGATTGTTCGACTTCGATCTCTTGACTTTTTAAATCTCATGTGTGTAGAAGAATTTTGATGGTATGTGTTTGGTTATGTCACCCTTGATAACCTTTCTTTGAATTGAGTTATAGAAGGAGCGTTGAACATGATCTTTTGTTGTTGAAGGAAGATCACATGTACTCCGAATATGATGGACTTGAGATCTTAATAACCACACACATTTTGGCTTCATGGAGCAGTACAAGAGTTTCCAAATGATTAGAGGATGGAACAACCAAAGTTTGTTTGGTAGATCGCCATGAGATCATTGTATTGCCAGAAGTAAATACATAACCAGTTTGGGAGTTACTCGTGTGAATTCTTGAGATATCGAGAATCTATGTATCCTACAAGGTCTTGGTTGTGTTTTCCATATATATATATATATATATATATATATATATATATAATAATCCATGGAGTATTACTTTCTGGATTTGTTCCAATAAACTCAGCCTTCGCAAATATTGTTTTAACATATAATGGCTGTGCAATAGGTACATAAATTACGTCTTTTATATGTAACTCATTGGATGCGAGCGCATATGCGTGTGTGCCTCATGTTCCATTTGCATGTGGCCTTGCATTTTGTCAATTGAATTGTGCTAAAGGAGATACACCATAATATATATATATATATATATAGTGATTCTTGGCCTTGCATTTGGTCTATTAATTGGTGGCTTTCATATTTGCCCAAAATAAGGAGGATTCTCTAATACTACATTACAAAGGGCCTACTTTGATCACTTTAGGAGAAACTCCTATAGAAAACATTCACTTCCGACAACCAATTGTTTTCATAAACAGACATTTGCTTGAAGTCTTATAAATGTTTTTCAACAGGGATTTGTTCTTGTTTGGTCCGATCAATTGGTCACTCATGCACGCTTTGGTGGTACATATTGCACCCGCTCATCTTCGCATAAATTCTGCAAAAAGATGAACCAAGTAAAGAAATCAGCTAACGCATTATGTAACAGGTCGAAAGACAATGGGAAAAAAAGAACGGAAAAATCCAAGTCATACAATTAGTGCTAGAATTTCAACCCTCCCAATACAATCAATCTCTATGGATTTGGAAAGTAAACAAGACACATGGAAACTGTCCATGAATATCTGTACACATGGCCGGTTTAAGCTCCAATGCCAATGATAATGAAATGGGAAGGAACAAGCGGACAATGAATTAATACTTATATAATGCGATGCCCAAACACTGAATTGCCCCATTTGGCTTCATGGTACATCTAATCAATGTAACCATGACTGCGAATGGGGTCATTACAGAACTGATCCTCATGAATGGTAAAATCATACAGCAGTTTTCACAATATAAACAGATTAAAGGACCAATTTACACCTCACGGGAAGGAAAAAGGACAGGGAGACTAAACCATTAGATATGCTCTGTGGCTCAACGATTGACAAATAAAAGAAAGAGAATTTTCCAACAACAGCACTGTGTCCTAGCTATAGTTTCTTTTACAGTTAAAATTAAATACTTCAACCATGAATATACAGAACACATTACAAAGGCCAGTCATATCTGGCTGGACTGTTAAACAAAGTTCCACAAGCTGGAATTCTTTCTTTACTCCTAAAGTTATGTACGAGACAGAGTTTTCAAGGTACTTATAAATTCGTTTGAAAGATCTGGTAGCAAACTAGCTACTGGACAAGTATCCCAACCGAAAGCCCACAATACACGAAATTATATAGTTAAATGAATTGATCACATTAACAACTAAAAAAACAACTGGCCGCTACCCTACTTATTGGAAATTTATATCACTAACAAGCAAAATAGCAAAAGCATTGTGTTACCTGCAAATCCTCTGATAGAGCCTCTGAAACAGCAAGAGTGTAGACGCCAGGGACAAATTTTCCTGCAAAAAATTTAAATTCCAAAGCCAGTTCCAGATATGTAAATCAAATGCCAGATTGAAGGCATAATCTAGAGAAATAATGGAAGCACAGGGTCATTTAGAACTTCAGGGCAGCCACAATGATATCAAGTGTTAAAAGAATGCATAAGAGACTCAACAATAGATTTCAAGATGAAATATTTCACAAGCAAGCAAATTCCAGAAGAAAAGTAGATTGGGACCAAGGAAAGAGGAGTAAAAGCAAAAGAATGATTCTCAAAATCACTTATTTGTGTGGATGAAAAATCTAGAAATGAATAAACTTATGAAACAAGACAAGAGCTGAAAGAAAAACATACCAATTCGAAGCCACCGTCCAGCCCAACTCCTAGATGGATCCATCATTGAAATTATCCTGAAACCCAAGCAATACGAACATGCAGGTCAATTGGCGATGACCAAAAAACAAGAAAGAAAATCAAAATCGTCTCAGAGAAGAAGAGTACGGACGACCAACCCGTTAAAATTAGGGGTGGTGCAATCGGAGATGCGCTCGTTATCATCGTGCAGATTGAAGAAAGGGCAGTTCTCACATCCCGATTCCCTGAACTGCATTTGAATTTGAATTTGTATTTTTGTTTGTGTTTGTTTTGTACTCAACCAAAACCCTAAAATCTCTGAAATAGCAAAAACCAAAAGCAAAACTAAAACCCTGACCTGATCGTACGTCTTGACGAGGCGGCAACGAAGGCAAGCTCTAAGCTCGTGGCCGAAGCTGGTCGGAATCTGGGCAGGTTGTGCGTTTCTCATCTTCTTTCAGCCAAAATAGACGCTCGTACACCAATTACTTTTGCCTCTTCTAATATGAAAATAATTAGCACAAGAAGACAGGCACGCTATGGAGTGGTTTTTATTTTTATTTCTTGGGTACAATACAACCTTCTAGAGTCTCTCCTCTCCTTTCTTTTATCACTATAAAAACGACTTGTTTTCACTTCAAGCAAATGTCTGTCTATGAAAACAATTGGTTGTCGGAAGTGAATGTTTAGGAATTTCTGTTGAAGTGATCAAAGTAGCTGTGTGTAATGTGGTATTAGCATCCATTTGAGAGTGCTTCTGGAATAGCTAAAAGCGTTTTTTGATAATCAAAAGTTTCAAACAGAATTTAGTAGAAATTAATAAGTATTTGTGGGTTGTAAAAGCACTTCGATTTTTTTTATGAAAATTTCAATGTTTTTATAATAAAATTGCTTTTACTAAAAGCATTTATAAACGAAAGTGTTTTCTAAAAAAACAATTCCAAATGAGCTTTTAGGAGTAGTGAAATCCGTTAGGAAAATATGAAATTCACCAATGAATAGACAAAATGCAAGGCCAAGAATCACTGCATGTATTATATGGTGTGTATCTCCCTTAGTACAATTCAATTGACAAGATTTAGGAGAGACCACATGAAAATGGAATATGAGGCACAGCTAACAAGTTACATATAAAAGAAGTAATTTATATGCCTATTGCACAGCCATTATATGTTAAAACAATATTCGCATACGCTGAGTTTATTGGAACAGATCCAGAAAGTAAATTCTACATGATGTGATAAGCAATGTGGGTGTCCATGGTATTATTGCATCTGATATTGCCCCAAATCAGTTATTATAAGAGAATTTACGAATTCTTTGATGGATTCATAAAGAAGCACAACATTAGCAATTTGCTTCTCTTTATTACGAACATGTGAAGCGTAAAAGCATCCTCCTTGTGTACATTGTCTGGTTATTACTAACATCAACCGCTTGTTATTACGAAATCCCTAAATTGTCATTTACGGTCATACTGCTACATTTTATAATATAAGTGGATGATAAAGTTGATATAAGATTAGTAAATAAAAAGACAAATAAAATAGAAGATCTTTCTCGAACATAGTATCAGGCATGCGATTCGATGGTAGTATGTATAGTTTAAAAGGATGGGCAATGACCAAATCCTGCTTTGCCATGGGAGGCCCTATAAAGAATATTCAATCTACACACGGATTAGAAGTACAAAGAAGAAGAAAAAGTCAATTATGAAGAAACACCAATACATAACTAATATGTTATGCGCTGCCTTGGCATTAAACTTTCATTCATAAACAGTAGGGTTAAACATGGAAACCAGAGACCTTGACCAAACTCATATGCAACAAAAATAGTAAAACATTTATTTCCCTATCAGAATAATCAAGCATGGCACAACCAAAGGACTCGATCTTCAACTTGAGTATGCTCTCCGATTCATTCCAGGACAAGAAACTTAGAGGTCCTCAGGGCCATTGATATCCTGCACAGAAGTGCAATTAACCGGCACATCAAACAGTGACCGACCATAATCAACGTAATAGAGAAAAAGTACAATGGTCTAAATCTAAACCGACTGTGTTTTTACCTTGTTCTCAAGCACGGCATTATCAGGAATTTCCAACTTCACCCCAGATTTTGCTGTGATAGTTACTTTCCCCTTCATTAAATAAAAACAAAATGGCAGACAACATTAATATGCCATACATAACAATGGTACAAGAAAAAAATCCACAACATCCATAATCAAGATGAGGTTGGGCATGGACCATTGAATTATTGTCTATGGAAAGGGTGAAAGGTTCCCAGAAGAAAAATGAGGAGTGTATAACGTCCATGGATGGTTAATAATCTATGTTGCAATCTAGTAGACATGGACAAGCCACAAACCATATAAAAGAGTTGTGGTAGAGGGGAAGCAAACAATGACCATATACTTGTCCGCATGTATGTAATTAAAAATTCCACCAACATCAACAATTCTCCCTTTTTTTTCCTTTTAATCTCCCGATCCAATCCATTATAACTTAACTAAAGGTCAAACACTAAATTCGCCCAGGATATTGGTGGGCATGACATCAAAAATAAAAAAAAGATGTAACTTTTAAGTTATTGGGTACATGCATACCTTGAGAACAACGCCAGCACCGAACCACACATCACCAGACACCTTAAGGCTATCGAGCTCAAGGATGCTGGGAATTGACTTGAATCGACTCAAGAAATTGCCAACCTATAAGGGAAGAAATGATCACAATCATTATCAAGCAGCAGCAACATCAAAAAGTCATTAGATCACTACATTAAATACTCACCTTCTTAAATTCAGGCCCCAGTTCAATAGTTGGATTTGCAGGATTTGTTCTAGCTTTGTTCCGGATAACAAAGCCATCTTCTAAGGTATAAAGGTCAGACTGCAAAAGAAGATAGATACATGCGTCAGACAAGCCTCAAATCATTAGTAAAGATCCAAGATCTAGAATTGGCAAAAGAAGGTTACCTGGACAAGAAGCAAATCAGAAGTTGCCTTCACTGGAAGAAATCGAGATCGAGGTACATTGATACCAATAGCATGATTAAAGAACTGGTCATAGGAACGAATCATTAAAATTAAGAATTAAAATATCAATTCCTATAGAAAATTGAACAACAAGCTTTAACTATCGATAACATCCTAAAATGAATTGTATTCGGTACCCTGATTGCTGCACCAGCCGCAGTTTCTAGCTGGAGAACTTTGACTCCATCCACTTCCTATAAACAAATCTAAGCATCAGAAAACCAGAATCTTGGCACAACGAGGCTTCATATGAAAAATGTATACCTTTGGGTTTGGGATAATTTCCATCTTAAGTGCATCAGCTTCCACGAGCCTTTTAATTGCATTCAAGTTCACCCACCTGAATGGTACTTTGTTAGCACACAATTGATGGATGTTTACAAGATTTGGGGTAACATGACTTACAAATTATTTGTGTTGAAAATTTTGAACTTCTCTATGGACTTGAATTCATTGACCTGTTTCAAAGAAAGCACCCCATATCATCAACTATAAACTGTGTATTGTAAACAGGAATGTGCTTGTATCATCCAACGCAAGGATACAGGTACCTAATTTCCAACAAAAGGAAGCAAACCAAAGGCCAGGTCATTGTTATCAATTGTCAAGGATGACAATGCATCACTCAAGACAGCATCATGATGTAGATAGAAATGGAGAATAGTAAAAGGGATAAATTGGCACTTGCAGTGAATCAAGGAGGAGCAATTTCTATTTTCAATATGTAGAAAAACTTATTGTAATAGATACAACAAATCAAGAAAAACTAACAAAACAAGAATAGAACTGCATGTTCTATACAAAATTTGAGCTCCATTGTACTCTATTTATTTAGAGATATCAGAAATGAGGTTAAAATGTGAGTGTTTTACATTACATACAACTTCTTCTACATTGTTCTCCGATTGTACGAACAATGATTAAGTGGCATGTAGTATCCTCATCTTTTACCCTACTGAAAGTACTGCTTATTGTCACAATTCAAGGCTTAAAAAAGAAATCCAACCATCCATCCTGTTATCCATTCATTTAGTAGATTTGTTAGTTTGCAATCTTCTTATCAACAGCTATGTTCAAATGCCTATATCTCATCACAGAACTTGCAGTGAATTATTCAGCTCTACCAGTCCCAGCACTCAGTGTTGGCACTTCCCTCTTTTATAAGGTTTTCAAGCATTTTGTCAATATTATTTTAGAAAATTTTATTAAATTGTTGGGTCGAAAACTAATGATGATAAGATTGATTGGTTACAATCCTAAAGCAATCAACATAAACTTATTTCTATTAGTAATGCCTCATCGTAAATATTATTTCTTTATATACTATCTTATAAAAACTAGTAAATCATTCTACACGAACAACTGCTTTGTTACTTATCATCTCATCTGCCTCCCCCTACTACTTCAGTGGTTCAATTAGCATACAAGTAGGAATTCTAGCTGTATAGTAATAGCTGCTATCTGTAGTGAGATTAGTAAATAGCTGCTATCTGTAGTGAGATTAGTAAATAGCTGCTATCTGCAGCGAGAACAAGATGACAAACTAAAAACTAAATATAAGGGGGGATGGGCAGTGAAACAATAGAAACACGACTTACATGTGCATCAGGGACTTGAGCAATTTCCAGGAGCTGCACAAGAACATCAGATAAAAGGAAAAAGGTCATGCATAGCCAGAGTTCTCAAAAATCTTGCATCATATTGGAAAGAAGATGCATTCACATTGAGTTAATGCCATTCTTGAAAAAAAGGGGTTAACCAGGAGAATCTGCCAGCCGACCAATCAGGTTTTCATTTAAAGGCCATTTGCCGAAAAAAAAGCCACAACAGGGGAACGAGGCCATTCAACCGTGAATTAGGTTAACCAGCTCACAGTTCTTGAGAACCAGCCAGTTCAACTAGATTGTCTTCACAAAATCCCATTGTTTTGGGTGATCAAGGTTTGAAACTGACGCTTATATATGAAACATAAGGTCATTTACTACTAAATCACTGCCACATCTGTTGTCCCATAGTGACACTTTTTATATTATCTCTTTATTTCAACAAACTACAATGAAAAGGATGTTATTTTGTTATTAAGAAGACTAAACTTCTAAATATTTGAAAACGTCTAATTAAAAAATAAATAAAAAAAGATGATGAAGAAGAAGAAAATAAAACGCTCATAAACGAACTTCTTGAAAGAAAAAAAAATAGCTTGATAAAAGTACGCACTGAAGAGATGTGGAGTGGCCACCAAAGTTTAGTAATAAAAATTTCTGCTTCATAAGAAAGAAGTCAAAATAGAAAGTTTTCAATATATCATAGCCCAATGGATAAAAAATTTGTACCTGAACCCTTCCCTCATAAGAGATCAGAGTGCCACCCTTCACATCTGCCAATGTTTTTGGTGTCACCTGCATAAATAAGAAAGATATGTAGAAACTACTTTGAAGATAAAACTTTGAAGATGAAAAGGTAATACCAATAACCTTTTCATACCTCCATGCAGTATTCGTTCTTTTTGTGGATCAAATGATTTAGAATTTCTATTGCATCCAGTCAAGGATAATAACATCTAAAAGGACTTCTTTTATCAAAGCGAAAGAATAATATATCATACACAGTGAAGAACCATAATCTAGAAAGTACACGTGCCAATCTGAACCAAAAATAGGATACTCAAATCAACAACAGCACCCAAGTTGTCCGAGTTAGCAACAAACACATACTCCTTACCCTGAAAAATAGAGAAAGATGCAAGTGCAGGAAAAAATTATACCTGGGACATGAGCAAATAATAAAATGATCACAAAAGGCATCAATAGACCAACCTGTGACAATAACAGATCAAGTTTGCCACTGTTCTTTAGGGATGGGAACACATCACCATGGCCAGGAGGATACCTTCATGTGCATACAATGATCATGAGCAGAAAGAATGGGACGTTGCATGAAATTTCACTCGATATAAAATTAAATTCCTACCAACTATCAATTACAGGGCTTAGGTGTTTTTTTATTATCTAAATCACTACGTCACAATGACAAGCCAACTACCAAGGAAAACAAAACGTTCTAGTGTTAAATATGCGAGTGTTAAAGGCAACAATGTTCACGCAGGTTCATGGTCACTCAAACTACTAGACAAAGAATGAATACCAAATTCTCATAATAATAATAAAAAAATAAAGAAAAAGCTTCCTTTTGTTAACATGTGTAAAAGGAAAAATGTTCATGAGGGCCCCTGGTCACTGAAACCACTGGAGAAAGAGAGTACACAAAATATTATATCAATTTGTGCCGTAGAAAATTTTCCTTTTCCCTATTAACTACACTGGTTTTGACCCAAAAACAATAATTACACCAGGTTACAGGAAAGCTCATAAACAAAACTTAGAACCTGCTCTGTATCATGCACTTTGGATAGGAGTTGGCCTGAAATATATGTGAGGGGAAAAGAAGTAAATGATACCAGGAGTGATTATTGGCTAGTAAGGCAGGAGTTGTACAAGAAATGCATGCTGACTTTAGTTGTATGAGTTGATACAAGTTTGCCCCTGAATGTCTTCGTTGTGGTGCCCTTTTTTATTGATATCATAAACTAGTCTAACAATCCCAAATGATATCAAAAGAAGGTAAAACACAATGTAACAACTTGATTTCCTTCAACATATGAGACATGCATAAATACACATGACTCATGGCGACATCATAACATAATTTTAAAATATAACTGAAAGTTGAAAGAGCATGGATCCACCATAGTTGTGCAATTACAATGTTTAATTGGTTTTATCAACAGCAATTCGCATTAAGCATTTCTGAAAAGTCACAACGACCATATCAATGCTTTCATTTCATAACAACTAACTTCCTCGAACAAAACATAAAAATCATGTCAGACATGCATAAACACACAAAGAGGTATGATTGGCCCCACACACTCATGAAATCATACACGTGTGTGTTTGAATACCAGACTGCAATCTCAGCAAAAGTATTAACAGATCATCAGGCATGGATTATATATGCTCCAAATACAAAAAACAGTACAAAACTACAAGCTAACTGGGAAACAATTGTGCATGAACCCCAGAGTGAATAATAAATTATACCATCCATCCTTGCCAGTCTGTCCTTTGGATGGAAATGGCGAAAAATCTTCAACAACCAGACGAGGATACTGACTCTGCACATCCAAAAAATATTCGAAAAGGTATAAGTTCAATGTTTTAAGTATTCAGTATACACAAGAATAAATAGTAAAGCACATGATCAAGAAAGGTACCACAGACCTGGTTAAAAGTATGAATCTCAACATTTGACTTGGTGTACTTTTCTACAATCTAATGGAGGCAAGACCTAGTTAGCTCACGGGTAAAATGTAAGGATGAAATAATAAACTACAGAAGTAAATACTCAAACCTTCTGTGTATCATCATGAGTGTTGAATGAGTTCATCAAAAGCAGGGGAACACTGCTCCCATATTTGTTATTGAGAGTCTGAAAATATTAGCTGGGTAAGCTGATATAAACATCGAGAGAGAGAGAGAGAGAGAGAGGAGAGAGAGAGAGAGAAGGAAAAGACAAAAAGATAACCTCAATCTGGATGACAATTAAGTCCAGAAATGTCAACCCATTTCGAACTTCAATGACAGACCTGCATGACAAAGAAAATGAACCTAGAATCATTGATGTTATGGAAACGAGATAGACGATATACAGAATAGCACCCCATGATTGGGTCTCTTTTGTGTAGATGAACCAGAATTAGATTAGTATAGCAGTATCCATTACAGAATTCAAGTCTGGTGGATCTACAAAATTGCAAAGGCATTGAATGCAAAAGAAAATTCAATATCCAAGATCATAACTCAAATAACATATACACTTTTTCATCTATATCTGATATTTAAAAAGTAACTTTGCATTTAAAGCAATAAGAATATATAGCTTTCATTACCAAATGAATATATATATTTATATTATCAACCTTACTACAAGGTTCTGGTCTGGGTTGGATTAGAACTACCCAATGTTTGGTTTGATCCAATTAAAACTTGACATCAGGACACTAAAATGTTAATCCAAATATAATCAGGAAGGATTTAAATCTTTGACATGATGCATTACAGCACATCCACCAGTAGAGCAGTTCATCTACGAATTTGAATTATTCAATGCATTTTCAACGTGAAGAAATATTGCAATATTGAAGCAACAAAACAATAAAGCAAAACACCTCAATAGTCAGGTACAACAAATGGAGGCCAAGCGGGGATAATCAAACTACTCCCTAGTCCCTAGTTTCTCTTGCAAAGTTAAAAAACAAATAACTGAGCCACAAGTTAATTGTGTAATGCAGATAATAAAAGGCATAACATTTTTAAATTAAAAAAAGGTAACATTCTCCTACATCAGGAATCCCAAATCTAAATCAGCCGGTAAGATTTTTTGCATGGAACTGGTAATGAAATAACAATTGCCACCTTAACGAGCCATACGTAAACAAGAAAAAGAAACGTAATCAAAATGAGATTCGAAGGCATACTTGGGGCCAGTGCAACCCATTGTTGTTCCCAAACCTCCATTAAGCTTTAGCACCACAAGTTTGTCCAAAAGCTTCTTGATCTCCGCAGGATCTTTATAGATCAAGAATTCAAGAACCATAACCATAAGCATTTTACAATTCACAAATGTGAATCGCTAAATAAACAGAAAAATAAAATGAAAGAAAATTTAAGATTAAGATTACCGTCAGGAGTAGGTGCCAAGCCATCATAAGGGACCACTACTTCATCAGTAGGAGTCTGGATCTTACTCCACTCCACATGATCTGCTTCTCCTCCACTGTTACATGTTGTTGGATAACATTCAAACACAAAGATTCAATCAACATACACAAATTCATTAGGATTTGAGTCTCAAACTGATCATCATTTTCTCATCAACCAAACAGACCAAAACAAACAAACAAACAAATTCGATTCGCTTCACTTCACTTCACCTGACATAACGAGAGACGAGGTTGATGAATCCATTTTTCTCATTGTCGCTGCAAAAACGAACAAAATCAAGCTCAGATCACATAGGAATCAGAAATTCACAACTTGATCCAACGAGAAACTAGACTAGCGCACCTGATTTGGCTCAGAGCAGCGACTTCAGATTTCAGTTTGTCGATGTTAGCGGTAGCTACAGCAGCCATTGGTGAAGCAACGCAAAAGCTTCAAAATTCTAGAGAGAGAACAAAAAAGAAACGATAGATGTGAGCTTCGAAAGTCGCGAGAGAGAGAGAGGTGATGATATTGATGCTGATATTGATATAAGCTGTGTGAACCTTGCAGAATGAGAGTGACTTTGAGATTTGGAAAAATTGGATATGTGTTTGTACTGTAGGATGCAGGACTAAGTGAGATTTGGCAAAGTGTATATAGTTAACGTAAAACAGTGCGTTGGTTTCGTTGCGTAGTGATTTTTGATTTTTGTGGGGTAAAGAGGTTGGTTTATATAATAACGAATAATGAAGATGGGTTTGGTTTTTGGGGCAACGAATATGCAGGCGAATATGACGTTTTGGTTCCGCTTCGTCCAGTCTCAGAAAAGAGTGGCGCCTCTTTTACGCCAACATTGACACCTCACTTTCCCCGTCCCACCAGTTTTGGGTTGCCACCTATCTAATCTGACCGTCTGTCTGTCTGAACAGTTGTTCCTCTCTCCCTCTAGTTTCCAATTTCCAATTCTATTTTGCTACCTTTGACAATTATTCTCTTTTATCTTCTTTTTGTTCCTATGGAACATCTTTTGATTATCAGTTGTTCTACTACTATCGCATTGGGTGGATAAATTTGCATTCTATGAACAACTGTCAATCGTTGATGCAGTAAAGTCGAATCACTCATCTATTCCGACCCCATACACTTCCTAGAGAGGAGTAAGGCCCACGGGTGTTATCAGGTCCAAAAGCAAACCTACCATACTTATATGTAGCCCACAATTGAGAAAGCCCAAACAGGCAAATACTTGTAGTCCAAGTTTTATATTTGAAGCCCACTCCATGCTCCATCAGAAATTTGGCCCACACACTCTACCTAGCACTAGCAGCGCCCAAGCCACCCCATTCAATTGGTCTGCACTTCACTTCACCCGTTATGGAATTGCGTAGGCCCAAAAAATAAAAAGGCTCACAATGAGCATAACATACGTCGATCTTGAAGTTTTCATAAAGACAAAAACAATAGAGAGTGTTCTCAAGTTTCATAAATTTTGGGTATCTGTAACTCAAACATTTCAAGTTCAACTCCAATAAAATTAATATTTGTTAAAGAATTTTTAGTGCTTGAGAACTCTAAATTTACAGGTTCAACGACTGAAAAATCAAACTCTTGAAAGTTGTCAAACCCATACCTAACTTCACAAGTAGTACCATAAATAACTATTACTTCTTAATGTGGAAAATAATATTGTTCCAATATCTTCAAATACCCAAAGCTTTTCAATCCTTGAATAATACATTTTATGGTCACCCATTGGAGATGGATGTCGAGGGGTGTGGAGAATTCGTACGTCTGCTCAAAAGACCTTCGGCACCATGAAACTAAGAAAGAAGATAGTCGTAGTATTTGGACACAAATGTGTGGTTTGAGTCAAATAGCTTATGATGTCTAAGTTAGTTCTACTGTATGGAGAGAAAAATAGAGTTTCTTAGTTCAAGGAACAATTATCTTCGTTAAGAGGCGTAAATTGGTTTACATTTAGCTTTTTGGAGGCTGGTTTATTACCGTGAGAAGCTACGTGTTAGTGTTAATAAAGGTGTAACGACTCGTTAATGTGTATGTCAAGTCAATTAGCCGTTTAACTTGGGATGTATGAGATATTTACCCAAAATAAGTGATCCCCTTAATTATTGATGTTGCAATTATTAGGGAGATCTCAAAGATTTGGGCTAATCTTTTAGGGCATGCAACCTAAAGGATAAGTTATATTAGGCTAACTTCCACATGAGCTTTTATTTGACAAAAAGGCCTTAATGGACCTTTCCATGTTTCATGGGCTCAAGCAGAGCCCACGCTTCCCATTACCCCGACAAAGGAAGAGACATATGACAGCCATAAGCAATAATGCCCACTCCTCATAATTAATGGGCGATAAGATGTATCACATCTTCTCATGCCATTAACCAAGGGCAATTTGGTCTGTATGGTGGCCTTTTAGTCCACATGACACCTTATTAAAATTTATCTATCACATTATATGGGACCTAAATTGGCAAGTTCGGAATAAACGGAGCAAAAAGAATCAACAATTCCAAGGAGAAGTTAGAAGTACGGGCACTTGGGAGAGTATTCTTAGGAGTATTGCCCTAGCAAAGAGCTAAAAAGAAGTAGTAACGAAAACATAGGCAGAAAAAAGATTATGTTATTGAGTTCCCCCTAAGCGCAAGTAGCTCCCTGACTTGGGTTAGCGCGCCCCTATTAGTCAAGGTTTGATTTGACGCTAGCTCCTACCCTATAGTTTGAAACTAGCTCTGAATCAGAGAAGCTAGCATAGCATAGTGAAAATATGCTCGACTTTTGAATTTAAAATTGATCTACCACATTATTTGGGACCTAAATTGGTTTACAAATTTGATTTCCCTAGCATTAGGCAGTCGATTAGGTGCCAAAATTTCATAACTTCGTCAGTTTTGCTTATTTGGTCAAATCTTTTTCGTATAAGTAATCTCTGATATGTTTGTTGAAGATCTCTTGTACCTTATAGAGTCTAAGTTCTTCAAGCTATAGAAAGCTATAGAAAGCTATAAAGTTCCTAACTTTATGAATACTTTGTAAATTCTTTATAACTATGAACCAAACTATTGCAAGTCTCGAACTAGAAAAATTGAAGTGATTTAAACTCAAACTGTTTTTCAAAAGTGGCACAAAAATCCAATTACGTCGGAACACAATGGCAACTTTTTTTCTTTTAATTTTAGCCACAAGCTCAGCAAATCTTCCATCTTAACCCATCTCTTTCATCCAATCTAGAAAAATAATGCTTCTGCCACTAAAATTGGTTTATTATTTTTGTCCAAAGCTGATATATTGGTCATAGGTGTAGTGGAGGAGAGAGAGAGAGAGAGAGGAAAAAAAACAGGGGAAGATGATGACGCCAGTATTATGGATAGCTGAGCAACGTCCAATCAGAAAACGTCAGCTGGAAGCGAATATGAAAAGAAATATTAAAAAAACAAGAAAAAAGGGTCACCAGTTTCAGCCACAAAGCGAATATCTAAAGCGAAAGATCTTGAGCCTCTCGTTGAATTGTTGAATGGAGGCTTCCACGATCTTCGACACCTGGCGCTGCGCAAAACAGCTCTATCAAATGCGCTTAATTTACCCAAATACCCTTACAAAACTTGTGGACAGAAACTTTTTACTATTATAATCGTGGGTCCAGCTGCGCGTGAGTGGCCTAGAACCATCCATGGTCCCTTTCACACGTGGCGGAGGAGGTGGGCTGGGGCGGTCAGTGGCGATGACGTGGCGAAAAGCGCAGAAAGAGAAAGTGCACATGAGCTCAAACTCGACACAACCTCATCTTCTCTCTTCTTTTTTTTCTTTCTCTATTTGGGTTTTTAATGTAATCCACAACTCTTGGCCTACGCCTACCGTTGGTTTCTCTCTCTCTCTCTCTCTCTCTCTCTCTCTCTCTCACTATTTTATAGGCTGCAGATATTTTTAGCTTTTCTCCAGGCCACAAATATCGTTTGGAGCTTTTTTATTTTCACTATCTTATTTTATTTGTTTTATTTATTTATTTTTTATATCCACACAGTGGTTGATCTCCCCTTGTTGGTGTAGGCGATGAAGTAGATTACTCGCTACCTATAATTTCAGACGACTAAACTATTTTCTTTTTCTTTTTGTTTCTGCTGAGCAACTTTGGAACTAAATATTTTATAAAATACAATCTCAACTATATTTTAAATGTCTTCACTACTAAATTTAGACATAATTGAAATCTTAATTGAAAGAATAGATACTGGTTGGATTTATATCTAGAGTATTAAACTTAATTAAAATTTCCGTCCAAAAACAATTTATAATTCACACCATATATCGAGCAACTAGTTTTATTAAAAAAAACTAAGAATAATAATAATTAAGTAATTAAGTGTACAACACTTAGAAATAGGAGAAAAACAAATTTATACGTGGCGAGAAATGTATTCATCTAATAAAAAAAGTGATGGTTTTTTATCATATATACTGAATTTTTTATACATAAAATGTGATTCAAACACCTTAAGCATCATATTTCGGATTCGCCTCATTTACTTGAGTTTTCACTGTTTGGATCTCATAAACTTTTAATATAAGCTTACCAAGACAATAAAATACAATCTAAAGGTTAAAATTTTGACTTTTAAAATTAAAATTGCAATAATTACATATGTAAATAAAACAATCGTCACATTCTCAAAACTTCTTCAGAATAACGATACTGCAACAAGTCAATCTGTGAAATACAATAGACTTTAAATTTTTGTTTTTATGTTTGGGTTAAAAGACTTGAAACTTCTTTAATTTTTCAAAAAAGGAGTGAATTGAAAAAAAAAAAAAAAAAAAAAAAAAAAAAAAAAAAAAAAAACGAAAAAATTGGTTTTTCCATAATCGTGCACTGGATAATGAATAAGATATGGAGATAGAAGTGACTTGGCTGAAGCGCACGTGTGTGTGAGCCAGAAAAGCGCGACTACGATAATGTAATGATTTCGCTGCGAGTACAGCCCCTGTCCCTGGTGCCTCTTTATCCCGTGGTGGCTGAATTTCTCGCACCCAAAAAAGTCACTATATATCGCAAAAGCGAGGAGGAGACAAGACAGGCGGCTGCCACGTGTCAAGGGCCTCCGTCGTCCTGAGCCACAAGATTCCATCGAATTCTCGAGAGTTCCGTTTCACAAAACAAAATTAAAATTCATCAATAACAAAAAAAAAAGAAGGCAAAGACTGATGCTGACGTGTCACCACCTGGTTTCTTATTTTTTTTCTCATCACTCACACACAACCCTACACTATTCAACTCTCTCTCTCCTTATTTTGCTTTCTTCTACCTTCCTCCTCCTTCTTCTGGTTCAGTTTTATCTACTTGGGTTTTGCTCTTTCCTCCGTCCAAATGAAACCCAGTTCTTGTTTTCTTCTTGAAAGCAAGAAATCGTTTCCAATTTTTGAGGTCCTGTGAGCTAAAAGCAATGGAGCTGTTTGACCAAAAACCTGGCTTTAGATTGTGAAAGTCGAGTTTGGGGAACAAATAAAATGGATCCAAGGCCGTATAGAATTAGCTGTCTGAACAGAAAGAGTGTAAATTTATGAGTATTTTCTTCTTGTATGAGTGTGGGGAAGATAGAGACAAGGGTTTGTTTTGGATTTTGCTTGCTAGAGGAGTGAGGGAAAACGGTGTCGTATCTCACAGAATTAAGGAAGAGGTCAACTTTGCATGGTGGGTGGATTAATGCTCTCTCCAGATATGGATGCTGCTCAAGTATGTATGCACAATTTTTTTTTTACGTTTTATGTTATAATATAACTGGCACGCTCTGTTTTAGTGGTCATGTGAAATTATTGATGGATCGCTGAAATTTCCATTTATGTTATAAGATATCAGCTATCAATTTTTATATATACAGTTTCTTAATTAACTGTGGATGCTTCTCATTTCTATGAGATTTAATTAAATTTAGAGAATTTCTGGCAGTGCTTTGAAGGGGTAGATAAATTATAATAACCCCCCGTTTATTTATTTAATTTAGTTTAATTATATTGAAAACTTAGGAAAATTTTGTTGTGTCGGGTGGTGATTGAAGAAGAAGAAACATTTTTGATCTTGTATTGTTGTTTCTTGGTTATGTTATGTAGGATCAATATGATGGTAGTCGTTCAGAAAGTGTTCTCTCAGCAAACAATGGGGTTTCATTTAGTGTTTCTGGGCTCCAGTTGAAGGATCAGCTCTCTAATGGAAATGACTCTGCTCCCAAGGTTTTTCAATTTTTATTTTTATTTTTCCATTTTTCAATTTTAGTTTTCATTAAGATTTTGATTAATTGTCGTTCAACATTCACTCACTTGCCTTATCTTGGTTTTAATAGGCGAGAAAACCATACACAATCACAAAACAAAGAGAGAGATGGACAGAGGAAGAGCATAAGAAATTCCTTGAAGCTTTAAAGCTGTATGGTCGAGCCTGGCGAAAGATAGAAGGTATATTTGCATTAAAAGTAGGGAGTTTCACTAAAACACCCAAAATGGGGACTGAAATTATAAAAAAACCCAACACCCAAAACACTTTATAAACACACCCAAAACCCATCATTACACACACTCAAAACCCATTTATAAACACACCCAAAAAATATACAATTGTTGATCTTGGGGTTGATTTTGGGTGTGTTTCTATGTTTAAATAGTGCTTGGGCTTTTTTATAAATACATGTCTAGGATTGGGTTTATTTATAAATTTGTATTAAAAGTATCACTGGCAATATATGAATGAGTTGAGTATGTCAGTTGTGAAAGCTGGCTGGAGATGCATTAAGATATTACTTAACAATCTTATCATCTATCCGCGGTCCACTGAAAATATTCTGTTTGGATGACAGAGCATGTTGGCACCAAGACTGCAGTTCAGATTCGAAGTCATGCTCAAAAGTTCTTTTCTAAGGTTTACTGCTCTTATTCCAGTACCCTTCATTCTCTCTCATAGTATCTATAATCCCATATATTAATGTAAGTTAAACTTTATTGGCTCAAGGCATGCAAATCATACTTGAAGGGTTGATGCTTTCCTGCTTGATGTTGCTCTCTGACTCCTCAAGTTTGTCTTTGTCGTAGGTTGCTCGTGACTCGAATGGCAGCAACGTAATCTCAGAAGAGCCCATTGACATCCCTCCTCCTCGACCAAAACGGAAGCCAATGCGTCCTTATCCCCGAAAACTTGTACACCCTGTTAATAAAGAGACCTTTATTGTAGAGCGGCCAACAAGGTCTGCATCTCCAAATTTATCAGTTTCGGAGCCAGAAAACCAGTCTCCAACATCAGTATTATCTGTGATTGGCTCAGATACACTGGGTTCCGCTGATTCAAATACACCCAGTCGTAGTTTATCACCCGTTTCGTCTGCTGCTGATGTCCACGGTGTGGACTTAAATCATTCTGAACCCCCCAACCCATCACTGGAGGAAAGTGGATCTACATCACCAGCTGTAGCAGAAAATGGTTCACTTCCTAACATGCAATTATCAATGGTATATGCTTATCCTTTTGCATATCTGTCCAATTTATTATGAGCCCTTTATGAGATATTGATACTCTACTGGTTGTGTTTGGTGAAAATTTCCAGAAGCTTGAGTTATTTCCCACGGATAATGTTGATGCTAGTGGAGTTTCAGCTGAGGAGGTATCCGCACGAAGCCTTAAACTCTTTGGAAGAACTGTATTGGTCACGGATTCCCACAGACCATCTTCTCCGACCATGGGAACTTCTAAATCACTGCCTTCTGATGTGAAAGAGGAGAAACCTGTGCAGACATCAACACCATGTAACTTTACAGCTACAGAATCTGCATCTGGGAGTGTGGAACATGTTTGGGATAATTTTCCCTATGGAGTACATCCAGGCATGTATTTTATGCAATTTCAGAATCAGAACTCAAATCTGGTAGAATCTGGTTCTGCTTATCCTGTACCTTGGTGGAGTTTATGTCCAAAATTGCCATTTCCTTTTATTCCATTCCATGAGCCACAAGCAGTAAAAGAACATTTTGATGGTAATCTTGGAGATCCTAAGGAAGTTGAGAAGGAAGGGTCTTGGACTGGTTCAGATGCTGGATCAGTCAACGATGAGGAAAACGGTGACAAATGTCTAGGTATTGAGACTGAGGGTAAAGAACAAGAGCCAAATTCGGTTCTCCAATTTAAGGCAAGTGCAAACTCGGCCTTCTCTGAATTAAGAGCAAGCCCTAGCCCTGGAAAGTGTAGAAAAGGATTTGTACCGTATAAAAGATGTTTGGCCGAGAGAGACACCTCTACATTAGCAAGTGAAGACAGGGATGGGAAAAGAGTCCGCCTTTCCTTGTAGTGTCCTGCTATTGAGGTTTGTCGTAGAATCTTTCTATGTTAGTTAAGAGGTCTTTTTTCACAGAACAAGGAACTTGTTTCTGGTACCGTTTAGTTTAAGATGTGACCAGTTTCAGCTGCTGGTCTCAAAATGGGAAAAATTTATGTGGTACCGTTTAGTTTAAGATGTGATCAGTTTCAGCTGCTGGTGGATGACCCAAAATGGGAAAAACAGTAGTTGCATTGCTGTGGCCTTGCAGATTCTATTATGGTAGTTCTGGTTTTGACCTCTTAACCGTGTAAAGGCAAGCTTGCCATTTCTTGTATGTTTCATATCTCCTTGTTTTGCTTTTACAACCAGCACTTGGTAGTACTAGCTTTTGTATTACTTTCCATTCTTTTTCCTTCTTTGTAAATATGAAGTTCATATAGTCTCAGTGTTAACATTTATGAGTTGAAGAGAAATATTCTTCGAATAAAGTGTTAACTATTGAGTATTCTTTGCAGAGAGTAAAGGAAGAGAGCAAAACGTGAATCAACAACTATCTTATGCTTTGTTAAGACAAGCCTAAGTTGGACCTATTTTTTTCCGGTCAAGAGCCTAAGTTGGACTTTGATGGTTAAACACCGTAGTTTGGGCTTCGGAACAGAATGAACAAAAATTGGCTCTTGGGTTTCTAGCCTACTTAGGCCATATCCAGTCATAGGACTAAATGTAGTACATGATTACAAATTTAGCCCCTCAAAATATTAATTTTTTAAAGAATAGTGCATGGCCAAATTTTTCCATCTATAGTCATGTATAACTATATTTTAGGGTCCTTCATATTTTATTATTTTGAAAAGGGGAGTGAGGAGTGCTTTAATGATTGGTTGTTGAAAAGCACATGGATGGAGCCCACTATAAATTTAGCTTAGGCCAAAGCTAGGCTACATTTGGCCCGGTTGGAAGGCTAAGAGGCCAAATGTGGCCCTCCAAATTTGGCCAAAATTTTATTTAGCCCATGACTGGAGATGAGTTTTGCATTACGGAAAGGCTATAATGAGGGCTTAAAGTGAGGAGGTTATTTGAGGAGGTCAAATTTCATCATCAACAATGTAAAGAAATCATGGGACTTAAATATTTTAAATGTTTTGACGGTCAGATCGGTCTCCTCAAATAACCTCCTCATTTTAACTCATCATTGTAGAAGCTCCCTTTGCATTAATTAAAGGCTATATTTGGGATATAGCCCATGGCTGGAGATGGCCTTAAGTTGCAACACCACTTGGCTACATTTTTCCTCTCCCTACTCTTTTTGTATTTCTAATTTTTTTTATAGCGAACAAATATAAACAATTCTCAGGGTGTAGGGATAAACAATGTTAATCACTTTTTAATTTTTTTTTAATGTTTTATATCAAAGATAAACTTGAACAGTACAATCAAATAGATCACATGTGACCTAAATGAACCCTACTACCACCACCATCACCTAAAGAAATGCCTTCATGGCCACACCTACCACCACATTCGTAACGGATCTGGGAAAAGTATAATTTCCAGCGATCAACATGCGCATAATAGCAAACAAATAAACGAAAACAACAACTATGCCAAAAAATAATTTGGTGATTTGCAGCAACCTTCGTCAAAGACAATGTAGACTTAAAAGAAAGCATGAGCAGTGTTAGAGAGCGGATTTTGAGAGGGATGTGATTGAGAACATAACCTAAAAGGAGTGATTGGGAACTTTAATAAGAGTATGGCTCATAAGAAATCACCACAAAGGGCTTCTTATTCAAAACGCCCCAATGAACTTATTCACTAACCCAAAAGAAAAAGACGAGAAGAGAAGATTAGGAGAAGGAGCATTGATGCTTCTTTCTCCTCCCCTCTCTACGAATTTTTTCCTTTGGGACTCATAGAGAGAGAAAGCGGCTAGAGTTTTTTCTCCCATAAATTGTCACCATACATCTTGCTTTTTTCTTTCTTCGTAGTGAGTAAGAGCAACTCCAGCGTGCATGGGCGAAGGGGGTTTTAGGTCCAAAACTACCTTCCAGCGGACAAAAGATGCTCGGGCTGTGGGTGGGCTCCACAAGCCTAGGCTGGCCCTCAGGCAAAATCAGCCCTCAGTCCAACTTGGGTTTGCTGATGTCAGTGATGACATCAGCAACCAAAAAAAAAAAACTAAAAATTTCAAAATTTTAAAAAAATAAATACTTAGTCATATTTTTCACTTCCCACATCAAAACTCTATATAAATTCCTCTCTTTATATCTTATGTGAATAGTGGTTGTCATGGCAACGGATGGAAACACACTTTGTAGTAGCTGCCCTAATCCCCCCTTGCCATAGCAAAGGAAAAATGGGTGGAGTTGCTCTAAAAAGGATTATATAGTTTGCAATATAATATTTGTTGTGTACCGCATACGTTGGTGTGACAACTTTGGGCCATATTCTCTTGCTAATTCTCAAATTCCTTTCAAGTGGCAATTATTTTCACGAGGTATTATAACTCAAGCGATTAAGAATACTTATTCTTGCATTTGATGTCCTAAATTCAGTAAGCAAAATAATGGTGATTCTTTTCTTTCATATTTATATATATAAAAAACACATAGGTGAAAAGGACTTTTAAAAAATGATAAAACGAATGGTATGGTGTGAGCCCCGACGAGAGCGACAGCGTCCCACGAGGTGAAAAGCAAAAAACATTACACTCACTCGAGACTTCCGTCTATTACTTCATTTATAGCATCTTTGGCACTGTGTCTCTTTCTCTCCTCCATCATTCGCTTTACTCACTCACTCACTCACTCTACTTCCTGGTAAGAAGAAAGCAAATTCAGAACCCCAAGACAAACATAAAACAAAAACAACAAAAAACCACATCAAGAAATGTCACCAACACTGCAGCTGCTGCTGCTGCTGCTCCTCCTCCTCACATTTCTAGCCTCCACAGCCCTCTCCCACTTGCCTTCATCCTCCGTCACTACCACCACCTCGCTCTCCATCTCCGACTGGCAGTCCGCACGCGCCACCTACTACGCCGCTTCGGACCCCCGCGACGCCGTCGGCGGCGCCTGCGGCTACGGAGATTTGGTGAAGGCCGGCTACGGCATGGCAACGGTGGGGCTGAGCGAGCCTCTGTTCGAGCGCGGCCAGATCTGCGGCGCGTGCTTCGAGCTCCGCTGCGTCGACGACATGCGCTGGTGCATTCCGGGCACCTCCATCATCGTCACCGCCACCAACTTCTGCGCCCCTAACTACGGCTTCACCGCCGACGGTGGGGGCCACTGCAACCCTCCCAACAAGCACCTGGTTCTCCCCATCGAGGCCTTCGAGAAGATCGCCATTTGGAAAGCTGGCAATATGCCCGTCCAGTATCGCAGGTAAAGTTGGTTATTGTTTGCTTATTAATTGGTTTTTGGGGCTTCCAATTTTGTTGCCTTAAACTTTACTCTTTCTTAGTTTTAGATTGGAGACCAAAACTAATAAATTCCGGAAAATAAAAAATAAAAACGGGACTTTGGCATCACACTGTCTTAAATGTGAATTTATTATCAGAAAAAAGCAAATGTGAGGCGAGTGAAACTGAAAATGGTAACTTTTGGATTCAACAGCAAGTTTTAGAGAGGCAAATCGGGTAGCAGATCAAACCCTAATGGCTTATATAGGATGCCGAAGTAGTTTTAATCGAATACGAACCCTAATGAGATACGAAGATGAATAAGGGGTCTCAATCAGAGTAAGAATCTTCGTGGAATAGAAAGATGACAAAGAAGGTTTGCTGAGGCAACTCTGATAGAACAACTTCACACACACACTGGTCCAGGATTTTGTGGCATTTGGGTACATGGGAATGTATTTGGATCTCTCTCACCTTTGGCACCAATGAGGCATCTTACCTCACATGACTCAAATAGGCTGCTAGTTGCAGAAAAATGAGGAAATACTGTCAAGACGAATTTCATTTATTTGAACCATGCAAATACTACACTGCGGAATTGAAAGGTCCATTTTTGGATTTGTTCTAAAAAAGAGAAGACAAGAAGAAATCTTGAAAAATAAGATTTGTGCAAGTCTAAAGAACACTTTACCAAGTTATAAACCTAGCTTAACTCTGTATTTAAGTTCTGGAATAAGTCGTACCACTTGACGTCTACAGTTGGGAACACGTATGATAGGGAGGACTAGAGTAGACTAGACTAGCAAAATGCCTACATCTCACGTGCATTCAAGGCATAATATGGATATTTTGTTTAACTTGGAGGAATAATGGGGACTATCTATAAGAGGTTGATGACTAAAACTTATCCCCCCCAATCCTCTTGAAAATGGTGGGATTAGAGGGATAAGTTTTAGTCATCAACCTCTTATGAATAGTCCTCCTTCACACTCCAAATTAGACAACAATATCCATATTATGCCTTAAATACACATGAAATGTAGACATTTTGTTAGTCTAGTCCAGTCCTCCCTAAGAAACGAGGCCTAGGAGTCTAAAATTCTGTGTGATGTTCATTTTATGACAAAACCCGTGTTTTTTTTTGTGCATGTTCGAATCAGCACTTCCAGTTGTGATACTTGGCATATATACTCAAATTGCTGAGCTGTCAGTGTCATCCCCCATTTATATGATATTAGCCTAAAGCATTCTTAACAACAGACAAATGTCTTCTCTCATCCTGAGATCTGTTATTCTTGTTAAATCTGTTTAAAACAGGATCAAGTGTAGAAAGGAAGGAGGAGTTCGTTTCACCATAGATGGTTCTAGTATCTTTATCTCAGTGCTGATCACCAATGTCGCTGGTGTTGGAGACATAGTTTCTGTGAAGATCAAAGGTTCAAGAACAGGTTGGCTTCCAATGGGACGAAATTGGGGCCAAAACTGGCATGTCAGTGCTGATCTAAAAAACCAACCTCTTTCTTTCGAGGTCACTAGCAGCGATGGGCTCACAGTTACATCTTACAACGTAGCTCCCAAGGCTTGGAACTTTGGACAGACATTTGAAGGGAAGCAGTTCCTGTGAGCACCATTTTGACTAAATAGCGTTAAGGGAACCATTTTCCTAATCTTCCTTTGTCATATTTATTCTAGTTTTCCTTCAGTGGAGAATTAGTTAGATTGCGGATGATATTGTTGTACAAAGATATATATCAAAGCTTAGTTATTAAAAGGCACCAGAAAGTGAACTTGGATGCTTGAGGAGTAGCTGATGCTCAGCACATGCTGCAGAATAATCGTAGTTGTGTGCAGTGCGGTGTAATTCCTTAGGTGAGATCAGGTAGGGGCTTGGCGAAAGTGAACTGTTATAGGGGCTTGGATATCCATTGATGAACATTGGTGCTCTGATTATGGCAGTGTGCTGGCGGGGCTTTTAAGTCTGATTCGTAAGTGCTGATAAATTGCTTGGTTTTGGCTCTGAAGATGGTTGTTTCCTCGATTGAATTCGTAGGTCCTGCTATCAAACTTCTTGCAGAACTTTCTTTGAGCTTCATGTAGTTTTTGTTAGGCATGTTTGGGAAAGTGTTTGCTGTTCATTAAGGGGGCAGCCTAAGCTACCATTTGAAAAAAAGAAAGGAAAAAAAGAGAAGAACAAGACTTGTCATCTCCAAATTTTTACCATTAAAATCTTAGTACATATTTTACCCTTATCTAGCATTTGATTGATACATTGATTTTTCAAAAGTTCGATTAAACAATCCAAAGTGGGAACTCAAATTCAAATTCCTCATTTCCAATCCGTCTAAATGGACCTTCAGATTGAAGTTGCGGTCACCCACTTGGAAGGATTTTATACTTTCATAAACGAATGAATTATGAAATACACTTCATACCAAAACTCTTCAGATTGCAAAGAGGACAACATCATTAAATAAAGGCACAAAGTCCCTTTCCGTCCCCCTATAGTTTATCGGATTTTCCACTTTTGTCCCTATGGTCTCAATTCTCAAACTCTTCACAATACACCCACAAGCAAGTTCAGAATCAAAACCTTAGAGATCTTATTAAAACATGATACCTCCATCTTTAATCTAATGAAACGACCTGTCATGAGTGCTACCACTTCGTGCAAGGGACGTGGAAAATTGCCCTACCACTCCCCACCTCAGCTCCAACCGTTCACACCAGACATTTTCTTTAGAAAGGCTTCTTCACTCATTCCACTCACCTAAGTTCCAAACGCATCTCCCCATTCTAAGCATAAATTCCAATCCTAAAAGCCAAAAAGTGAAAGGGCATGGATTTGAATTCAACCTTAAGTATCACTGTATCAGTATCAGAAAAATCATCACATTACTATAATTGGTTGCATGACAAGGACATAATTCAACCGAGAAGAATATAATTATAAGGACCCTGCTAAGTGTTCCATAAAGAAACCACTCCACTCTATTATGTTAGTCCTGGAAAACAATTGATGTATATATCAAGTGATGAGCAAACATCACATAAGCATCATGAGACCTTGTTTCCAGACAACCACAAAAATCGCTGTTTCCAAATCTCTCAGTTGCATCATATAACACCAGAACCCAAGCTGTAAAATAATAATTTGACACCCGAGACTGACAGAACCAGAGAAAAAGGACAGAGGATGCACCTAAAAGGTACACTCAGCAAAGTACTTATTGAGAGTTGAAGTAAGTTCAATGCTGGTTCTAAAGTTTACTTTTTCGCCATACCAAAAATACAATATTGATGATGCTCCTTAAAATGAGAATCTTTTGCAGTTTGCGCATGGTGTATATGAATCTGTTTAGAACAATCTAAAAATGGGATGAAAAAGATAATATTTTGTATATATGGATGCATATGGCAACAAATTCATCATGATGTTATACTCTGTTTTGTTTCAACTTCATGAAAATTTTATACTCTCTCTCTCTCTCTCTCTCTCTCTCTCACATGCATTGTCCACACCCACAAAACAGTCCTGAAAAACCTTTATTTTCTAATTTCTTTTTCTATTTTCTTACCCAATAAAATCCTAAGCCAACTATTCTCAACAATCACTGCCCTTCAAGTGTCCTCCAAAAGTGCCATAGAACCCTGTTTTTCTGCACAGTAGAAATTCCCGCTTTAACCTATAATTTCAAATCTTAATTCCAGCCCCTAAACCCTAAACTACTCCTATCTTAAGCCATTAACCAAAATTTACCAATATATAACACCTAACTCACATGCATGATGCACCAGCAAGATTTGACCATCATATTCAGCACTTGATAGCTTTCTCTCTAATTTTTGTGTAGTCAGTTCCAATATTGTTGCCATATTATCCAATAAAAATATTTGTTTAAAGTATAGTTGGAAAGAGGCTTGGTGTATGCTTCATTCTATCCCTTCTAGATTCATCCGGTATAAAATCATCAACATAGGATAACTTCTCAATTCTTCATGAAATAACTAGATTGTCTGTCCACCCCAACATCCTCAAATCTCAAGTTGAAGTGAAAGAGCCATTTACATTATCTAACTAATAAAAAGTAAATTGAGATTCCTACTGTTTGTTGAATTTGGGAATTATGTTTGCTGCCAATTGTTTTAGAGTAAGAACAACACGGAAATTTAAGGAAAAAGCTACAAGAAAACGTAGAAACTACTAGCAGCACACTAGTAGGGTTCTAGGAGTCGCTCCTAGACCTTGCATCTCACCTAGGGTTATATTGCACCACACAATCCTGGAGAGAAGCATATACTTGCTAGACATAGAGTTCTGTAATGACCTTAGGCTTCTATGTCTTTCATACTCCCAACCAACTTTACTTTCAGGTTTCCATCACAATAAAGGCATAAAAGAATAATGCTAAAAAGATATTAACAACTATGAGTTCTAGGTTTCCCATTACAATAGAGACTAATAAAAGATATTAAACACTGGTCATACACCACAACAAAACCATTAAAAAACAAACTCTTGGGTTGTCACTGTGCAGCTGCAAATACAACCCAAAAAGAGAGACAGGTATGACTGAGCTTTTGCCATCCAATAATATATAAGTTCCAAGCATACAGTCTTACCTGGAGGCAAGCAATTTGATTCCAAACACAGCTAGCTCAGTCATGTTGTAATATTTAGGGAGGTGTCACTAGTGTTCTATACAAGGCAATATTATAACTGTTAAGCTATCTCTTAAAATTTCCTTATGGTAATATAATTTCTGTCATCTTTAATAACTTTTCCTAAAGAGCGCAGTACTTTTATGAATGCCAAGTCCATAAACCTTGCAAACAAATAGAAGCTGCAAGCTTCATGTGCATTGGTCATACGTTCATAAGTATTACTTCAAAATATGCTGCACAACCACAAAACTCACTCCAGACTTAAAGACAACACTGAAGGCACAACAGAAGTGAATCAACAAAAACTTCCATGTCTGCTGTAATCTACAACAAGGCGGAATGGGAAAAAGGACATGTATATCCTATCCAGGTAGATCTTTTTGAATTGTTTCACTTCAACATTAGATGTGAATTGTCCGAGTATAGACTACATAATACAAGTGGATGTAAGTATATTCAATATTCAAATATATGCAAAGCAGATACAAATGAATTTCAATCTCAATTACTATCTCACATAAACTATACTGAGTTAATCCGAGGCCAAGAGAGAAAACCTGGCAGAAACCGTAGATGCAAGATAAGAGGAGGTGGAAGAGAAACCAACCAACCTCTCACAAGAATCAAAAGCTCTCACTGTATGAAATCGAACCACCGAGCCAGAGCAGAACATTATACTAAAAGAAAACAGAGAACAAAAGAATCAAATCAAAGCTTCTGATGAGATTCGATGAGCAATGCATGTAGCATGATATGAAGTGCAGCTTCATAGACAGGCATATCATAATGCATCCCATCAACCGTGCATCGAACTCCGCAATTCCAACTCAAGGACTCAATGTCCAGCAACAACAGGGGACCACCGGCTTTGCGCAAAATCTTACTATTGTGAAGCTCCTTATCATACTCACCACGCATTGCATCAGTCATCTTCTCCCTCTTCTCCTCTGTATTCAACATCGAGTTTATCAACGTGGGCATGCCAATCCAAAACAAGTGGGGCGATCGGGCCGAAACAAAGCCGGAGCCGGAGCTGGTTACCGGCCTGTCGGAGCCGGTATCTGGCGAAAATGGCAACAAAGACACAGAAGCACTCCTTAGTGATTGTAATTGAACACCAAAATCTGATGCGTTGGTGAAGTGAAGCATGTGCCAGAGCCCAGAACCCATCACCAACACATCTGGGTAGTTGCGATTTCGCTTGAAACCGTTGACCAGATTGGTCAAATTGACAGTGTAAGGAGCCCAGATGAAATCCAATCGCATCCCAATCTCACTCACCACAATCTGATAATCACTGTGCCTCTTAAACAGATCTCTATTAACCTTCTCCAGAGGCCCAGAATCCAAAACCAGACTCAACAACGAAAGCGCCACAAGCCTGGCTTGAGAGTCACCAGCCACCACAACCCAGGATCCGTTGAGCAGATCAGAGGCGTCAAAACGCCCTAGTTTCTGAAACCCGCATGCAGAAACGGTAGAGGAAGAAGTCCAAGCCCACGACTTGTCGTAATTGACGGTGTTGTTGTCGAGGGGGTTGAAATTGGGGGAGGGGGTGACCTCCCAAACGACGTCGTGGAGGTGGGAGAGGCAGGACTCACGGCGGTTCTCGAAAACGACGACGGAGGAGACGGTGGTGACGAAGTCGTTAACGGAAGGGAAGTAAGGGGTGAGGTGGACGCCAATGGCGAGAGTGATGAAGAGAGCGCCGCTGAAGAAGAGCATTTTATTGCGGCTGAGATGATAACCGGCCATGCCCATCGGAACCAAAACCACCACGCAAGCAGCCAACACCCCCAATTGCACTGCACCGATCATATTACGATTATTTTCCTCGCTATTTTTCTCATCAAACCAATCTTTCTAGTTTGTATTTCTTTCTATTCTCAAGCTTCTGATTTGATCTGACCAACAAGATTTTGAATTTTCGATGCCTTGTGAATCAATCTTCCATTTACTCTGTAAAAAATGAATTGCCCTGTCTTATTATTTGACCGACTCTGAAAGGAACGTCACAGCCAACAACCACCAAAGCGGAAGAAGAAGAAGAAGAGTGCGTGTTGTGTGTTTTCTGTGGGATGAGATTTCGGGATCGGAGGGGTCGAATAGCAGACAATTTGGCTCCTCATTCGTGGGGTGCAAAGGGAAATAGAGAAAGATTGGTGGCTTTTTCCTATTTGAGGTTTCTTTATGGTTAAAAGTGAATTTTTCTTAAAATGCCGACTTATAATTTTAGCCCCTAAAGTTTTAGTGAAGTTGCACTTTGACCGCCTGTAGTTACAATTGTCACGATTTTCCTTTATTAATTGTAATAATTTAAGGACAACGCAATAATTTTGTCATTTTCTGGACATAATTAGCTCGTGAGTGACATGTGTGATGTGAGAGTAAATTAGACTCTTTTTCCTTTTCATTACTTTATTTTGTTACGATTAACCGAAACTCTCTTAAGACAATTTGTTGGCAATTTCAGTACTTATTTATTGAAGTATAAACTTATTGTTTTATGATCAACTATTACTTTAAATGTAGAATCGCTTATTCAAACCATTGGAAATCATTTATGTAACTATTGGAAAAAATTTTCTCATAAAACACAACTTTTCTTGTGTGTGATTGTAGATACGCGGGCCTCTCTCTCTCTTGACTAGCGAAAAAACTTACCTGCAATAAGGATAATATTATTTTGTTATTCTCGATTAATAATATTATAATATGTAAAAAAGTTATCTTGCATGTCATTACGATAGCAAAACGTACCATCTCATTAAATGAAAGTGTTTCTCCTCAACTAGATGCCCCCGAGCCCCATACCCAGCATTGCAATTGGTCATCATCAATAGGTTGCCCTATTATTACCCAAAAACAAGAAAGCCCAAATTATGTGAACTGTGATCAGTACATTAGTCAAATTCAGGCAGCCCACAATGGGCTAAGTTGTGTATAGTTGGGCTTGCCATAACTGATGTTAAGTTGATGAATTTTTGTGTACAGGTTGTGCGCATTGTCAGCTCATCCAATATATTTACGGTAGGAAATAAGGGGTCTAATTGCTATATTTTAAACACACAGAAATTCATAAAAAAACATTCAATAAATGTTCAAATTTAATGCGTATGACATGAGCAAAAGCAATGCTAAATATGCATATAAATTAGATTCGAAACATCTGAAACTTGGTTAAGGCGAATGCTTAATATTCCGTTTTAAAGACAATTTACGCTCCACTACGGTCAAGGACGGACTCAGGAATCTTGACTCGTAGGGTCATAGTGTAAAAGTTCAGGAAATGAGGGTTTTGGGTTTGTGGGGGTTGGAGATTGGGGATTTAGGTTTGAGGGTTTAGGAAATGGGGGTTTTGGAGTTGTTAACTCAGGAAGGAGGGTCTGTTTCAATTATACAATATGTTCTTCTTCTTCTTCTTTTTTTCAAAGACCTGGACCAAAACGACGTCGTTTTGGCCAGGTCTTTTTTTAAAAAAAAATTCGCTGCTGTTGGTCGAAAACGACGCTGTTTTGGCCAGCCCGTTAAAAAAAAATAGAAGCTGGGCCAAAACGACTCTGTTTTGGCCAGCCTGTTTTTAAAAAAAAATATAGAAAAAACGAAGCCGTTTTGAACGTTGTACAGCTTCTTCTTCCTCAGATCTGCAACTTCCTCCTTCAGCCATGCATTGGGTCACACAGCCATTCAAGGAGACCTTCTAACTTGCTTTCATGGAGTCCATAGGGTCGTTTGACCCCATTGACCCCACTGTGGATCCGTCCCTGACTACGGTGCTCATGGTTGAATATTATCCCATTTGAATTCAATGAGACATTAGAATAATTTCTAAGCACTACATGTGTTTGAATATGCCAATGTCAAAAGTTACCTCTATAACATGTGCAGGACTGGTCTATTTATAAATGTTGAAGAACCATTTCCCAAAGTATGTGACTTAATCTGAAAAGGCGAGTGATATATCTCTTTACTTAAAAGATGCATTATTTCAAATTTGAATAATCACATCTTTTCAATTTTAATTTCCATTTTAAAAATAGAAAAATTAAAAAAATTTCCAACATTTACCATCACTCTTGAATAACATGAAGCAATTAATAGAGTATAACTCAGTTAATTGAGCTATTTCACTTCCACCCATGTGTTCAAAGATTCGAAACCCCTAAACACTTAATGAATATTTATGTAAACTCCTTTCTCAATCGCTTATACTAAACACGGAGCAAAACTTCATACACGTGTGCACACAGGCACATCTCACATTTATAACCACAACACAGGAAACTGAACCAAATAGGGTCCTTTAAGCTTAGCTTAGTCTATTAAAGGCTATGGTTCGGTCTAAGTCACTTTCTCAAATGTGAGTGAGTCCAACTATAAGATATCTAACTTTGTTTCTCAAGAATTGATTGAAATGATACAAATCACTCAATCAAAGACATCATACAATAACCAAACTCACAAATAATATTCTTTCCAATAGTACGCATAATAAGAAAACGATAACACTACTCCTAACAAGTCGAGGACAATTGATGTTGATTGGGCAAGTAGCCATGATCATACAGTCTAACTGCACTAGTGACCTTATTATCTAGATTCATTATTTTTTGAGTGATCTGAAATTGATAAACATAATAAGTTGGTCAATATGTTTATATCAAATACGTTAAAAAATATTTTTATTAAGCCGAGCACAATACAATATCTTTAGGTTAACTTGAGGTAGAGTGTTAAAGAGAGAAATGTGACTACGTTAAAAATATCAACGCAGAAGATTCATGCAACTAAATCCTGAGCTAGTAAGAAAAAATTGTGGCTAATTAAGTTGATTGAATGTTGGGGTCTCTTGCTCTTGCTGACCTTCTTCTATTATTCTTCCTGTTACGTGTCCATGTCTACGGATGTGATGATAAGACGTCATCATCATGCGGTAAAAGAGAAATGTTTTGTAGTTAGCTAGGCTTTGCCCATTCTCTTCTAAATACACTTGAGAGCTACCAAATCTTATCTCAGATCAAATTAAGAAAAAATAGAAACGAAAGAAAGAGTCTAAATTGAACTGTCAAAACAAAGGTCCTACATGTGTGGCAAACTGCCATAATCTCAATGGACTTTTTGTATGCACAACTTTTGATGCAGTTTAGTATACAGACCAGCTTCTCATTCTAGGTCTGTATTTCTATCTACAAAACTCTATCTCTTTCTCTCTGTCTCCTTCCCCTTGGGTATGGAATTTTAATTTTCTTTAACCATCAGATGTTGAAGTGAAATTGAGTGAATGCTTGGTGCGGTGGGGAAAATTAAACTAACCCTAAAATAAAATGAGGTATGGGAAGTAAATTATCAATGGGAAGATTGTATTGGTCTTTATTCGTTTCCAACTTTATTTAAAGAGTAGTGTTATTTGGACCATATTTACTGATTATATTGCTGATTGAAGAATATTAGCCCACCACTAGCAACACTGATATTTTCTCCAATTTAACCACTTACAAAGCCCAATAGGTGCAATGTTTTATTACAAAAGGTTTCGGTGGTATTAGGAGTGAAACCACTTATTATAAGTTGTAATTTTATTTAGTCAAATTTTCGATGTGGGACATTATATTCTTCAACAAGTTTCAGCTGATGTGAGCTTCACTTTAAACATATACATTAAACATATGCTCATAGTGATCAGCAAAGTTGGTCAATATGTTTATATCAAATACAGTTTCAAAAGCTTTTTATCAAGCTGAGCTCAATATGATACATTCACATCAACTCGAGGTACCGTACGCATAATGTTAAGGAGAGATGTAGGGGTCTCCTGACCTTCTCTATTACTCTTCTTGTTACTTGTCCATGTCAAGGGATGTGATAAGATATCATGATCGTAGGGTAAAAGAGCAATTGTTTTGTAGTTAGCTAGGCTTTGCCCATTCTTTTCCAAATACACTCGAGAGCTACCAGATCTTAGAGGAATGCTAGCAACCTTCTCTCTAACCTTCTCTTTTGGACCTTCTCCATTTTTTGTTTGACATGTGTCATTCTCTTTACACTTAAAACAATGTCATTAATATATTATACAAGCTAACTTTTGCTTTTCAAGTTTACCCTTATTAATGTATTCAACTTATCCAAAAAAATTCACAACTATATTACCATCTTATTAATTTTTTTCTAACATCAATTATTATTTTTAGAAAGAAGGTTGCTAGCATTCCCCAAAATAGAAACGAAAGAAAGCTTCTAAGTTGAATTGTCAAAGGTCCTACATGTTGTGTCAATCTGCCATACCTCAATGGACTTTCTGTAAACCCAAATTTTGAAGCTGTTTGGTAAAGAGACATGCTTCTCATCTCATCCTTGCTCTATATTTCTAGAGTTACAGAAGTCTATCTACTTCTCTCTCTGTCTCCTTCCCTTTGACTACGCATGCATGCTTGTCAATGTCATTGTCATTCAAAACAAAGATGGGTATTTTGAATACTTTTTTGGTTGGACTTAGAAATGGTCTATAATTTCGGATCAGTTTATATATGCTCGATTTCAAACTTGGGACTTTCACTTCCAACAATGCTGCTATGTCTAACATTCTTAATAAATATTATGGTCATTCCTTTTAATATGTTCTCAAATGAAAATTAAACTAATCCTAAAATAAATGAGATATGGGAAGTAAATTATCAGTAGGGAGATTGTATTGGTCTTCATTCGTTTCCAACTTTAATCAAATCTCCAATTCCCCTTAATTTGTGTAGGATTGTTGTGGCTATTTTGCGCCCATTTTTTTAAATCATGGAGACTCAAATTAATGAAAATGAACACAAAAT